GGTGAGAAAGCGGTGAATTTCCGGGGAACATCATCGAATCATTATAATCGAAATGAGGATCGCATTTCTATATTTACTTTAAATCGCCTGGTAACTGGTAATTTAGCTCTCCGTGGTTAATGGTTTTGTTCAGTTATTAAGTTATTTGAGGGGCCTTATTAATATCGGAATCTTGAGTCTTAAAACAAGTTCTCCTTCGAATTCCAAATGCTATGGAGTCTGGTTATAAGTGGGCAGTCCAACATAAGGTAATATGGCACTACTGCCGCCATTTAATTGTTGTGGTGGCGCCAGTAGACGTGGTGGCGCTATAACCGGCCGCAAAAAGCCGCTTTAATATTTTAAACCGAGTTACCAAGTTATCGGGTTACCGAGTTACCAAGTTTCCGAGGTACCAAGTTACCGAGGTACCAAGTTACCGAAGTACCAAGTTAATGAGGTACCAAGTTAATGAGGTACCAAGTTAATGAGGTACCAAGTTAATGAGGTACCAAGTTAATGAGGTACCAAGTTATCGAAGTACCAAGTTAATGAGGTACCGGGGTAACGAGCATGTGGCAAACTCTAGTCTTCTGAGCAGAGTCTCCCAAATAAAATGGTAATAGTGAGTCATATCAGTACACTTAGAGTACAATGTGCATGACGAAAACGCTGAAAACAAGTAGTTATGCTAAATTTGCGACTGACTAAGTTATATCATGTCTACTCAGCAGAAGAGTATGTTGGGGACGAATCCGCTAAGTGCACTACAGGTTGCCTGATCATGAATCTACAGGTTGAGTTGAAAATAGTGTGTGGATTTTCAATGGCTCTAATTTATGAGATAAAATACAAAATCACTCCATTTTTGTATATTTAGGTCATAAAAATATACGAAAATTAGAATAATACTATATATTTCGTTATTTTAAGCAAACACAACTACTTTAAATAGCAGTTACGTTTAGCTGATATGTTTTTAATTATGTTGTGTTGTGTTGTGATGTAACAAGGATCATTAATCGTTATATTAAGTGTAAGTGTAATTACTTTAATGGTATTGACTAGTGAGCCTTCATCCATCTAGGATGTAACTTGTTTTATTGCCTTCTATATGAGTCTTTAAATTGAGCAATAACGGTATCATTGTAGAGCAATAGTCCGCTGAAAGGTAGCGACAACAGTTACAGCAATACGATTAAACTTTTGAACATTAAACCGTAAAAATTGAAGTCAAATATCCCGCCCACAAATTTCTGAGGAACAGAGTGGGAGCGTACCTTGTGATCTTGATAAGTTAGTTCTGTTTCTGTTACCAGTAAAACTTAAACTTATTTCTTATATTACAAGCACATTAAAACCATTCGTATCTGTACGATTCTAATCAAAATTGTGGAATAACTGCAGTAAAAGTGTGTAACAACATGATATGGTAAGATTTAAACGCTGCAGACTCTACACACTCTCCAGTAGACGAGTGTGATTCGTTAGTAAAATAGTTGACACCGGTTTAGTGCAGAAGCAGCACATTCTGCTGAAAGTGTGAAAAACTCGGAGTAAATCCACCAGCCTAGCATAACATGACTGCAAGGATGCGACAGGTTTTGCTGAGAGTATCGCAATTTTCCAAAACTTACAAATTATGAAAAGTAAAACATTCAACGTTATATGCAATTAAGAGTTAAGAGTCAAATAAAGTTCGTATCTCAGCAGTCAGCTCTCCCAAAGAAACAACAAACAACTTCTCCTGACAAGAACGAGAGCAGTTACAAACTAACAATGCATGGCACACAATAGTTATCGTTACTGTAACTTATAACTGAGATTGAGAGTCGCTTGAAGCTCCTTCATGATCAGTATGTAAAGATGAGTGTACCGAGAAGGTACAGTTTGAGAGTGTAATTATATATATTACAGAGAGAGGGCCGCTCTGCGTGTAATTTAAACAGTGTGTAGTAGTCTGTACTACTACTAAGTACTATAACAAGCACTGTATAACAAGTTGTAGAGCACGTGTGTGTGTGCTAGACGCTATGGCAGCGGTTCAGTAATTAAAGTATGGTATAATAACTAACAAGGTACAATAATGCAGGTTAATTGGTTACAGCATGACGGAGGGCCGAGGTGGTGCTTACTCTTATGTAAATGATCTATACTAGCTATGCGAGAAAGTGATTCCTGGGTACAGAAAGTTCACAAGGTTGATTGGGTACATCAAGCTTGTGATGCACCATATAAACAGGGTGAATGCAATTGCAAGTGACGGGCATGTGAAGGGTTTACCTTTATAACGTGTATATATAATACAACATAGCACATAATGAACCATATGACATTATACCGTGCATTATACAAGTGTAGATGTATAGTATAGCGCTATTGTGAAGCTGACGAGTGATGAAATTGTATTAGGTTATAATATACTGATTGTGTTGATCAGACAGTATGAGTGTAAGTGTGATAGAGGGATGAGGATTGGAGGAAGCTGACGTACTGAGGTACAAACAGAGAGTGTGTGCACCGTACTGAGGTACAAACAGAGAGTGTGTGCACTGTGTGTGTGCACTGCGTGTGCACTGTGTGTACTCGTTTGCACCGAGCCGATCTTTGCGAATGACTAAAGTCAGCTGTAACACCCTAAAGTTTTCAGATAGTAAAAAAGGCGGTAATTGTAAACCAAACCCCTCCTTAAGTATTAAGTAAACGTTGATATGTGCCGTGCTATGAGTTACACTCTGCAGCTAAGCTACCAGGACGTGGGGACGAATAAACTAAATCATTCGCGAGTAGATAGAAACGGGATATCTTACAACCGGTCCCATCTCACGAGTCCATTATTGTAAGCCAAGTGACGGTAAATGATGTTCATGGATCCGTAATTTGTAAGTGGTCGAGTTAATGGCGCATTAAATTCGGCATTACTGCGTGTCATTAGTGATGAATGATAATAATTGATAAAGCACGGCCGCGAAAATCTAGCCACTAAAAGTTTAAATCATTGCGATAAAATTACACTAAAAGCTCGAAATACAGAAGCCAGCTTTTCTCGACTGTGGTGTAATAGTCGTAGATGTTCGAATACTAACTTTGAAAAGGAAGAGCTACAATCTACCTACAGCGAGGTAGACACAATAAACAACAACAGTATGAAAGTAGACACATAGTATTGAAGCAGATTTTCATTCCAGATTTTCATTCCATAACGATCCCTAACGATCCCTAACGACGCATCTAATGACAAAGAATTTTCTATAATCGACCGAGCCAGGCCATTATTAGTATTCTTTGGAAGTTAACGAAGCTATTTTTCTTGTTTGTTGTTATTGGTTGCTACAGCAACATCAGACTCTTAGGTATTTACACATTACACAAGCGTAGACCATGCTTACATATGGGGCACTCACGTCTCACACACATGCCAGCAAATATATAAGCAACTGAGTCAAACTTGTGACAGATTTGTTCCTTCTGTGCGTTGCACAGTAACGGCTAATATTAGTCACAAATTTGTAGCAATAAAGTTGTAAACGTGGTCCACAAAAACTTCCTTCAAGAAACTTACTATGTATCTTAGTAAACTATGATCTAACTTATATATCTTAGTTAACTGTAAGAAACGTATGTAGATTGTCAAGCTGCTAATACAAAGGCTGAACAATGGAAAGATGGAAGATAGTAGGTACATTCTGATTAACAACATCGAATAAGAAACATTACATCTGAAATGTATAACAACGTAAAAACGCCTGATGTGATGTATAATGTATTATACATAAAGCAACCGGGGAATACTCATCAGCAAGCTTTGGCAATTCAACAAAGAGAAAGAGAGAGGTGCGGTTTCTAGTCAGGTCGGCCGAACAATGGCTGGCTGAAACTGAAATCTGGCAGTTGTCCTGTTGTCTTGTTGATTGACGTGCTTACTCACTTACTCGCATAATACACAGCCGCTGAATAATATGCAGCGTGGTATTGTAGTGCACAGCGGCTGAATAATATGCGGTATTTACTAGTGGGCGAGATGGAACTATTGAAGGATTGGTATTTGTCGGGACGAATCTTAATGATACGTGTCTGATCGGGGAGATAATTCACTAATTTCAAGAAATACACACAAGCTAAGCAATCAGAATACAGCGATTTGTACACATATTCGTTATTAATAAGCGCACTTGTTCAAGCATACACAAAAATACAAGTACACGACACGCCGCTTTGCAATTTAGCAGCGAATTTCTGGCCTGTCATTCCAATATATTCCAATTATTTGTGGAATGTGCAGCTAAGAATTTGGCAGACTGCGCTACAGTAGACTAAGAAAGTGATCACAAATGTGGTAGACACAACAGCTATATGCTGTGTGGTAGTAATATACGCCTATACATCTAGCTAATACAGAGAACAGTGCAATTACAAAAGTGTACTTTTGAAATTAGCATAATTGCGACTATCATGGTCTCTTCACCGTATTGGCAGTTGACACAGTTGGACAGTACATTACAGAATATGTGCGTGATGATAAAGAAACCCACTAATTTCCATTAAGATAGACTTATAAAACACGTAGCTACTACTGCAGTAACGCCCTTCAGCAGCAGGTGAAATAATAACGACTCTGCTGTAGCGGCCCCGACAATGATCTGAACAGTGCGCTCCACACTAGTGAAACTTGATATAACATATTAGTGGCACTCAACCAGAACAATGATCCACCTGTAATTGTAGAACTATTCATAGGTGGGTTTAGGGACAGTTGGGATCCCAAAAGCTCTGATTTTCCGGTTTTTGGGGGCCAGCTTTTAAAGACTATCACGTCATTTGTAATAGACAACCATGTCGTTGGTATTTATATTCACAGTCTCAATATTTAACACTTGCAGAAAGGACCGAGTATGATCGTAGGTGCTACGTGGAGGTTTTTGAGGGGACCAGATGTTCAATTTATAGTCACGTGTGTGACTGTTAACTACACAACAACACACTAGACACGAAATTCTGAGTCTTTCAATAAAACTCTCGCATTAGAACAATTTTATAATAGAGTATCTTATAAGTAAATATTTAAAAACCTTCGTTACAAAGAAAAGCAAGTTTCGTATTTACATCAAAGAGTCAACAAATACGGCGTAAGGCTACAAGTTACATGTTACAACATCCGCGTATTCAAATTTGTACATCAACATGGTACCAACTTGACTAATGACTTCGGATGAGGCAAGATGGTTTGTTTTGACACGTGACAACGTGACCAATTAGATACACACTTCGTTGTCACGTGTCACAACAAACTTCCTCGTTGCACCCATAGCCAAGTCTATTTATACGTGTATTTTTTATACAAGTCTGATTATCTGCTATGCTCTAGCTAAATGTCTGCAAAAATGTCTTCAACGTCTTGTCAAATGTTAGCTATTGACAACTTTTGGTGCAACGTTTGAGAACTTCTTAATCTTGAACAGGGGTTTATCAGGAACCGTAGTCGCGTTATTTTTCTTCATATCTGTCAAATGTTGAGTCAGCTTCTCCTTTTGCTCGCGTTCAACTCTCTAGAGGAATTCAGGAATGAGAGAATTTTTGAGGAAGAATATTAGAATATTGTCATTTCTGTCAAAAATAACATTCCACAGGGTGCAATGTCGTTTTAATAGCCAATATACTTAAATTGTGATCTCAGTTTATTAGATCCGTCTAAGGGATAATCGTTGCACAATGCACAAGTAAACCGAAGGGCAAGTTTACCATTTAAGTGGCCTGCAGCTCATAATACCCACGGAAATGGCTGTAAAGGTAGGTGCAACAAAAGATCTTAATTATTATGCCCCCCAGCCCATTGTGTCGTGGTCACATGTCCACAAATTACGCAGTCACATGAGCGTGGTTGCCATAGCAACCACCAATTAGAGCGCAATATATTTTCATGCGATAAACACTGCCGAATGACAGCAGCTACTTTTTGTTTGCAATTGAAATTAGGCGACCGCGCGTTACGTTCAACAAATATGGTGGTAGACTACTTTCCGTTTACTACAATTTGACCAATGATAAGTTCGAACGGCAAACCGCGGGAAAGATAAACAACTGCAGTGAACTCTTCTAACTTGAATGGGTAGCCCTACTAGGAATACAAGGTGATGAGCAAACTAAAGTTTCTATGAGTCCGGGTATATTTGTGAGTTATTATGTCAAGCAATCTTATTAGTAACGTTTCGCTAGAAACCACTAGCGTTTATCGACCAAGTCACAGCTAGCAAGATGACAATTTGTAACGCAAGTAGAGGCGGGCAAGATCGGTGATGTACGTGAGAAAATTTCGCAAATGTGATCGGAGAATTGGCTTGAACCAATAAATCTTAAATGAGATGATTGTCATGGATTGAACTAAGAAATAGTAAATGTACATTTCTTACCCTCTTAGACTCCATTTTCTGCTTTCTTGTCTCAGCCATATCCTTGCCCCAATCCACTTGATAGCCATGAGATAACAAATGCGAGAAGCTGACTTGGTCCGCTACCTCACCCCTGAGAAATACATCAATAATAATATATTGCATGAGTTTCTAAGTACATACAATCTCTTATCGTCTCATCTTCTTATCAGATTCTTCATTGCATAAAGTGGAAGAAATACGACCCCTTAATTTTCTTAAATGGAAGTATAACCCCGTTTAAATCTTACAGGTTGATGAAATGTACAGCTGTTTTTTAGCGAATAGGGCCTAATCTGGTATTAGGCAACAAAAAATTGTACGAATTTTGCTCATCAGTATTCATTTTATGCAAACAGTATGAAGATAATACCCGTGTCGTATGAAATCCCAATTTCCAGTGATAGTAAAACTTACAGAGGAGGTTTGTCGACTCTCTTGTGAGTACGAAATATAGGATCTGGAAGGGGAAGAGGAGCAGGAGGAGCTCTGGTTCGGTTCATTTCTCGCTGTTTTCTCGCTTGGCGTGTCAGATACTGATCTTGATCTTCCTCATCACTGTGGAGAAATATGGTTTAAATCAGAAATATGGTTATTTTCTTGATATTGCCCCAAACACGGTTTAATGCACTCATTGAGCACTTCATATTTGTGTCATAAGGTCTATTAATAACAGCCCGGAAATCGCATACCCTTCTTTTCTAAGATCCATTCGGATTATTTTGTATATTTTATAGAAGGTTTACTTTGCAACTCAGCTCAGTTGCCCGAATCAGACAAATTAAAAGGAAACAAACATATAAAGTCAAATAGCATCATGACGTTTTGTCTCAATAACTGAATTATATTTGCATCATCACTACGATTTATGTAAACTAAACCACCTGCTCAATACACCATGATGCAATACCGAGAAAAATAATCCCATTAGATATTTGTAACGAACCATAAAAAATCGCACAATCGTAACCCAACATACATGTATCACAGCATATTGCTAATGTGGATCAAGGGTAAAACCACGAGACTCACATATTTTGGTGAAATGACATTCACAAAATATGAACAAGAGTACGAGGCCTGTTTTAACAAACATGTTGGACACGTACTTAAATCCAGAGTCAAGTCAATATGAGGCCAGGTTTGTTTGGTAGTGGTTAATCCTACCTAAAGTCAGAATCATGGGTTTCTTTCACTTCAAAGGGGGTAGGTGCACATTCTCTTTCAACATCATACATGGTCAATTCAAGATAACAATAGTCAAAAATAGTCAATAGTCAACAAAACAGTTGTGGCAATCAACACATTGACTTATTTATCTAATTATCTCATTTACGTAGTGCTTGTTGGTCTATTTTAACAGCCTCACTTTGTGGCGCTGGATCCTTTTAACTTTTCTAATAATAATCACCGTCATCAGGGCACGCCGTTATCTATCAGGGCACGCGCTATCTTCAGCTACAATATATCATTCAGATTTAGGTGGTTACGTTCTCGTCCGTCATTGGTTATAACAAAGAGATATGACCAGTATCAAGCATGATTCTAAAATATAATAGAATAGAATTTGATTGACGTATGATTTCACTGGTTGCTTCCAAGATAGAAAATACAATGATTTAAATGGTGGAGCATCATGTGATGGCATTCCGTAACAAGCAAGTGTTTTTAACGGCATCTTTTGAGAGTTTCAACAAGCTAGATTACTGTGATATATTGGCATGTCACGATATTGCATGCCGAGGAAATTCAACTTGGAATGCGTCCAATATCTCAATTTATCAACTGTCACATACAACTACAAGACATAGTATATAATCTTCAGCCCCTTTGTACAACTTATCGCCAATAATCTGCTTGATTGGAGACTCAACGGTAAACGTTTTGTGGGGAGCTAAAAATAGCTCACATTCTACAAACACCTCTCTCTCTCTCTCGCTCTCTCTGTGATCCAGGTCTCCGTGAAGGTAAGCAGCATAGAGAGAAGCGATAATATGTTGCTATGGTTACGAATGGGTTGTACTAATGATTATCATGACAACAATGAGTCAGTGAGTCACACGGTATGGCAATACTGATGATTACGCCACGTAAATATAGTACACAAGAGTTAAGTGAACTTTTACACAAACTTGTAACTAGTGATTAGTGACTAGTGAGTAGTGTTTCAGTTGGCAAAGTGGTTTCATCATGTTCAATATATTTACGCTCAAGAGCTCAGGCGTCTCTTGAAATGTGCTATCACATGATAATATACTATGGATAAGAAGTGACTATTTAAAGTTTTTTTATTTAACAAAACTCACGTTTTACCCCAAGTTTTAAATTTATCAACTCCAAAGGGGGCATCCTCTGTTAACATCGACACTGGTTTCTTGTTACCCGTCCTGAGAAGTACGGGTCAGTTCCAAGTTGGTATTTAGATATATATAGAAACATTTGAAACGGTATATTTACTGGAACATTTCCAACTTTGCTACATCAAAAAACAAAGGATAGCTTCTTAAACTCGAACGACTAAAACTAGCTAAAATGCAACTAAAACTAACTAAAACACAACTAAAACTAACTAAAACACAACTAAAACTCACACAGCAGGAGGAATGGGAGCTTGTCTGACACGTGGTTTACCCACCAAGACATCAGGGCTAATATCAGGGTGATCAAACCAGTCTACTCTTTGATACTCCTTTACTTCCTTGTTCTTCTTCTTCTCTCTGTAGAGAAGCAGATCTGAAACAGGACGAATTAGTCCCTCACTCCTATAAACAGACTAATATAAACAGACTACTATAAACAGACTACTATAAACAGACTATTATAAACAGACTACTATAAACAGATTACTATAAATAGACTACTATAAACATACTACTATAAACACTAAACAGTGTTCGCATTAAACATCAATATTGAATCAACGAACGAAATATAAGATAAAATATCAACGTACCCTTTCTGCCGCCAGCCTTAGCAAGTGCAATATACTCAGAGTCAATACCCTCTCCTCCGCGTCTGGGAGGGGGAATGTCAATCTGCTCCCCTTTAACTCCATTCAGTACGGGTATCTGAGACACGGGTATCTGCGACTCCTGGCGGGGCTGAAGCTCCGGTATGTCATAGTAATACCAAACTAAAATAAGTGTTGTTACTAACAATGTTAATAAGTGTTGTAAGATGTTCTGAAACTTGACTTCTGGGGGAAGGTGGAATGCTAATGTACTAATTTGCAATATTTCTTTTATATCGACAATTTGATTACCAATCAGATATTCAAATGGGCAATTTTGAATTTTTTCATGGGATCAAAGCTTGACAAGTTGCAAATACAATGACCACAACAAGATTATGTAAAAGAAAAACTTGGTACATAATGTTACCATCATACAAAAATAAATAAAATCACATATACCAAAAACTAAGTCCACTTAACAATAATCCATCACACTGATAAGTTTTACGGTAATGATAATATACCAATCAATAAACTGTTATCATAATCATCTAATCATCTTTCGGTCATGAATCTTATGTCATCTTTGGCATGAATCACACACAATGTTTTAATGATATTCTAAAAATTTCAATTTAAGAACCTTTTGAGCTGTCGATGCATGTTTTGGTGGGTTCTACAAAAGTCAACGAAGATAAAACACTGATTGCCCAGCAATTGTAAGAGATGTATAAAAAGATCCCTTAAAGTAAAAATGACCTGTCCACTGTCCAGTGTATGTAACAAATAACAATACGTACGTATTCTTATAGATGTTCCACATTCATAAAACAGCTTTTCACACGTGAACCACATTCCACAATCACACTTAGTTTTACATCAACTTATTCAGCACAAAAACAACAAATACACTGATCTGATATCCTATTCAGCACTGCACATGGAACACACATCTGATCTCGGCTAGACACATCAACATTAAATCTGAATATTACAATCTTTGATCTCTCACAGAACACAAAGTTTTCACATTCCATTTGATCATCTCCACGGTTGATCTCTGTTGGGGGAGCCTGGTGGGTTGGGTGATCCGTTGAACAAGTTATTGAATTTATTTGAGTCGCTCATATTTCCACTTCTGTTGTAGTTTGGGAAATTACCTGATGACATTCCAACTTGTTCTTTAAAGTCCCTGAGCCATTCTGAGTGACTCGCCAGCAAGTCTGTAGTTGATTTGTTCTTTGAAAGCCAACATAGCTGCTCCTTTTTAAACTGCTGGACATGTTCTTTGGGATCATAGTTGTACTGTACAGGTAAACACATTTGTGATTTCTCGGTCGATATCGTCATGCCTTCTGAACCAAAATATGTTTTCCACTTTTGTGCCAACATATCATTTGCTTGATGTCGAGCCTGTGTCCATTTAGGCTCGACTTTGGTCATCGGAGTAGAGGCATAAATGGGTTGCGCTACCGTCGTATCATTCATATCTTTGCTGGTCAAGTTAGTTTGAAACATGTCTAAAACAGATGATAGTTCACCGTTTATCTTTGAAAGTGATTTTAAAACCCTTGTCTGGGATCCAGGACTGGCGGAGCGGCCACGTTTAGATTTCTTGAGGGGTTTACTATGCCTCAGGAAATCATCTGAAACTGAAGTGTCACTGTCATCATACTCTATATTGTTCTCGTACTTTATCTTGTGGAGACGGTTTCTGTACGACACCTGATCCATCTTTAACTTCTGAAGTTTCTTCTCAAGAAGTTTAGCATCGTTACCGATCTCGGCATTGATATTTTCAATGAAATCAGTTGTTTCTGGTGAAGATTCAAGCATGTGATTTTCCAGAGTTTGAAGATAAGTGGCAGTTTTCGATGCATGAACTTTCTTGAGACGACGGAATTCTTTCTTTTTGTAATCAAGGTTCAGCTTGTGGCGTTCTTTCCTGACCTTAGCAGTCGCAAATTTCTTCTCCTCTGGACTTAGAGGAGAGTTTACTCTGACATCTTTCAGACGCCGAGACACTTGTTTCAGGTCTTCAAGGTTTTCTTCGTCTGTGTCACTTAATGGACTTGGGAAATTGGAGGGAATCTTGGTTTTACCGTTCAGTTTTATGAGCTCAATTGAATCGGAATCGTCACTTGAACATGGCGGTATTGTTTTCCTCGGAGTATTGGACTTACCATTTGTTTTCTCGTGACCATTTGTCTTACCATGCTTCACATCAAGTTTCAAAAGTTCTACCTGATGCCTCAACTCCTTTACCTCCATCTGGAGATCATGTTTGTGTGCTTCCAAACGCTTTATTTCGGCCTCACTATCAACCTTTTTACTCTTTAATACAGACATCTCTGCTTCAGAAAGATTTTTAAATTCAGAGGCATGTTTTTCCTCAGTGTTTTGTCTTTTGATCGACTCATTCAATTTCTCGGTGACTCCTCGTTTTTCGTTCATTAACTTCTCAATCTCCTCATGCATGACTTTTATTTGATTTTGCAGCTCCAACAGTTCTGTGGTCATTTTGATGCTCTTCTCAGCTTCAAATTCTTTTTGACTTAGTTCTACAGATCTGATTTGTTCAGTGAGCTGATCACTGCGGTCTTTCAAATCTTTCTCCATCTTCTTGATTTCCTGAACCTCTTTCTCATATCGATCCCTCGTGTTTTGGACTCTAGCAGTTGCAGTTTTAAGATCCTCATCAGCACTTGTCTTCTCAAGATTCAACATATCAAGTTCACTTTTGTTTCTGTCTCGTAAATATTTTAGCTGGTCGTTGTGCTCTTCTTGAATTGCTCTTTTCTGGGCAGAAAATTCAGATTGTAAGTCAGACAGCAGCTCTTCTTGATCCTTCACAACCTTGTCCTTTCTTTTGGTGAGCTCATGTTCCAGATTATTGAGCTCGGCATTATTTCTCTTCTTTAGAGCATCACGTTGTTCCTCTAGTTCTTCCTCAAGGCTGTGTTCAAGTTTCATCGAGGCTTGTTTATGGTTTAATGCAATGTCAGCTTTTTTCTGTTCAAGCATTTTTTCCATGTCGAGGTTTAAGATTTTCATTTTGGAGTCGAGTGTTTCCTGTTCCATTTGAGACATTTTGGACTTTTGTTCTAATTCGACTTTCTGCCTAAAGTTCGACAATTCTAGCTGATGATCTTGTTCTAGAGATTCCTTTTCACGATTCAACTTTTGTGTTAAACTTCTTTTCAGGTCAGTCAGCTCGTTATCAATCTCCAGTTGTTGACTTTGCTTGAATCGCCTTATCTTATCCTCATTCTCCATCCTCAGAGCAGATTTCTTCTCTTCCAAGTCGTCGTTTTGCTTTCTCTTGAACTCACCGAAACTTTCTTGGTTGTCTTGCTCTATTTCTTGACGACGCTTTTCAATTTCTTCAGAGAGTTTCGACTCATTGCTTCGTTTCATTTTGTTCAACTCGTCTTCAAGGTCATCTTTGAGTCTATCGATTTCCTCGTCATGTTCTTTTTTGATCCTCCTTATCTCAAAATCTTTCATTTCTATAAGGTTATCTTTCTCTTGACCAAGTTCAGAGGTAATTACATCTTTCAATGATTCCAACTCTTTGGCTTTTTTGTCAATGCTTTGGCTTTGTTCTTTCTCGATATCTTGTTCAGCATCACGCCTCAATTTAAGAATTCTAGCCTCTTTATCACTAGCTATCTTTTGTTTCTCTCTTGCAAATTCTTCCTCCTTCTCTTGCTTCAATCTTTCCATCTCACCATCATACTTATTTTTCAACTTTTGCTTTTCTTTGGCTAGTTCAGCCTCTAAATTCCCCCTGTAGGATGAGATTGCTTCTTTGTGTGTCACTTGACTTCTTGAGTCGCTGTCAGTTTTTATTCGGGGACTTGACACTGGGAAGGAAGTGAGGTTTAAAGAGTCTTTCAACATGTTTGGAGGGGAACCTGCTCGATCATTCTGCATGCTTTTGGGGAGGTCCAGTCCAAAATCTATGTCGTCATCACTTTCATCTTCAACCTTTGACAAAACTTTAGACTTTTCCTGCTGCCTCTTTAAACCAACTTTCTCATTGAAACTGGAGCTTTCAGAATCTTCATAGGCAAGAGCCATACGACCTGTAGGTCTTGACTTGTTAATGTCGAGAGTTACTGAGGTTGACGGGATCATAGGTGTTTTCTCTGAGACCAGTGCTTCAGAAGAATCTTTGGCATTAAAACTTTTTGACGCTTCAGACAAATCATTTTCTGAAATTTTTGATGATTTGCCTGCTGATATTGGAGCCAGCTTTCCAAGAGGAGCAAGCTTTGGAAGCTTTGCAGTACTCTCAGATTTACTGCAATTCTTAGATCTTGATTGATTAGATTTTGATTCTTTATTACTCTCTGATATAGAATTACTTTTTGATCTATCTCTTGATTTATCTTTTACAAGACGCTCCTTTTTCTTTTTCTTTTCTTGCAGATAAAGTCCTCTGTAGTATTCATCACATGGGTGATCCCACATACTTTGGCCATTTTCGAAATTAAAATAATAGATATCACCAGATACATCTTGGATAGGTTTCCACTCGGGAGGCAATGGCTCTTTGATTCCCTGTCGAGCTATCCAAATAAATTCAGCATCACTAGCAAGTGACAAGCCTAAAATGTCAGTAGCATATTCCTTTATCTCATGCTCAGTGGGCTCATAGTTCTCATCGTAATCTTCTTCTAGAATGAGTTGGTCTCCAGCAAGCATGATCTTTAGTTCCCTGTTCCTGAAATTTATTGGTATCCAGACTTTGACTCTTTCTGAGAGCTAGGCTGGAATTGAAGTTGATTTTCGTAGGAGTTTTGAAAAGCTTGTCTTTTTACTCATAGACATGACACAAGTAATCAATAATTTCACATGCAACTGCAACTATAATCAAAAAACTAATTTTGATGCCTTCAATTCCAGCTTATATCTTTAAGGAAACATCAGATATCACCTAAAAGCAGGTAACTTGACAAGCCGCCAAATTTGACAAAAGGCCATAAGAAGTTTAAGCAATCTTTAATTAAATGTTTGAAGAAAACTTTTATTGTTATTCAAATTTCTTAAAGTAAAAGCCTGAGCCGTTGGAATTGAAGGAATCTAAAATCATTTCGTTCAAGAATTGCAACAAGCTACGATGCTAGTAGTACCATGTTGTGATACAAAATTTTATAACACAACTGGGTAGGTCAAATCTAACACGATCTTAAGCACTAGCACATAAAGATATCTGCATACTTTTGTCATAGCACCTTGCTACAGTTTAGTTTTGGCAACTTGTCAAGCTATCACCCATAAATGTTATGGTTACATTTGTTATAATTATATCATATAAATTGTTAATGGTAACTAAAGAATAAACCCTTCAAGGCCTTCATGTGATCTACAAAGTAAAATTTTTCGGGGATGTAACTTTAAGAAAAAGAGAATGCAAAGAATAAGTTAAAGTCTTACCTTGTCCACCGTCAATGTTATTCATCAATAATGCTGTTACTGTAAATAATGCGTTATTGAAACAGCAAACAATTCAAAATGAACATATGGGTAATTATAGATTGTCACTACAGCTACAGGTTAAAATGAATTTCAAAATACAAACCCAGTGCGTTTTTGTTAAAAGTGCAACTTCAAAACAGTGGCGTAACGTTGCCTGTTGGCGCCCCCCTGCCGAAAAAAGCGCCCCCCTGTTGGCACCCCCTCCCCTTTTGGTGCCCCTCCCTAAAATTGAACAAATTAGGTGATTTTAGAGAATACGCCGGTAAAATCTATAAAAAAGTGTTTATCTAGAGCAAAACGCGCAGTTTTGCTAGTACTTTAGTTAAGTTTTCGAAATTGTCCCACATTCAAACGACGATTTGGCGCCCCCCTAAGACGGCGCCCCCCTGCACAGCGGGGTCAGCAAGGCCCTTCGTTACGCCACTGCTTCAAAAGTCTCACAGGCCACAGCTTATATAAGTAGAGTTAAATTCAGGAATACATTTGGCTGTGTTTGATAAAGATTGCTCCTAGATATGGATCAAAATTTCAAACTCATTCGGCCCCCATTTCCTGACAAGCTAGTGTGATGCTAGAGAAAGTCTGGACACATGATGCAGCATATGCCCTGATATGAAACTGTATTATTGTCAAGTTTTATAAATCAAGATTAAATATTTGGGGTAAATATGGTAGTGATATTTATGATGAATTTATTGAAATGTTTCAATCACCTAATATTATTTTGTAATTTGTATCGACATATATCGTTTTTCAGTTATATTAGTTACCTAATATCTATTAATTATTCTAGTATTTGTGATTAATTTGTATTGATTTATTATTTGTGACTTATAAATTAGTAACCATTATTTTACCGTCTAAAAAATTTTTTTGTCAAAAATTAATTTTATGAAGGAGTAAGTTGACAAAAGATGCACATTCGTATATTCATTTATTGCATGTTTAATTTGTTTTTGTGTTTAATTTACGATTATTTGCATTTGAGATTCTGCGATTAAATTTATTTTGTTGATTGTAATGTTGTGATATTGCATAATTTATTGTAAATGTAATATATGTTTCAGAAAATTATGTAATGTAATGCGATGGAGGTTCTTTAAGCAGGCAATTCCAGTCCAAACCCTGGAAACATGACATAAAGGATTTGTTTTACTTGTTGCATGAAAAGCACTAATATTTAGTGATCTACTGTGGCTGTTTCTGCGCCCTGCTTGGTCAATGATAGCTTAGCTGTCTTTTTTTCTACATGAAGTCGGAACAATCTTGTAATGATCATCAAAGTATAAATGATCCAGAATCTCTTGAAACCTTTAACATAGTACCATGTGATAGAAAATCATGCGTTACATGCTTAAACCGCCTTTCTTTTGACAACTTCTACACTAATAGCACTACAAACTCTACTTTCCTCATTGACTTTAATGGATCATGTCAAACGAAGAATTGCATCTACTTGATAAAATGCTTGCATAAAGATTGTAAATATCAATACATTGGGCACACGATCAATTCAATTGCTTCTAGAATAAGCCAACATAAATCTACTATAAAACGTGGTGGAGGCTGCAAAATACTTCGTGATCACTTCACTAAAATTCATAGCACTGAAAACATGGCTATCATGCCGATTAAACTCTTACCTAATAATACTACATTGAAAGAAAGAGAAGACATTGAAGAAGCTTGTATGTTGCAGTTAAATACAGTTTTCCCATATGGTCTCAACGTTCGTGTTAAAAAGAAGAACATACTAGATGCCTGCAATATTGTGATGAACTCTAAAACAACGATTTATAGTCAGTTCGATATAGTTAAAATAAATAGACATTCACGTGGAGGTAGATTCATTAGTAATATAGTAAGTGAAAGACAAGAATTTGATATCGATGTATTTTATGAAGATTTGCTGGATGATGATAATATGATTGATATGCATGATATTCGTACTAATCTATGTAATCTTAAAAAGAAACAACTTAAGTTAGTATATATTAAAGCTATATCTTATATTAATAATTTTAATAGTAGTATAACGACATATAGATTTCATAAAATTCTCTTAGTTAAAGATTTATCATGGTTTTACCTTACAAGAATGGGTTTAGCGTGTAAGAATAATAGTAAATCAAATTCTTTTATTGTAGTTAATTATGTTAATAAATTTGTCGAGTATATTGATTTTCGAAAGATATTTAAAATGGAACAAGTTACTAAAGCTGCACCATTCAAGTCAAAGTATCATCAGCAACCTACATTGTCCTACAAATACCCTCCAACAATCAGATCTAAAGTACTTAACTACAAAAAAGTATATAATGAAGCTAACATTGACTCAGAAACATTGAAATGTAATTGTGCATCAAGTCGTTATACAGACCCTACTCATAAACATGTCATTACAGGAGAGCTATCAATGATCAGTAATGATAAACTTCGTAATCTCCTAATGAAGGGATTAAATTATAGAGACCAAGCTAAACCATGTACTGAAAAAGCTTTAAAATCAGTAAAGACGGCACTCAAAAGCTATTGCGATAAATTGTCTAATTTGTGGCATAAACCTATAGAAGAGTTTCAAGAGTGGAAAACACTAATCATAGAGCAAGTGAAAATTCAACTGCAAGGAGCTATTAAACCATATCCCTATTATTCAGTATTATCAGATGTTGAAGTCTTAGCAGATTTAGATGAGCTTCATAAAGATTTTGTATTGGTTCCTACCGATAAAGCCAAAAATAATATTACTATTGTTTGTAAAAAGTTCTATATTAGTATGATTGAAAAGGAATTATCATCGAATACATTTACTAAAGTTAATCGTTCAGAAGATGATATAATTAATGAGCATAAAGCATTCTTACTTAAACATCGTATTAAATTTGATGAAGATAATAGCAAATTACCTTATTTATATATTACACCAAAACAGCATAAAAAGCCAGTCGGAGTTAGATATATAACGTCTGGTAGTGGAAGTAGTTTACAACAATTATCAGTCTATCTTAGCATTTGTATTAAATCTATGCTTCACTCAGCTAAAAATAAATCTATATATGATAATAAATTTCACGTTAGAAATGATTATTTTGTTATTGATAATAATGAGCCTATCTTAGATTTTCTTAGTTATGATAATACCCAGAAAGGTTTAAAGTCTGTCAGTACTTATGATGTTTCAACTTTATATACATCTATTCCTCATATTCAATTGAAGGATAATCTTCGTATGTTTGTAGAAAGAGTATTTGATTTTAAAGATAAGTCTTATATTATTCCTAATCTTTATACTAAGAAGGCCTATTTCTCTGATAATGTTAGTAAAAATAAAGTTCATTTTTCTAAAGATACACTTTTGGAATGTCTTAATTATTTGATTGATAATTCTTATGTTACTTATCAGGGTCAAATTTATAGACAAGTTATTGGAATACCAATGGGTACCAATGCAGCACCACAAATAGCTAATGTTTATTTACATGTTTACGAATATAAATATATTAAACTTTTGATAGAACAAGAGGATACAGAAAATCTAAAAAGATTAAAAGACACATTTCGTTATCAAGATGATTTGATAGTTTTTGATGATTTCAATTTATTACAGAATGTATTAGAAGATATTTATCCTAAGGAAATGATAATAAATAATACTAATATTTCGGCTCGTAAATGTTGCTATCTAGACTTAAACATTAGTATTTATCAAGGAAAGTTTAGAGTGACGTTATATGATAAAAGATAAGATTATAATTTTAAAGTTATATCTTATCCTTTTTTGGATGGAAACGTTCCAAATAATTTGTCTTATGGAATATTTATTTCTCAATTAGTACGATTAGCCAGAATTAATTCGACACTTAAGGGTTTCAAAAATTGTGTTACCGAACTTTTAGGTAAATTGGTTGCGCAAGGATTTAAGTTAGCTGCTTTGCGCAACAAGTTTGTCAAGTTTTATAAATCAAGATTAAATATTTGGGGTAAATATGGTAGTGATATTTATGATGAATTTATTGAAATGTTTCAATCACCTAATATTATTTTGTAATTTGTATCGACATATATCGTTTTTCAGTTATATTAGTTACCTAATATCTATTAATTATTCTAGTATTTGTGATTAATTTGTATTGATTTATTATTTGTGACTTATAAATTAGTAACCATTATTTTACCGTCTAAAAAATTTTTTGTCAAAAATTAATTTTATGAAGGAGTAAGTTGACAAAAGATGCGCATTCGTATATTCATTTATTGCATGTTTAATTTGTTTTTGTGTTTAATTTACGATTATTTGCATTTGAGATTCTGCGATTAAATTTATTTTGTTGATTGTAATGTTGTGATATTGCATAATTTATTGTAAATGTAATATATGTTTCAGAAAATTATGTAATGTAATGCGATGGAGGTTCTTTAAGCAGGCAATTCCAGTCCAAACCCTGGAAACATGACATAAAGGATTTGTTTTACTTGTTGCATGAAAAGCACTAATACAAGCATTTAGGGTATCCCAGTGCCACCCACGCACTGGTCACATAAATTATTATGTGGCAGTAATATGTTAACATTGGCACAATTATGTCCAAGCTTCGAATCCCAGTGTTACCTAGTCTAGGAAATAGCTTAGATTAACACATCACATAAATATGCATATGCCAGCTTGGCAAAACTAAATGAAAAGCTGTGAAATTTCATGGCTTTCCGTGATGTTGGGGGATGATGATGATGAAAATCTTAAAATAACTGGCTACAATGAGCATTTTATTAACAATAAATAGTAGTGATCAAAAACTTTCAATCCCAACAGGCTAATTTTAAATACCCACATAACAAATTATACCCGCTAAAACGTTATAAAACTTAGGGGAGACTTGGATCACATCATCTCCTAAAAAGATACAAACACGACCAAGAATGTTCCTAGTTTGCCTTCTAGAAACATGGACGAATAGCTTAATTTCAGACAAAACGTCAAAACGAAAAAGAAGAAGATTTGTTAATCAGGACACTTGCGAAATAGAGGCAATTTGTGTAATCAGATTGAAGTTAGTGATTAAGGTTACATAACTGATGTTTTGCAACAAAGCTGATTATATGTTATATTATATTAACATATCATGATTTTAAAGCATATGGTGCTGAATTTATTTGAAAGTATAAATAGATTGATCATCAATAATCACCACGAGCAAATACAATTAACGTGCTTATAAAAACAAAAACAAAATTAGTGGAACAACAATGAGGGTTACGACGTAATACAAGCTTTTCCGCAGTTTGATTTTTAAGGTCGTGCGTGCTATTTCGTTGTATCACGTGGTGACCCCCACTGTCGCTTCACTATAGTGGAGTTTCTACGATACAGGGGGTAGAGTTTCTATGATACAGGGGAAGCCGCGCACTCGTGCGCGGCGGGTCATACAACGTAAGACAACTATTTCAGTGTTGCTTTTATATAGACAATCATTTGTTTTTATTATATAATGAAAATACAAAATTTTACTGGGCCGCGCTCAGCCTGTCATTCCGCCTAATCTCTATTGTTGTTTATCAACATTAAAGCCTGGGGTCCTCATTGTATCACGTGGTGACCCCCACGGTCGCTTCACTATATCGTCTTCACTATATCGTCTTCGACGATACAGGGGAGCCGCGCACAACGTATGACAAGGGTCCTCATATAAACAAAATTGCGCGATGGAAACCTAAAATGTAAAAAGTAATGTGTACAGCATACAGCATTATATTTGTTTAGTTTGTTTTTAGTCGTCATTTTAAAGGTCATTTGAATCATGAATTGTGGTCAATGCAATTTTACTAAGCTGCGCGCTGATCAGCCGTCATTCCGCCATAATTTCATTTGGTACATATGACATAATTTATTTATTAACTCTGCATCATGCATGGTATGGGGTTTCCAGGTTTATATTATTCAAATACTAGCTTTATTTATTTTATATTGATAAAGTAAACAATTTAACCATTTCACAATTTAACCATTTCACATTTTAAATTTTATATGCTAAAAACTTAAAATTGCACAAAATGAAAACTCTACGGAGCACGCGAAGCAATTTAATTATTTGGATGCTTTATTGTTTATGTATTATATCATTACTGATTGCACATAACAATTGAATTCCATTTTACCTGGTGCGTCATTAGCCATCCCTCCGCGCGGCGCTATTTTCATATTCAATATCCATATAATATTCGTGAAAGAATTGAGTAACAGATTTGATGGTTTGTAATACTTATCAAAATGCATTTTGATGAGTTTTTATGAGTTGAACTCGTCGACACGGACGGTCGCAACATTCGAAATAAATATTTTTCGAGTATCAATTGTCATGTAATAAATTAGCAAGCTAAGTAACATTTCATCAAAAAATATAGTATAAGTATGATGATGATGAAATCTTTTATCTAATTCATATTTTAGTTGTTGCCTTTTCCTCTCCTCGTTGTTATTTTCAAAATTGTCTTTTTCCGTTACGTAAAAACAATACATAAAATAATACATAAAATAATGTTTATGTCAATGAAAATTGTTTTATGGTGTAGAAGCCGCGCGTATACAAAATAATTGTTTTGGATCACGAATCGAGCGCTATTGTTGACCCTACCTGCATACGAGCTTCCATTCACTATTGTGAGTGGATGGCATGTTTATAGTGTACTACTTAGTCGATTTCAATTTACGTGCACGGTGACAATAGCTTTAGTCCGACAACCCCTTATTATGTATTACTTAATTGAGTGTTAAGCACAAGACTCATCTAGTAGAACATAGATATATGATCATTGCATTGATGAAGTCTTATGTGATTCATGACTGTTGGGTACAACTTACAAGTGGATACGATGACATGATCTGTAAATAGGACTGTGGATTGTTCTATTCAGCTGAGTCTTAAATTAGGCTAACCATTAGTGGCAGTAAGAATTGTTTCAGATGCCCAGTTGCAGCTAAGCCTGTCCCATTTTTTTAATTGAGCCTAGATGCCCAACATAAAAACACAATATTAAATTTACTATCCAATAAAATCATTGCTTAGTCATTGCTCTTTAAGCTTTTTCTGGTACTGCTCAGTTTTTGAAATCTGCTGAGTGTTACAAAGATGGTTTTCAGCTATTTAATATGACTCTTTCGACTTGCCAATGAAAAATGTAATGACTTCATTAATCGTTTGCATTAATTAGTTTACATTCTCATTTAATGTAGACATAATGTGGGACAATATTGAAAAACGTTTTGCTCTAGATAGAAACGCACTTTTTTAGAGATTTTACCGGCGTATCCTCTGAGATCACCTAATCTGTCCAATTTTACGATTCTACTTTAAGAGGGGAACTTGATACCTGCCACCATGGACTATGAATGTTTCTAGACACTATCCTTTTGATATTGAAATATTGGTATCTCAGATAACGTGTACATCGTTCCTTTTTTTATGACACAGTAATTTATTGACACTCACAGCTAAATTTTTAATCATTGAATCAGTATTTTTATCTATTAACTTATTACACATTTGTGCTCTGCTTTAGCATCACTTGACTATTTAAAAAAAAATTGTTTGTTCAGGCCATGACCTTATAGTCAGCCAATTGGCCATTGCTATATTATGTGTATATTGTTTGAATATTCTTCTACAACTTTAAGAGGGGAGGGGGAGCCAAGACGCAACGTCACGCCACTGCTTATGATGATATTGTTATGATATTGTTATTTTAAGGTTACATTTTAGCTCCCATAGTTAAGCTCAATTATAAATATACCGTCAAGTGAGATTGGCCCCTGAAATTAAACTGAAAAATATAAAATGAAAATGACTCAAATTCTTCTTGAAAGCTCTTACTCTTTAAAAGTTTATTTTATTCCGAGAAATGATTATCATATTCTATCAATTTCATTCGACAAAACTATGGTTATAGGGATGAACATTAAGGGATCACCTACCTCAATTGAACTATTTGGATTGCAAGATGCTGTTGGTGACAGTCAAGATCTGTTTGATGACTTACCAGACATCCCTGTCACTACTCAAAAACAGTTCACTACTCCCAACAAGAAGAGGCCTTGCTTTCGTTCTCCTCATCTCAGCTCTGGTAGAAAGAATGACCTTATCTCGCCACTCTCTGCTGCCATATCAAATTCAGTGCAGGGAATCTATTGTAGTCAAGAGGTGATTAATACTTGATTAATTGTGACGTGATATAGTATTTTTGATGGTTAATATAATTATAGTTGTTGATAAAGTTCATAATGTACTTGTATAATTTATTATATGACTTAATTATGAAGTATCTACTCGGCCATTCACCCCTACCACTTACGCATCAAATTACAATAACTTGTCTTGTCTTATAATTATCAGGTAATGATACACCATGTCACATTATTTAAATTAAAGTTAATAGTCTAATTTACAGCCTGCGGTCACTGAGCGCAGCGCTCAGTCCTCAGTTTGATATTCATGAAGTTCAAATTGTTGATTTAACAAATTGTTGATTTAACACAGATAATTTCAGATAAAAGATCAGGACAGCAACTTGCAAGGGGATATCTGGAACACACTGAGAACCCTCAAAGACAAGACAGATATTCTCCTCCCTTACAATATAAAGAATATTCTGCATGGCAAGTGTCTGTATAGAGGGAAAGTCGCCCACATTTCTGCTATTATTAAGTCTGTGGAGGCAGTGTCCCACAAAGACACATCTTTTATTCTACACGACAATACAGGTGTGCTTCTTTTTGGAGCTTTTAATATATGTTATATATTATTGCATATTATGTTGAATTATATATCCCATATTATCATATCCTAATTGTCTTGGCAACAGTTGTTATGAATTTGACAAAGAAAAACATTCGTTGACCAGAAAATTGTTCTGCAGAAGTATTTTCCAGTCGGTATTATTAAAATAAGGTTAGAATACCTTTAACATTTGTTCTGACGATTTTTAGCAATTGATATCGTAATTAAGTTAGTAAATCTTGCAGTGATCCTGCTTCTTCTGATGATATTTTGTGCTTATTAGACTTTCAACGAGTGATAAGGTTGATCTAATTAACTAATAAACGACAGAAAGAAATCGTCTCTTGTTAAAATAATTTACATTCTTTTAATACCTGTCCCGTCGTGGAGTCAGACAAAAAAAAACAAAGGAATATTATAAACTTTTAATTTATGTAACTTATCCAAGAGTCAGTTATTAAAGCATTATAAGAATATTAATATCATAGATATTTTAAATGGGAATAAGTAATATGAAACGACACATCTCCCAAGAGCTAGAGGGACATAATAACTTAACTATGTGACCCAGGTATAATGATAACTTCATCAATGTAATATAAGTTCATAAGTTGTACATTATCTAACGTTAGTAATGTGTAAATAATAAATATTCAGGTGAGATAAAAGCGGCAGTACACAGTAAAGTGATGGAAAAGTACGGAGCACTACTAGAGCCTGGTGCCGGACTCTTACTCCGACAGTGTACTATATTCTCCTTCATATCAGTACAGAAATATGTTAACATTACTCTACCGAACGTTGTTCACATTTACAACGCCTCAAGTTTACACCCAGAACAAGGGATCATTGACAAGCACATTTTGGAGGTGATGTGTATTTCATTAGTTAAACTTTTAGAGTCTTATCAGTATTGAATGTCATATATGTATAGTCAAACTGGAGTATTCAATACTTATTATTATTACTAACTTTTTAAGCACTCAAAAAAAGGTTATTGATTTCAAACTATTTCTGATTAATATTGTTGATTAACACAGATTTAAGTATGAACTTTCTTAAATATAACTTTAGTGATGATGTTTTACAGGTATCGGAGATTAATGTCCAGAAAGAGCAGAACCCTGACATGGAAAATCAGACTCCAAACATAACACTGAACACACCAAACCGACCCCCTCCACCTCGACCATCTCGTAATAATATATCCAGAACAACTACACCTCAGAACAATTCAAGAACAAACATTATGCAGAACAACTTTAGAACAGACACTCCGCAAAACAAAACAAACCCTGACAATGTGCCTTACAACCCTGGAAACAGAGCTGGGACTCCTGCAAATCAAACTCCCCAAAAGACATGGACTCCCCAACGAACCCGATTCCAGCAGAAAAAACAGACCTCTCAGAAGAGTTCGAGCGGACCAAACTTGCAATCCCCACCAAGACATCCAGTATACAACGCAGGAGCAGCAGGGGTGGGGCCCGCCACACCTGTTCAGGGGAGCAGGAAGCGGAATAGCGGGGAGGCGGTTGGTTTTAACAGTAGTGGGAGAGGCAGTGGGTGGTAGTAAGAGGACTAAAACGACTCCACCTCCTTCTAAGAATGGGGCAGCTGGCAGCAGCAACATCTCTCCTAAAGAACAAGGTAATTTTAGCTATTGATTTTTACGGGATTTTGTTTTTAAGTATGATTTAGACTCGTAATATTGAACGCAGGCAATTATTACTTGACGTAACAAAGCTTTCAAATCGAAAAAAGGTTTATAATTATAAAAGTTTTGGTTCAAACAAACACTTTTTACCAGTCGGCTCTGATACACGTTGCACTGATCTTCCACGGATATTTTTAATTTTGAAACAATGCAACGGTATATTAGGAAATTTAATGATTTACATTATATTTCACACAGAAGAGATAGCGAAACTGTTAGAAGATATCGACGACTCCTTCTTTGACGATTTCTGACAAGTTTTGACGCAAAAGATCTCTAGGATACAATTTAAAACATTTTATAACTTCTTACGAACTGTAATTTATTAAACGTTTTGTAAACAAGCCGGGATTAATTTGCCATTTTTTATCATGTCTGTGAGTAATTTTGTGCAACAAACTTTCTGTCACACAATTATTGCATGCCAGTATTATAATTTGTTTTTAGCTTGACAAAACTAAGCCCACCTTGCCATTGACTTACACTATCATAATATTGAGCTGTACTATTCGCATTATTATATGACCAATGTACGATGGCCAGACGTTAATTATACTCGCTTCAATGTATAATGGTTCATGTACTGTACACTATGGTTTTCGTAATTGATATGTCAAGCATGGGTAAATACTTTCTTTGAGTCAATTTTGCTAATGGCTGACCACATTGCTGTTATATATTCTGATGTTGCAGCCAAAAGAACAGCACCATTTTTCGATTTGTTGTTTGTTGCTTGTTGAGTCTAATTTAGGTAAATACCTTATTGAAGTTTGGTTGCAATTTTTAGGGCAAGACCGCTAAAATATCGCACTTTTTGCATTTTAAAATTTATATTTAATGAAGGTAAACAAAAACGGGTTTTAAATTTTATTTAATGTATTAGCGTTATAATAAATGACATGAATTTTCTGAGTTTTCATTTTAAATTTACTTGAAGTTGAATTAGAATAAACGCGTTTGTTTTTAACAATTGTTTGATCCATTCAACATTATAATCTGTTTATTGTATTTCAGCTCAATTTAAATATTTTTCAAACATCTGAGTAATTGTATTATTTACTAATCGGGATCCATCTTTCAACCTTAAAAACTGCTCCCGAAAAATCATCTGAATTGTCTCGGTGAACACTGAACATAGGAGTGATATTTTTTCTCACCTTCATAATCAGTTAATTAAATTACAGTCAATTAATTAGTCAATTAACCACCACATCCGCTAGAAAGGAGACAATATGCCGGGAGAACAGCTTGACATGACGAAGGAGGAGATGGAGAAGATAACGGAAGCTCTGAAGAAAGAAGAATTTAGAAAATTGCTTGCAGATTATGCAGAGGAGTTGGCTGACCCTGAAAAACGAAAAGTAAGAAATGTGCAAATTGTTGTAAAGAAATTACCCTGATTAATGGTTAGGTCATAGCTTTGAAGCCACATTTAGCGCTATATTATATGATGCCCTAATTTGGACAAATTCGAATTTATAACGAATCACCTAGTACTATTGTAATCAAGACTAAAGTACAATACACTGTCACCTGAGCCTCTGCTCTCGGTTGGTTGGGATGTTCACGTTTTATGAAAATCCCTTGTTTTGTAAATACTGAATTCCTACAATTTGTAAACAATAGGCGGGGCGTGGAATTTGACATAATATTCTCATCAAGTATTACCCTAAATTCATAACAGGGGTTTTAACTTCACAACATCTAGGTTTTATGTCTAGTTATGTCTAGTTATGTCTAGTTATCAAATAAATTCGATAATTTGATATCGTTTGTTGACGAACTGTTGCCCTGGTTACTTATTTTGTATTCTATATACCGTTTTCTCAGTTATACGAGGATGAACTAACCACATTGGAATCCCAACGCGGTGTAGACATGAAGTTTATCAAACCTACCCCTGGTTTCGTGATAAAGATGAACGACAGCGAGGCTAAAAAAGCCTTTATAAACGTGTGTAGCTCCCCCGAGATAGCGCCCCCTGAATTCCAGTACGCGGAGAAGTCAGAGGGTGATAAAGTTGAGAAGGGTCAGCAGTGTTCTCTACCCTACAGTCTTTCACCTTCCCATGTTGAAAAGGATAACAGTAAGTCACTTTTATCAACGTTGAGTCATTTCGACAGTCACGTGTTAGTTTGACAGTCACGTGTTAGTCTGAAACAATCTCTTTCTCAGCCTATTTCAGAGTTGAGAAATAAATAAAGTCAATTCTGTCTGTGGTTGAGAGTCAAGCTTTTAAAACTGCACAAACGTTACGACCCATTTAGAAGAATCAGCTGAAACATGTCAAATATTTTCAGAGGATGTCGAGTGTGATGTGTTTGATGTAGTTTTCAATCCTGAAGTTATCACCCGGTGTTCCCATCCCAAGTTTAAAGACATGGTCGTGGAAACAGCAATCGACGGGGTATGCAATAACTTTAAGGTTACTCTCGACAGAGGTTCAAAGAAGTTCCCAAAGATGAAGTTCAAAGGGACTCCTTCTTCCTGTGTCATTAGAAAGCGTGTTGGCGAGGTTTGTCATAATATATCTCATGTTAAACTGAAATTGAATTTATGACAGCTCACGTTTTTCGGTTTTTTGCTTTCAAGTTACAGAGCCCCAGAATGTTTATCAAGTTACAGGGCCCCAGAATGTTTATCAGTGTCCCAGTTACAGGGCCCAAGTTACAGGGCCCCAGAATGTTTATCAGTGCCCCAGTTACAGGGCCCCAGAATGTTTATCAAGTTACAGAGCCCCAGAATGTTTATCAAGTTACAGGGCCCCAGAATGTTTATCAGTGCCCAAGTTACAGGGCCCCAGAATGTTTATCATGTGACACAGCTTGCTTCAGAGTGCCAAAATTTACCAATCCCTGAGTAACCTTTTATCTTTCACTCTAGGAGAAACCGGATGCGTTTGATCACCTCGGAGGACGGCCTGCTTTTCCTGAAATTCCCGGCGAAAAGGAGAAGAAAAAAGAGAAGAAATTAAGTAAAGCAGAGGAAGAAAAGAAGAAGAAACCGTCAGATGAACCTGAATATAAGATAGTATTTAGAGAAGATGTGAACATGGGCAACTTTACCAACGACCGGTAATTTTAATTGAGGATTATGAAGTAGAAGCAGTGAGCACTGAGCAAGTCATTGATTAAGATTTAAGCTAAACTGTTTGTTGTATTTACATTTTGTAAATTGCGACCGTCTAGAATTTACAAAGTACGGTATGTAAAGATCTGACACAAACACACGTACTCACAATATCTCAGGGTTACAAGTGGCGGCAGACCAACTCAAACCGTCGTTACTTTTTCTCTGCCGCTCCACGCCTCTGCCAGGGATGTTAATCTAGATGTGTACGCTGACTTCCTCGAACTACATTCCAAGCATTACAATCTCAACCACCTGAATCTACCCTACAAAGTTGACTGTGATAACGGTACGTGTAGAGATTAAAACTTTCATTTCTGCTTCAATAAAACAAAAAGGTTCAAACAAAGAAACAAAAGTAGTTCTCGAACCGGTCACAAAACAAATATCAGTGATATAATATACCATACAAACTAATGTTAGAGCCGGAAGTGTCTATACTACTACTAGGTTTGTGTTTCAATATATTATTAGGTATAACTTTGTCCGTCTTCAGCCTGGAGGGATGAATTGTTCAGGATTTTAATATGCGGTAATGTAAACTACTGTACGTGCGTATAATAACACAAGGGTTCGACGCAGGTCACAAATATATGGGACAAGGTACAAGCAATAAATCTCTAGCAATCCACAATGTAACACGTCATGGCTGTATCTGCTACAAGGAGTACAGGCATCCAATATATAATCGCATACCATATTTTGTATAACTTTTTTGGGTGGTATATTGCCATCAGTTGCACCGCAAATTAATAAATGGCTCACTCGTCATTTTTTAATACTGTAAATAAAATGTGAATAATTGGCTTATCTCCCAAGACTCCAGGTAAATCAGTAATCTCCAAATATCTATTTCACGAGATCAATAAAGAAGTTTTGATAGCAACATCTCCAAATATCTGCAAATAGCTGCACTTTCTCATCAGCACAGAACATTGTATTGAAGAGCGTATCTTATATCTAGTGGTGGTATCTGCTAATGTATAATGTATACAGATCACTATATTGTATTAGTGATCTGTGTACAAGTACCTACTATAATGTACTCTGAGAGCTATGAGTAATGTACAGTGTACAGTGTGTGTACCACATATAATACCACGTACACTTACTGCAAACCATTAGCGATAAAAAGGTCTGACTGTGATAAGATACTCCAGTAATTTGTTAACGTATATTATATTATATACACGTTTACTGTTTACAAATAACAACTCTCTTACATGCATGATATTAATATGCTATATATACTAAACTCAGTGTACTTTACCCATTATATCCATTAGTTCATCAAAGTTTATATCTAAGTTTTCTTATCTATATAATATCCTTTTTGGCTCGGTAATAAGCGTGAAACGGATTAAGCATGGTTCTTCGGAAGATTTTATTACATTTCCGTCAGAAATTTACCGCACTGACCATTCGTGGAGTTTTATATAATTTAACTTATTTTAGAGCTTATTATTATTGGCTGGCTCTGTATAAAGCTAATACCGGCGAAGTATTACGTATCGAAATAAGGAAATCGAAAGTACAAAGCACCAACAATCTTTCTAATTTCAGGTAAAGCAAAGTTCGATAAAGAGAAGAGAGAACTGGTAGTTACACTAGACGTTTTACCACAGGTATTTGTTTTACATTTCTTCAGACAAGTTCTTGTTTAAGATTTTTAGTCGTATGTGACTTTCAGAATACTGCATGGTCAAGTCTAATTTCATTAAAACAATCTGGCAGAACGCCAGCACAATTTGAAATTTTATACTTGGTGTTTCAGTAAAGTTAGAATGTAGTCCACGTCATTACGGTAATTGGTCACATGTCCATTACCTGGCCGTACATTGATTACATTATTGATTAAAATTAATTGTTTTCAAAATTTAGTCATTGGTCCGGTACATACCGTCTTCACCGGATTTTGTTAAACTGTCGAGTGCGTATTGCGTATAATATATATATTATATATATATTACTTCTATGTGCTATAATTACCTAATTTATGCCTGTTTTGCTTTTGCAATTATTCGAAATACTTCCTTTGATGTGTCGTTAATGGAAGCACACTTGTGCAACATGGTACACCGTTAAACTACTAGTGAAGCACTACAGGTAGAAGGAGCCAACTCACAGCTGCCTTCTCAACCTCAAACTCAAGAATGTACACAAGAATTTACAGAAAATTCAAAGAAGCACGGTTCTCTGTCAGCAACAATTTAAAATAACGCATCAGAACCGAACAATTTGACCATTATATCTTTAGTGGAATGATTACAATCGTTCACTGTGCCCTTACCGTAGTTTATCTATTTATTTTTGTTTGAGCAGCTTACGTCACCATCCTTAATTTGATTTCTGAACATTTAAAGTTTTACCTCCGTCATTTTCTTGTTAACCTGTTTTAGCTTATCTTTATATTTGCTCCAGTTTATCGTTATATTTTATGTTCATAAGTGTACGTCCTTTTTTAACGATCAATGTCTAGGTCTCTGGTATTGAAGTCTGAATTTCGTTGACAATTTAGTTGTTTGATCGTAAATTAAAGTTCACAATCGTATATAAAAGTTTATGATTTAAGTATAACATCTTAGAACATGATTTCAATCAGCCAGTGAAATTTTGTTCTTAAACTAAGTTCTGATCAGGAAAGGACATTTAAAACACAAGAAAATTAATTAAAAAGTGTTAAATATTACAATTCTATGAATAAGACTGTCCCATTTCAAGAAATAATACGTAATATAAAACTATATAATAATACGTAATATAAAATTATTATCAACATTAACTTTTCATTCTTTCCCCAGGAAATAAACAAGGAAGACTATTCAAATTTTCCAGAGTCAAGTCTTGTGGAGGAGCTTCCCAAACCTTCAGAGTCAAGTCTTGTGGAGGAACTTCCCGAACCTTCAGAGTCAAGTCTTATGGAGGAGCTTCCAGGACCCTCTGAACCACACGAACAGACTGAAAGCTCAGACTCTAATAACTTACCTGATTCCGAACCTTCTACAATATCCGAGGAACCGTCAGTAACGGAAAACACGACCACTTACGTAGAGGGGCCAAGTTTAGCAGCAATATCGTCCATATCTGTAGAACAAACTGTACAGGAGAACGGGATAGAACATAATTTACAATCTGCAGTCAATGATATAGATATAGCGTCCTCTTCAGAAGTCTCATCCATAGAGATAGTACCATCAATAGACAGTTGTAATTCTGAAATGTCAGACACTTCATCCACAGAGACAAACCTCGAACATATTCCGTTTGCTCCTCTAGACGAAGTTCCTGAATCTATAGAAGTTCCCAGATGTAGTATAGACCCAGAGAATATGGTAGAAACTTCTAGCACACCCGACAACTCGTTCAAGCCAATATCACCTGAAATACCAGACCAATCCCCTCCCTCACCTCCTTCAGCTCAGTCCTCCCCTACTAACGGCTCATCTGACGACTCAGAAGTGGCTAAAATAACTGAGGTTAAAATAACTTTTAGTGAAGACAAAGAAACGTCAGAAGCTCCGAAGAAACCGGCCAGGTTCCGGAGTAGATTTAACGTATCACCCGTGCCGTGTTCTGCCACACTTTGTAATTACGGAGATCCCAAAAATTGCAAGGAGCCGAATTGTGCAGGAATAAGTGAAGCAGAGAAGAATGACTTTGAAAACAGAGATTTAACCATCGTTGGTAAGTACTAATTATGTTGTTAAATTTACTGTTATTATTGCACCAATTACTGCACACTTTCTTAGGTCTTGGTTATATGCACAGTTTATCTAGTTTCATAATTATCTAAATTTGAATTCTGATTGTGGTTTAATTATTTTACATTCCAGATGAAGGTGGTTCGATAAACAGTGGACTGAGCTCTTATACGGACTGCACTTTAGAAGATAATCTCAGTAAGTTAATTTCTTAGTTGCTGTGATTTTTGTCTCGCCAGACTTTTTGTGCCTGATTTTTGTCGATATTTGTGTCTGAGATTAATTAATTCAGTTGCCCGGCACTTTAAAGGACCATGAATGATGAAATGTGCGAATATTTCTGGGCACCGTACTTTGGCTATTTATTGACGCTATCATCTAAAATGTCAAGTTATCAAATGTGTGGATAGCTCATGTGTTTCATTTAGGTTAGGGACAGCTTAGTTGCAACATGTTGATTAGATGGCTCTGTAGCAACTATTTTGTAGGATTCTGAACTTGGCTTACATATTACTCATCGATATTTGTATTTTATTACTGGTAAACACAACAAATTTTAAAGAACAACAAATCCAGAATCATTCGTCTAAGCTGGAGTAGGATCAGCTTGTAAAGATCAGACCCCGGCAGTGCCAGTGGCAAATAGTCAGGCGTCCAGGAATTTAACACCTAGTCAAAATTTGTTGATAACCGGTAAAAAAAGATTCTTGTGGAAAAAATATTCACATTAATTTAAAATTAAATCAAAATTGGTCGCTCTCAGGGCTAACGCGATGTTACATCATTTTATCGACTCGAAGTTCGAATCGAGCGCATTCCTAGATTCCATGACTATTTCTTACCTATAAGATTGCTTGACTATTTTTTGCGCATTCAGACACCAAAAAACGCGCAGAAAACGCGAGCTATCCATTCCTCCTTCCTCAACAACCCGGAATATGAAAAAATAGTCATGTAAAATAGTCATTTGAAATAGTCATGCAAAATTTCAGCTCTGATACGCTAAAATATCAAGTTAATCTTAAACAATCGACAATCTAATATGAATCCTCCCAATCCTCCCAGCCATATTAACTGGTGAACGGTGTAAATATAGAGCGGTATTTTAAAATGTAGCATTCAAAATTTTATGGATTCAAGTTGGCTCCTTTAGTCTATATTCATTTAGAAAATTCTCGAAGTTCGAGTAATACAGTATTCTCAGGGTTTGGCGCTTAAGGAAGCTTCACATCCGAGACCGATTTCCACGAATCAATTTAATATTGTAGCTACAAGTCAACAACAGTGCAAGTGGGAAGGAAGTGAATCTAGCCATTGCTACTATATCAGGGGAACTCGTGTGTTCTAGGCTTAAGCAAGCTTCACATCCTAGATCATCTAGAGTACAGTGCAGACAACCCCGGCCCCACCATTATACATCCCTATCCCGCTTTAAGTCCGAAGTTTATCATTATTTATTGTCCAATATTGTATCTAACCTGGCAGAAGCAAGCTTCAGATCCAAAGTCAGGCCATAAACATCGACACAAGGTCGAAGCCACTTTCTGAGTAGCGAATCATTCATCATGCTGCTGAGAGTCAAATCTTGGAACTCGATCTACCGAGTTAGATTGAAGAATAGTATGGTAATGTCTGTGGGCTAGGCTGTATAGTTCTTTTAAAAAATATTTCCTTGCGTTTCAAATAAATTAAAGAATTCTCAGAAATTTTTTATTTAATTTCAAAATTTGCAATTGCATATTCATCCGGTAATTATTCTAATGGATACGCTAAGCATTTCAAACTAATCTTGACCTGGGAGAAGAGCTGACCAGTGACAAGTCGGCCGCAAAGCGGCCGAAAAATATATAGCCTTTTTTTCTTCCCAAAATGGATTCCTAGTCATATTTAAAATTTATTCCACTGGGCCCGGCACTGGCTAATGACTGTTCCAAATAGCGAAGCAATGCCCGACTCAGTTCAGATGCCTTGACTGAGTGTAAACCACACGTTTTAGAACTTTCCTTCATACTTCCCTACCTGTCTCTCTACAATATTCTTATCTTCAGCCTTACTAAAACCATAAAAGTTTGTCTATCGTTAGTGGTTTGGCTTCTTGGATACTGCCGCGGTTTGATTGAGGCTTGGGTTAGGGTTCGGGTTTTGTAGGGTCGGGTTAACCCTACCGACATATCGCATGCGTGCCATCGTTGTTGAGGGGTGCTGTACGTGCGTGCTTATGTCTGGTCATGCATTTTGAAAATGGTTCTTTTTAAACACTAAAAACGCTTCACTTTCGGCATTATCGAATGGAACAATTTAGTCGAAAGTCCTTCTGGATTAGAGATTTATTCCTTTGGTTTCGGGAACGCGCGAAGCAAAAATAGAGACTCAACGGTAAATTTTGTGCGATTTCTGTTGTTATGCGCGCGCGCGAATGGAAAACACGATCGATCGATCGAGCGACACGATATCGATCGTGCTGCATGGTACGTTGTGGAGCACGTTTAATCCAGAATCATCGACACCAAGATCTTTCTGGAAAGTAGTTATTACCGATTAATAACAGTCATCGAAGAAGCTACCCCAAACCCTATCCAAAAGCATTCATAAAAAGCTGTCCCAAGAAGCTACCAAATCAAGGCGGCAACATTTTACCGCTTTATTATGAAGTTCGGATACAATAACAAAATTACGTTTACTTCAGGTGTAGGAATTCGAGTGTTCCAAGATATGAGCACTGCTACAGTGCTGTTTGATACTGTGTACAACAGTGTTCCTGAAGTGAAGCTATCTGGCAAGAAGGTGAGGGTAACTTTTTGGGCCTGCAATCAAGCTAATTGGAGTTGCTAATCGATACTTCCTGTCTTGGTTATTGCTTCCAGAAATGTGGCAATTTAAATTTGCAAATCTGATGAGTTTCATAAAAAAATTTAGATAAACTGTGGTAATCGTACTGTAGTGCGACACGTACTCTAGTGCGACACGTACTCTAGTGCGAAGTCCGACAAAAATACCCTCTGTCGCACTAGGGTACGTGTCGCACTACGATCCAGGTAGCGTACTCTACTGCGACAAAATATCCTGACTTATTTCCAAGTTCCGGTCACATCCTATCCTTCTTATGGACCATCAAGTGATTCGTCGGGTCGGTTCACGTCACTTATTTCGAAGTGATCTTGACAATACGATTCGTCGGTTCACATCACGTGTTTCGAAGTGATCCACTGATCACAATTCCTTCGGGTCAGTTCAAGCCATGTATGCAGTGTGTGATCCACCGGGTAACTCGTAAGCAGCATATGATCCTCATTCCTATCACGCATCGTATGAAGGTATATCTCCGATTGGGATAACAAGTTCATATGCTTGGGCCATATATAAGTCCACGATGATTCTACCAAAGCATCGAACAACATCAACATGTCTTCTTCAATCACCTTCATTCCTGGACGCACTATACTGGTTCAAGAAACGTTATCCACGACGAATACCGCTACTGCCTGGATAAGAAGCGCGACGACAGGACCTACTGGCGATGCACTGAGAAGATCTGCTCCGGACTTCTCAGTTTGATGAACGACACTACTGTGACCAGTACGAAGACCCATTCCCACCCTCCTACTCCTGCAGCAAACTCTGTCTACACAGCAAAGCAGAACATGAAACGGAAAGCTTCCGATACTGACCTCCCTACGAAACACCTAATTGCTGACGCTGTTGGACCCCTCTCCTTCGAAGCCATGTCAAAACTCAACTGTCAGCAGGAATCCCTCGCTAAGATGGCACGCACAGCTCGGACGAAGGCCATGAGCCATCCTGTTGCTCCCCGCTCTTTGGCTGACCTTGTCCTAACTCCTGACTACATCAGAACGAACGGTGGCGAAACCTTCCTTCTTTGGGATTCTACCTTTTCAGCAGAGAGAAGAAGATCTTTCCTGTTCGGCACTGTGGAAAATATGGATCGTTTAGCTGAGGCCCCTCATCTTGTCATCGATTGTACCTTCTGCACCTCGACTAACTTGTTCACGCAGCTGGTGACTATCCACTGACTCTATCCTGACGGCTGGAGAAGGATGACCTAGTGAATGTGTAAAGTGCTTTGTCGCACTTTAGTTCGTGTCGCACTACAGTCCAGGTAGCGCACTGTAGTGCGACAGTGTCGGCCTTGAAAATTCTCTGTCGCACTAGGGTACGTGTCTCACTACGATCCAGGTAACGTACTCAACTGCGACAGTGTCAATCTTGGAGGTTTCGCACTAGGGTACATGTCGCACTAGAGTACGTGTCGCACTACAGTACGTGAACCTCTCGTATTACAGGTTTGGCTGGAAAACGAGGACGTTTCACTGTACCTCATCCTACCCCATACAGTAACTACCTACACCATCGACATGTCATATGACAACGTGTGTTTTGTTCTTTACAAACAACACAAATCTCTCTGGTCAGCCATACACATAGGTCACTCTGAGGATGAGGTTCGTTGCAGGAACTTTCATGTTGATCATTTACTTTTGTTCGTAGAAACGAATCTTTTGACACTATTTAAAGTGGACAATGGAAATTATCTTCTGTTGTGGAGTGTGCTTTATCAATCACCAGCTGTGATTTTAACATTTTAATCACATTTAAAATTCCAGGTATTCCCATTTAAGTTTATAACTGAGGAGAATGCTGATTGGATAGTGCAATCGTTTGGAGATCCCTGGGAAGATACCAGCTCTGCCAGCATTACTCCTCATGTCAGTACATCTGACTCTGGAACCAAGATCACGTACACAGTCGGCAACCGACCATGTGACATTCCTATGCAATACTCGTAAGTTTCATCTACATTTAATAAAAAATGTCTACTGCTCAATTTAATTTTCAGATGATTTATTAAGTTCAAACGGATCTCGCACATTTAAAAACTATGATAATATGATCACATTTTCAGACCGGATTCAGACGGTGATGATCCGACCCTTAAAGGAATCCTCAAGTCCCCTCACTCTCCTCCCCCTCAGTCTCCCAGATCTAGAAAGGTAAGAAACTGCTAATTATACTCCTAACTTCATGTAACATTGTTTTTCGATCCGTTATTAATTACCAGGACTCCTAACAAGCCACACCCTCCGCTCCTGTGTGTCCTGGGTCTCAAAATAGCGATGGCTGATTTTTGTTACATAATATTGATCTTCAGGTGTCGTTTAACGAGGAGGTTGAGACCTTCGTGTTGCCTAGTAAGAGAAGTTTGAAGGGAAAGAAGCGGAGAAAGAACAAGAATGGTAGCAGCAGTGCTAGTGAGAGCTCTGATGATGCTTCATCCCCAGTTACTACCAGGTGCTTATATGAAATTATACTGTTCTATTATTTTAGACGGAAGCGAGAATTTAACCCTTCTAATTTTTTTGCCAACCGCTCTTATACCGATATGTATTGTTTATAACTTATTGTTTATAACTGTTATTGTTTAGAACAGTTGGTGAATGAATCACCAACTGAATACACAAGTCTCCGCGAAACAAGTCTTACTTTTTTATTAAAAAAAACAAACTTAACACTTAACTTCACATATTGACAAACTTCATATAAGAAGTAAAACCTTTTAAGGATTAGCTCAACTCAAACTGAATATTAACAAAATAAGAAGAGAATTAGAACATTCCTGTCCATGAAAATACTTTGGCCAAATCAAAATGTAATCAGGAAACACAAAATTGAATAGTTAAGAGTAAATTTCGTTCAAAGGGCCTGTGATAACCTATTTTTCGTTTTCATGTTTTTCACACACTTCTTTGCTCCTGTCTTTCAAAAATTGACACCTTCAAATGGAGGTTTTCGTGATCTTCGGAGTTGTGATCCTGTGCTGTCCTTCTCCCTGTATCGTAACCTTAAAAGTAAGGTTTTGTGAGAACTAAGAAATCACCAATATACACTATACAGGTTAACAGCGATCAAATATAAATTACCGGAATATCTTAGTATCTTAATAATAATGCTTGTAGTTGCTGATGGTTAGTATTTATTCGTTCTACCTGAACTGTATGAGACGCCAACACGCTTCTCGAGTTCTGGGACTCATGTGAAGAAACTGCAGACTCCATACAAAGGACCTTAGACAGAAGGAACTTTCGGAAGCTTATTATCGTCAGAGCATAGATGTAGACATTGGACATAATGTTTATCATCGCCATGAAGAAGCCAATTCTATGTAGATGGATGCGGAATTGGCTCTTCGAATCTTCGACAAAACGTTCGGCAGTATGGTAGACTGCTGTAGGTAACGACGAGATGCAATAGATAACAGTAGTGAAGGTAACAGCAAGAGTACCTTGCCAAAGAACAACTCCGTGGACACGTCTAGCTGATGTTCTTGCAGCAGCCAAGTACTTCAGGATGGAAATTGTGATGCCAACGATGATTACATTGGGGGCGAAAAGAAAGAAGAAGGCAATTACGGGGACTATGTAAGTCCATGCATCAGCGGTTCCCCAGTAGTTACAATTGTAAATCCTGAAGTCGAAATACACATCATCTTTGTTTAGCACAAGCATCAGGATTGGAGTGATCAGTAAAAAGACCCAAATGGTGCTGCATACCAAATGAGCATTTTTCTTTGACCAGAATCGATGCTGAGAAGACTTCAGTAGTAGAAACTTGCTTGTAGCCAGAGTAGCAATGAGAAGCATACTTACCAAATAAATGTAATGGTATGTATAAACAGAAATATAACAAATGGTATCTCCTAATACCCAAGAACCGGCGAATAATGCAATGGCTTCTGGAAGGACAACAAAGATAGAATAAGTAATATTGGATGCAGCAAGGTGTTGGATTATTACGACGATGAATATGTTGACTTTAAAGGAATCCTTCTTGAAAGATGCATAGAGGACCAGAGGATCTCCAATGAGTGATGAGAAGACCACTAATATATGAAAGGAAGCCCAAAAGTATCTTTCTGCCTCGCTGTGCAACCCGAATATAGTGTAATTTCCGTATAGTCTGGAACTATTCATGGTAGCTGTTATAGAAAACGGCCCTAGAAAAGTCTAAATCCTTTAAAAAACAAAACCAATGGCATTCAATCTAGCCAAGTTCGATGTGACACAATCCAGCACCTACATAAAGAGTATCTAGATAATACATTGAGTAAAATAATAGAACAAATGGTTAATCGATAGAACAAAAGGTTAATTTAATTTGCAGTCCAATAAACTGAATGGAAAAGCTCATTCGTCAACCCTTTCCAAGACATGAGGCGGCAAACGTGAGAATATTTCTTCAGCTGAGGAATGTTGCCCGATCATTACTTTTGGTTTTTAGGTCTAAGAACCAAAAGTAATGATCGGGCAACTTCTAGACTTCTACGTTAATATGATAATTTTGCCTCGATTGTAGGTGCTTACTGCTTTGTATCCTGTGGGGTGTAGGACACTAGGGCGGAGGACACAAAGGCGATTAAAACTAAAAAGGCTGAAGCAAAGACGGTAAGGTAAACAAATAAAAGCCTTAATCAGTTTGAAAATCGTTCACTGAGAGGATTGATGGTTTGAAATTGAGTGAACGCACCTCAGTGAAATTCGTCTGACCAAAGTAAATACCCGCCCTGGTGCGTACTACCCCTGATCTAAATCTGGGTAACTGTAGCGTCAGCGACTGCGATATACTGAAGATCAAGTTTTTCACATGAACATCTAGGCAGTGTTTAATTGGTCTAACCATGTTACCGAACCCCTAAATCTGCTGCTGAGTTGGCTGAGATATCTAAGGAAAATATCTCAAATTTTGGCTCTATTAAATCTGGGTGAATATTTATCACATCAGTATGTTTTGTTTCACGTGAGTAGATTATTTGAGCTAAGCTTTACCTCAACCTGACTGTTGAGAACAAGGCTGTTAAATTCGACAAATATTCGTCAAAAAATACGGCGCATTTAGAGTTTTCAAAAATACGCGAATAATTCGCCAATTTACTACTTCAAGTTTTAATTTGAGGGGCTGTTAAATTCGCCAAGAAATGCGCAGAAAATTCGGTAAAAATGCGGCTGTGGGAACGCGCAGCATTGCAGCATTCTCGAGTCTATGGATATGTGACGTTATACTTCAAGTCTCGAACACACAAATCTCGACAAGTAGACTGTGGAGGAAATTAAGTGATTTCAAGTTTATTACTCATAATGTCTTCCGGTATGAGCTAAATTTAACCCCTTGCGATCTTGGTCAGTACCCACCCTAGTCGCTAACCAGTAACCATGAACGTGTTGCGGGAAGCACATGTTATGTGTTTTGGTAATATTCCACCATACAAAACCAACTATGAACTATCGTGAAACAACTACTGTATTTTTTTTAAATGCGGCAATTTTCAGAGAAATTTAATTCGAATAATACGTTTAGTGCGAATTTCACAGCATTGGTCGAGAACATCAAAAACCCGTTTAATCTTATGTCTTGCCAGTAAATTCTTATCAGATGTTATTAAATTATTGAATATGGCTGTATAGTGTATGGTAACAGCTAAAATATATTAATTCGTCATTAATGTGTATACAAGTAGGTTGACGCTTATAAACAAAAGTTAAAATGAAATTGTGTGATGTTACGGGTTTATTACTAGTTACGAGTTTATTACTAGTTCAGCATTAAGAACGGTATCTGGTACCGCCCTCGTTTCCATGTTAGAGTGAGTCACGTGATACGCCCTAGTGTCCACCCTTTTAGGAAAGTACCGCCCGTGTGTCCTACGCCCTCGTGTCCTCCAGTTTCTGTCCTGTGTTCTCCAAGGAGACTGACACGATGGACTGAATCTTAGACAGCAGAACCTTCCGAAAATTGTTGATCGTTTGAGCATTGGTGTAAAAGTTTGACACAATGTTTTATCAACAAAAAAAAAGCTAATTCTGTATAGATGGAAGCGAAATGAGCTCTCAGTATCTTGGAAAAAATGCTTCAGCTTGATAGACAGATGTAGAGTGTAACTGATTCCGAAAATACCGAAAAATCTATGACTGCAACTTCTGTTTTGTCGATTTTGATGTTGTTTCGTTTATAACTTTGGTTATGACTTATGATTGTGGTGACTTATTGCAAATTATTGTGAGTTGAAAAGGTCTACCGAGAATAAGAGTATACGAGATGTCAATCGAAGATATCAAATAATACTTATTCTCATAAAGTGTATTATATATATCGTTCACCAAGTAAAGATGATTTTTACAAAAAATACAATGTATAAAAAACAAAATCTCCTGTTCCTCTATGAAGGTTTCGCAACAATTAGTCATGCCAACTCAGATTAGTGTCTTGAGTTCTCCCAGTACACCGTGCCATGCTCCTTTTAATATAGCTGGTTAACTTCTGTCCTTAGCCTCTGCACGTGCACGCAGCATATGTTGTTTTGCAGTTTCTCCACTCTGATGTGTATGAGCGCGCACTCCCTCTGCTCATTAATTAGTTTTAGTTTAATTACCTCCCTACTTTCGTGTGCTAATTTCGCCACTGGTTCCATAAGCAGGTAATGAGGACCGATTTTTGTGTTCTTTCGTGATCCCGTGGCACTGGTGACTGGTGACTGGTATAACTGTTGGTGCACGCTTTCGGATCACATTATAGGCATTCTTTTAATTCATATTTTACCAACAAATCTGCTTCTAAAAGTCTTCATCTAAAAGATTTGCGATGACCGGGAATCGAACCCGGATCCACTGCTTGGAAGGCAACGATGCTGACTATTACACCATCATCGCTCTGTATTAGTTTCTATTATAAATTCCAAATAATGAACGGGAAGGCGATATTAAAAAGTATAATGTTAACGGAATTTCGGAAATTAATCTAATTTGAAGATACCTTGGACATTGTCTCGAACATTCTTAGACAGCACAGCTGTCTTATTAATAAAACCAATACGTTTCCATTCATGGGATAGCCAGTTACCTGGCAACGCCCGCTCATAATGCTTCTCCAAGCTCACACAAGTGTAAGCGAGGAGGAAGATAGCCATGCATTTCTGCATGAGGATCCCCATCACAGCAACCAACAGTTAATTTGTAGTTTCCAAGGCATAGGCCCTGTACCAATCACAGCTTGGTGGACTGGCCGGATTTCGCAGGGAGAACTGAGAGATACCCAGTGTATAATTTTCGCCTCAAGCGGGGTTCGAACCAGGGACCTCTGGGCTGCGAAGTTGAAGTGGATACCATTACCACTAGTCTCGCAGACTTCCTGCCCGCAGCTATGTACTCCAGGAGGAAAATTGTTGTACCAATGATTACCAGGTTTGGAGCAAAGAGAAAGAAGAAGATTAATATTGGAGGGATGTACTTAATAACATGAGCATGGGACCAGTGTTAGTAACACCATTAAAATTAGATCACAAGATTGAGACGAGGCCCAAAAAGCAATGCAGACCAAATGGGCCAATTTTGTTGACCAGACTCGTTGTGGATTCTTAAGCAAAAAAAGGACTGAGAACCAGAGTTGAACCTCTAAAATCTAAATAGAAGTGAACACCTGTTCTGTAAAGTGTAAATGTGTAATTTATATTTTAATTCATATTTTACCAACAAATCTGCTTCTAAAAGTCTTCATCTAAAAGATCTGCGATGACCGGGAATCGAACCCGGATCCACTGCTTGGAAGGCAACGATGCTGACCATTACACCATCATCGCTCTGTATTAGTTTCTATTATAAATTCCAAATAATGAACGGGAAGGCGATATTTAAAAAAATTAATCTAATTTGAAGATACTTTGGACATTGTCTCGAACATTTTACATTCTTAAGCGTTAACTTTAAGATCGAGGAAGGATGATGGTATTGTTGAATTATTTGTAGTAAAATGATTAACGTGATTAAGTCCCAGGCGAAAGTATCGCAACCAGAAGTAAAGGAATTTAACGCGTTACTAGTCAAATTTCAGAGTAAAGTAGTCATTATTATCTATAGTAGCTGTATATTGTCTAATTAATAGTTTGAAGATTATTATTTATAGTCGTCCTTACTCCTTACTGTACTAAAAGCTCCCTTAAAACTAGCCTCATGATTTGTAGTCACCAGCTACTTTTATGAATGATCAGGAAGATCATAACAGCACGTTTCCAATCCCAACAAGATAACTTTGGAGTAAGGCTAAATTATATCCAACAAATACGTTATTTCTACTACCAGTTCTTATGGTTTTATATTAATTGACAATTATATTTCAGTCCGATACAAGAAAAAGACATGCTGACATACCACAAGTCCTCTCAAGACGAACCATCTAACTCTACAGAGGGACTGATACTAGAGTCAGCAGAAGATGGCTGGAACAATGTAACTAGCAAGAAGAACAAGAAGAAGAGTGGAGGAGGAAAGAGCAGTCAGAGTAACGATGATAAGGAGAATGTTATCCACACTCAGAGTGAGGTAAGATATCCTCTCCTCCTTTGTTTTCTAGATAGCGATCTCTAAATTTTAGTTTAAGACGTGAGGGGTCATTTGTAGTTTGTACCATGTTTAAACAGTAAATATAAATATTTGTCCGATCATAGGGTGTTCAATTCTAATGGTGCTAACTACAAATTCTAAGGTGTTATAATTCTGCCGAAATTTCAGGCGGTAAAGATATTGGACCCGGCCGGAGCTTCTAGTCACAAAATGCTGCTCGGAAACTCGCACATATACGAGCTGGAAGATTAGTGAAAGTAGCTGGGATCTAGATAATATCTTTGTAATGTAGCGATAGTGATAGACGATCATAGTCAGAATTAAATAATTATTCAGTAAACTGTACAGTAACTTATTGTTATAGTTTTGTTGTGTCTGTGCAGCATGATGTTTGGATGGTCAGGTGACCTCAGTGCCCTGGAGACAGACGTTGTGAGTGTTTTTGAGAGTGATATATGTAACTGTTACCTGTGTGTAACTGATAACTGGGATCATTGCCAACAGACGCTAGGTTATGCTTTGTATTTTTCTATTTTGTATTTGTTTTCAAACTTGGTGTGACATATTATGGAATTTCCCTTTTCGTTGAAGATGAAAGTCTGCTAGTTTTCTGTGATTTTCTGGTTACTCTAAGAAATTCCGATCGGGTTGATGATTCATATTTTACTATGTTTTGACCTGGTCTAGAGACTGTGCAGATGTTATGTTAATTACCGCTTAAGTTCTAGTTTTGAGTCATAGCAAAGTTTTGAGAAGTGGTAATGTCGACAATACTTGTCGGTTATAAGAATTATTTCGTATTATTAATATGATATTCCTATTGTCAGACAGTGAATAGTGTAACTGTTAATTTATATTAGTTAGTAAAGAATAGCCCTACAAATGAAACTGTCCCGTAATATTTGGATTTTAGTTGATTGACGATGCTGTAAGATAGTTCGGGAGAATTGCTAAAAGGTGTTATATTGCTACCACCATCAGCTTTTAAAGGAAACTTCATGTGATATTTTGAGAGAGAGTGATAATTAAAAATGTTTTCACTTGGCAAAGTTATTCCCTAGTTTTACTTGTAAAAAGTAAATTTAATTCGAGAGAATGGGTTAAATGCCAATAAGAGTAAAGTCAATCCTAAACAAGAGAGCTTGGCTAGTCATCAAATTACCTATCGGCCCTAATCAAAGGGCTGCCGGTCGAATATCATCCAGACAGGGTTTGTGGGGAACTTGGTCACATGATATTTAGGAATGTATTGCATTCCAGTCAACAAGTATTGAGATTCGTTAAGCTTTAACAGGGCCATCACATTGTGTGACCACCCCACAGAAAGGAGATCTCTCTGTCATTCCTCCAGCAAAGCAGCGAGTTTGAGTTCTGAGGAGTGTAGCCCCTGATGGGCGGTGTATCCGGAAGAGATAGCAACTGGGTGAGCTGCGATTTGAAATGCTCTCGGTCGCCGATGCACGACGTGTTGTTGATTAGCGATATCGGATATTTGATGTTGATTGTGCGGTGAAGATAGTTTGTTGGTTCATATCCAAAAGAATCAATCAGGTTAGTTGAAACATTTCGGTGAGTAGCCCCCGTCATCTTTACGGGAAGTATCCAAGTATGGGATCTTTACTTGTTATTACTCAGCGGTACAAACAACAAACCTGGGATACAGTTACCTGATGCTAATATGTATCCATTGATATCTAGAAGTGAGCTCACTTTCTACTTTCTAGTTAAAATATCGCCGAGTTTTCTAGAGAATATCTGCTCACATACAATCAGTTGCTGTTGCCTCCTCTGGAACCATAATGTCTTATGACTACTCGAACTACACTCTGTTTGGAATTAAAGATTCTGCAGAGAGGAACGCTTTGGGATGGTGGATGATGTTCATTACCTTATCGTCCCTTCTCGGAGATTCCACAATTCTGGTTGCCTCCATTATTTTACTCATCGCTATTTTTAATGGCGTTCCCAATTCTATCTCAGTCATTTCTAACTCTAAAATTCCCTCATTGAAGTATCCAAGGTTGTACTTTGGACGCGGTTCCTTTTTACCGTGAGCTGTTTCCTTGTCTGTGCTATGACACTAGGAAAGCTTCTTCTACTAAAATATTATCTTAGAACAGGGTCTTGGTCTAGCAGCAAGCAGGCAAACTCAAAAGCTATGTACAGGAATATGGCTGATATCTATGCTTATTTCGTGCCTACAGTTTGTCATTGACAAAGATGCCATAATCTTTGACTTCCGGGTGTATACTACCATGAGCAAGCCTTTATCTGGCGTATGGAAGATACTACCCCTAGTCAGGACAGTTATTGTATTTGGTACCTCCAATGCTATCATAATCGTCTCTACAGTCCTTTTGCTAAAAGAAGCGACAAAAGTAGTAAGAGGATCCGGGGAATCTCTCCGATGGCAAGGAATTATGACTGTAGTTCTAACTGCCACAGTTTACACCATTTCTTTCCTGCCATTTGCTGTTTACCGCATGCTCGAGCCTTTAGTAGAGAAAGATGCATTGGTGCCACTGCCAGGACCATTCTATATATGGAATTTTTTGTCATACGTTGTATGACCCGCCGCGCACGAAGTGCGCGGCTCCCCCTGTATCGTCAGGACGATAGTGAAACGACCGTGGGGGTCGCAACGTGATACAAGGAATTTTATAGGATAGCATGTGCTTTTATGTTCTGCAATGTCCTAGCAAATTTCTTCATCTACAGCTTCTCTGTGACCAGCTTTAGGGGCCTTCTTAAAGACAAGGTTTCGATTGCTTCTGAAGTTGTCGTCTGATAAACGTCTTGTTTCTAGCTCTCGAAGTAAATGCAATTTTATATTTTTAAAACCTGGATCGTTTACGTAATCTTAAACCAAATTTCTAGGCGCAAGGATAAATTTAATTGACGATGTCAATTCATGGCAGCTCGGCGCGGCACAGTAGCGCATTTCGCCGATCTAGCTTCTCTGTCGCTGTGAGAAGCCTTATTAAGTGCGCGGCGCGGCAAAGTAACGCATCGCGCTACAAGGATAAATTTACTGGGCGGCGCTCAGCCCACAGCCTGTCATTCCGCCTAATCTCTATGTTTATGATTTGGACCGTTTGGTATGAAATTGAAGGCCACGGCTAAAATAGGGATTATGAAAATATGGTATTACATGTTTTGTTACTGGGCCCACAGGGGGAGCTGAAACCAGGTTTTCGATCAAACGCTGCCATGTGTAGTATGGAAGCGCATGTGTGTCAAAAAATAATGATACACATGCGCTTCCTAAGTAGCGTATGTGTGTCAAAAAAATTTTGATACACATACGCTAGCAGGTTTATGATGTAAATCATTATGTGGCCCATGTGTGTCATTTTTGTAAAATTGCTGTAATTAAATCTCTATTCAATATTCTAATCGCTATCTTGATCTATTTATATATGTATTTTATCCTTATCTCTATTTTATCTTTAAACTCCTCTCCGCCGATCGCCTCCCGTGTGAAACGAGCGCGCCTGCACGCTGCAGTGGCGCGAAAGCACATGGTTAGGTTAAAGCGCGTGTACTGTTGCTGCACAGTGCACAGGCTATAATGTTAACTGACGATGTCAATTCATCGCAGCTCGGCAAGGCACAGTAGCACATTTCACCGAATTAGCGTTGCAAGAAGAATAATCAATAATTGAATGCGCGGCGCGGCACAGTAACGGATCGTGCTACAAGCTATAATATTTATAAACATACTCATTGGAGAATGGAGCTATGGAGGAATGAAGCTGCCTGCTGCGCGTAGCATCACAGCTACCAAGAATTGCATATTGAAGCGTGTACGCCGACGCATGACAGGCAAGCTCCTGTGTCCTGGTTTCGTGCGCGAAGATCGAAATGCAATTGTTCGTGTATCAAGCCAACTGCCAAGTGCCAACAATGTGTTTATTGTTAGAAATGATAATGGACTAACCCGTTTCGGGATATTTCGTAGCAACTAGCAAGCTTGCCGCGCATCGATCTAATAATGCTTCTCGTTGTAAGGCCACCTTGTTTGTCGTTAGATATAGGCAAAATGCACCCAGCACCCCTGTGCCCTGCGGACCTCGCTGAGCTGCTATGCAAAGCGAAAAAGCAAAGACTCAATGGATGGTTATATTAGTGGTTACCCATACCGTAATGGGTGCTACGTGCCTAGCATGAAATATTTACTTACTTACTTGCACTTAATTTTTGTATTATATGTTCATAATCATATAAATTCGGCGGAATGACAGGCTTGAGGCTGAGCGCGGACCATACCAGTAAACTTCGCATCGAAAAATCCAACCGAGTAACATCCGCGCCGTCAACTAATAGTTATATGTAATAATTGAAAACAAACTTTGCTTGTTTACCTGAAATTAGAATTTTATACAATTAATGTAAGATTGAAGTCGTGTTTTTACCAATTTCCCTATACCATCCGGTAAATTAATTACCCTCAGCCCTTCGTTGTGCCTGTGGGCTGCGAGGTCGTATCGTGGCTTTCGCCACGGTATAGCGGGGGCGAAATGAATTACAAATGAGGATCGCGACGCGTGACTTGTAAGTTTATAACCTACCAGGACGCGCGCCGAGTTGGACTCGTCGACGGTCCTGATTAATATTTGAAGCAAATATTTTACGACTACAAGTATCAGTGATACTATCACCCGTTAAAGAAAGAATTGGAAATTGAACTCGCCGGTACGTCGACGGATGATGCTTGTCTAAATTTTTTCGAAGTAACACGAAAAACTTTCTTTTCGAAGCGAAATGTTTGTGTTACTGGGCGGCGCTCAGCCTGTGCCTTTTCAATGTCATTCCGCAACCCACAACCGTTTATCATTTACGAACGAATAAAAAACAACGTCAATGTTTTACATGTCACAGTTAGCTGGCAGTACGGCTGACAGCCCAGTTAATAAATTGTGCATCGCGCCGATTAAGAAAAAAACATTATTTGATGCGCTGATCAGTCTTCTAAGACTAATAATATAAAACATCGTTTCTTTTGTCCGTAATTGCCTGTACTGCGTGAAAATTACAAAATAATTACAGCACATTTACAAAATAAGAATAATAAAAAAGGAAACGTGTTTTCTCGTTTATAATTCATAATTATTTTTAGAATAACGCTTTATTGTTAATGCAATCATAGTGGTCAGCTAGTGACATGGCTATGACGCCTTTTTCTTACATGGTTATGACATGGTTATGACATGGTTATGACATGGTTATGACATGGTTATGACATGGTTATGACATGGTTATGACATGGTTATGACATGGTTATGACATGGTTATGACATGGTTATTGGCTATGACATGGTTACAACCAAAACTGAAAACTCCTTCAGACCAATTTTGAACCATTATGAGCACTTTCAGGATACAATTCATTTCCGTTCATTTCCGTTCATTTTATGAACCTGGGTCATTTTGTGCGACTTTTGAGGCCTAGTTTATGACACTATCTATCATAGAAAACCGAATTAGGGGTTCCCAGCCCTTACGTAATAAGTCTCAAATTTAAATGACACACATGCGCCACCTATTGATTTACATGATAAACCTGCTAGCGCATGTGTGTCAAAAACAAAAGTGACAGACATGCGCTACCAGGTTTATAATGTAAATCAATAGGTGGCGCATGTGTGTCATTTCAATTTGAGACTTATTACGTAAGGGCTGGGAACCCCCAATTCGGTTTTCTATGATAGATAGTGTCATAAACTAGGCCTCAAAAGTCGCACAAAATGACCCAGGTTCATAGAATGAACGGAAATGAACGGAAATGAATTGTATCCTGAAAGTGCTCATAATGGTTCAAAATTGGTCTGAAGGAGTTTTGGTTGTAACCATGTCATAACCAATAACCATGTCATAACCATGTCATAACCATGTCATAACCATGTCATAACCATGTCATAACCATGTCATAGGGTGGTCCTAGGGCCAACCAAACTCTTCAGACCAATTTTGAACCATAATGAGCAATTTTGGGATACAATTCATTTCCGTTCATTTCCGTTCATTTCCGTTCATTCTAATGAACGGAAATGAACGGAAATGAATTGTATCCTGAAAGTGCTCATAATGGTTCAAAATTGGTCTGAAGGAGTTTTCAGTTTTGGTTGTAACCATGTCATAGCCAATAACCATGTCATAACCATGTCATAACCATGTCATAACCATGTCATAACCATGTCATAACCATGTCATAACCATGTCATAACCATGTCATAACCATGTCATAACCATGTCATAACCATGTCATAACCATGTCATAACCATGTAAGAAAAAGGCGTCATAGCCATGTCACTAGCTGACCACTATGATTGCATTAACAATAAAGCGTTATTCTAAAAATAATTATGAATTATAAACGAGAAAACACGTTTCCTTTTTTATTATTCTTATTTTGTAAATGTGCTGTAATTATTTTGTAATTTTCACGCAGTACAGGCAATTACGGACAAAAGAAACGATGTTTTATATTATTAGTCTTAGAAGACTGATCAGCGCATTAAATAATGTTTTTTTCTTGATCGGCGCGATGCACAATTTATTAACTGGGCCGTCAGCCGTACTGCCAGCTAACTGTGACATTTAAAATATTGACGTTGTTTTTTATTCGTTCGTAAATGATAAACGGTTGTGGGTTGCGGAATGACATTGAAAAGGCACAGGCTGAGCGCCGCCCAGTAACACAAACATTTCGCTTCGAAAAGAAAGTTTTTCGTGTTACTTCGAAAAAATTTAGACAAGCATCATCCGTCGACGTACCGGCGAGTTCAATTTCCAATTCTTTCTTTAACGGGTGATAGTATCACTGATACTTGTAGTCGTAAAATATTTGCTTCAAATATTATTAAGGGCTGAGGGTAATTAATTTACCGGATGGTATAGGGAAATTGGTAAAAACACGACTTCAATCTTACATTAATTGTATAAAATTCTAATTTCAGGTAAACAAGCAAAGTTTGTTTTCAATTATTACATATAACTATTAGTTGACGGCGCGGATGTTACTCGGTTGGATTTTTCGATGCGAAGTTTACTGGTATGGTCCGCGCTCAGCCTCAAGCCTGTCATTCCGCCGAATTTATATGATTATGAACATATAATACAAAAATTAAGTGCAAGTAAGTAAGTAAATATTTCATGCTAGGCATGTAGCACCCATTACGGTATGGGTAACCACTAATATAACCATCCATTGAGTCTTTGCTTTTTCGCTTTGCATAGCAGCTCAGCGAGGTCCGCAGGGCACAGGGGTGCTGGGTGCATTTTGCCTATATCTAACGACAAACAAGGTGGCCTTACAACGAGAAGCATTATTAGATCGATGCGCGGCAAGCTTGCTAGTTGCTACGAAATATCCCGAAACGGGTTAGTCCATTATCATTTCTAACAATAAACACATTGTTGGCACTTGGCAGTTGGCTTGATACACGAACAATTGCATTTCGATCTTCGCGCACGAAACCAGGACACAGGAGCTTGCCTGTCATGCGTCGGCGTACACGCTTCAATATGCAATTCTTGGTAGCTGTCATGCTACGCGCAGCAGGCAGCTTCATTCCTCCATAGCTCCATTCTCCAATGAGTATGTTTATAAATATTATAGCTTGTAGCACGATCCGTTACTGTGCCGCGCCGCGCATTCAATTATTGATTATTCTTCTTGCAACGCTAATTCGGTGAAATGTGCTACTGTGCCTTGCCGAGCTGCGATGAATTGACATCGTCAGTTAACATTATAGCCTGTGCAGCAACAGTACACGCGCTTTAACCTAACCATGTGCTTTCGCGCCACTGCAGCGTGCAGGCGCGCTCGTTTCACACGGGAGGCGATCGGCGGAGAGGAGTTTAAAGATAAAATAGAGATAAGGATAAAATACATATATAAATAGATCAAGATAGCGATTAGAATATTGAATAGAGATTTAATTACAGCAATTTTACAAAAATGACACACATGGGCCACATAATGATTTACATGATAAACTTGCTAGCGCATGTGTATCAAAAATTTTTTTGACACACATACGCTACTTAGGAAGCGCATGTGTATCATTATTTTTTTTGACACACATGCGCTTCCATAGTGTAGTCAAACGTCGCCAAAAGTTGCTCTCGTCCAATGAAATCGCTGCATTATGTAAGCCAAGCTCCGCATATGAATATATGTAATTCAATTATGCATACTGACTTGCAAAATGCAGCGATTTCATTGGACGAAAGCAACTGTTGGCGACGTTTGACTACAAATGGCAACATTTGATCGAAAACCTGGTTTCAGCCCCCGCTGTGGGCCGCGCTCAGCCTGTCATTCCGCCTAATGAACATAATAGCCTGGGGTCCTCAGGTAAATGTTTTGATGTTTGTCAGCAATAACTACAGAATAGAAGGGAGGACAACAGAAATTACAGAAGGAGTGGCAACGAAAGTGGAAAGAAAGGAAGATCGCAGTACAACCTACAAAATATAAAATCGAAGATGGCTAAGGGAAAAAACTTGATGGAGAGGCAGAAATGGGATATATATAATAAGGGGTCTTATATTAATATATGTCTTATAAATGATTGATGTTTTATAATGTTTGGACCTAGTATTAGTAAATCTGGAGACAGATTGCATATGTTATGTTGATTTCCGCTTACGTTCTAGCTTTGAGTCATATTCATAAAGGGTTGTTCACATATTACATAAACTGAATAGTGCCACTTTTATATCATTTGTAGGTTTATATGTTATAACCTACCAGGACGCGCGCCGAGTTTGACTCGTCGACGAAACAAATATTTTACGAGTATCACCCGTTAAACTTAAATATATCATAAATTTAATGTAGTTAGTTTAGATTTCAGAATAGCCCCAAAAATTGAAACTGTCCCGTAATATGTAATATTTGGATTTTAGTCCATAGTCCATAGTCGATCGATGATGCTATCACTTCGATACGATAGTTTGCAAATAGTATTACAATGTCAGCATGAATACTATTATATTAATACGTCCACCTTTTTATTGTATCACGTCGTGACCCCCATTTGCCATTGTCGTTTCACTATAGAGTTTCTACGATACAGGTGGAGCCGCGCATTCGTGCGCGGCGGCCGGTCATACAACGTATGACGAATATTAAAAAGACTTAAGACAGTGTCAAATGGAAAGCATATCACGACTGAATATTTTAACGGGTGATACTCGTAAAATATCTGTTTCATATATTGGACCGTCGACGAGTCCAACTCGGCGCGCGTCCTGGTAGGTTGTAAACCTACAACTGAATATTCTGACAAATCAGATTAATCATGATCATGTATTCATCCGCGAGCATTTCACTTTAAAACTAATTTTAAACTGACATTCAATTAACGGGTGATTCTCGTAAAATATTTGTTCAAAATATATAGTATTCCAAGACTTGCTCTAACCAGAGCCCTCTCGCTTGCAGTAGCGCGCGTCACGCAATACGCGTAGACACATGGCTATGTTAATTCCAAGACCGTCGACGGGTCCAACTTTAACGGGTGATACTCGTAAAATATTTGTTTCAAATATCAGGACCGTCGACGAGTCCAACCCGGCGCGCGTCCGGGTAGGTTATAAACCTACAAGTCCAACTGCAAACTGGACTTTATACTCGGCGCGCGCGCGTTTTGGTAGGTTATAAACCTACACGTACAATTACTGGGCGGCGCCTGCATGCATCATTCCGCCAAATCTCTATTATTATGAACATAAATATAAATAGCCTGGGGTCCCCAGGTAACACGTACAATTGTTTGCAAGTGATTATTACTGAGGGGGGGTGCCCAATCGAAATAATTCTTTTTGGTATGACTTACTACCACTACTGGTTCGGGGATTTGTCAAATCGAAAAATTATTCGTGTTCATTTTTTTTCAAATGAAGGTTTATTTTCGCATTTATTCGATAGTTTGGATAGTCGGATTGAGCTAAATTTTATTGAATTGAGTTGGGCCATTTAAATTACGTTTGTCCTGAAAAAAGTTCTAGCTTCTCAGATGACCGAGATATGAAGCATAACAAGTTTGTTCATTACGTGTGATCAAGTGATTGGGTTGAGGCTAGATCTGCATTATGGGAATCGTGCAGGGATCCCAATTACAGTGTCGTAATTGGGTAATCATTGAGTACCCAATCAATTTTGCTAACGAGATAAACAAATTGCTTGATAACTTGTCATTTTAAATCCGTCTTTTCAGATTATATTCCGGATCAAATAACCTATTGCAATATGTTACAACGGAGCCTCTAACATGTTCACAAACACGAGTATAAGCAGTTCAATGTTGATTGGGTGTGGCCCCCAAAAACCGAATTTTCAGATTTTGGTGACGGAATCCTTGAACAAGTAGGTGCAGTATGCCATCTGCATTCTGCAAAGCAACAACTCTCAAATACAAAACACCGCGGTGGTATAAGACCCAAAGTATGGGTACTGACTTTTGGTCCCCCCCTGTAATTATAATATAAACTGTGGCTTCAGTTAGGTTGCCCCACCAAAAGATCAGAATTATCATAGCAAGCATCCTGTAACACATTAAAAGAACCATTTTATATATGTTACTATCTAAATTATTGAATATTCATTTGTGTTGCAAAATTTATAATTCAATTCAATAAATAAACTTGTATATCTAACAGATTAGATATTTTTCGATATGACCTGTATAATAGTAAAAGTAATAGAAAAATATAAAATAATGCCTGGTGGCGCAAGGCTAAATAGCACTACTGCAGTGCATTTACTACTTAACTGCTTCAGAAACTTAAGTAAGTAAGTAAGTAAGTAAGTAAAGATTATGACTTATTTATTGATTATGAAGATTATAACTTATTTTGATTATAAAGATTATGACTTATTTTGAAATAGATTTGATAGTTGTTTCTGTTAGGGGGAAGTGATATCTATAAGCTGCTTTTAGTCCCAATTTAAATTCATAAATTGTTTCGTTGAATTGGTGCTTATCTCAAACCTAAAATTTGATTCCTAATCAAGTTATTTCAATAGCATCATCATGAAGAAAACCGCCCACAATGGAATCCTCAACGGCCTGTAAGTATTTAAGCTACTTCTAATTTTTTACTCACTAAATTATCTTCTTTAAGGTACTGAATTGGTCTTCATCCATATCAGAATTTCATTAAGAATTTCATTAAGAATTTCTTGAATCGTTAATATCAATGTTTGATAATTTAATAATTTGCGAAATTATGTATTGCGCCTTAGCCCACTAGGTCACGATAATTTCCTTTGCTTTAATGCAATTTCATTCGCTGCTAACGTTGAATGTTCTCCCCAAACTAATTACCGTGGGTCTTGACCCTAGCACATTAAAAACGGGGATCAAGCTCTTGAATCTGTTGTAATAACAATTTAGCTTAGTTACGAATTAAGATCCCACAAAGTACAAAGTGTCTGTCAACTGTTAGTTTTTTCTATACATTTAAAAGATTAATGGGTATATTTTAACTACAAATGGAATAAAAAAAATTATGTTTGGGATAATCCAGATAGAATTAGGACTACTCGCATAATTTTCAAATTTATGTCATCGATGATATAATACCTATAATATTTAGCTTCCTTAGTTGTGGAATTATTCAGTAGAGCTGTATTCAGTTTGCTTCCTACTGAAGTTTAGAGAAATGTTCTAACATCACCCAGGAGACTCTAACACCCACTACCCAGGAGACTAATGACTATATTAATGCGTTGTGTTTTGTGTTGCTCTACGAGTGCTCATGGGTTCTAGATACTTTATGCAGGTTACCTTGTTCCACCAGTTAATTAAAGGATGAGGGGACCTTAGAATTTACTTCCAAATATTCGCGTTTAAGTCCTGTGAAAGTGTGTAGAATCAAAAAATACGCCGGACTGTGAAATCGATAATTCGTGCAATATCACGCCGCGCTCCTATTGGCTGATAGCAATTTTGGGCTGTGACGTCACTTATGTGTTAAGACCAACGTGCGCGCACACCCTTCGCTTGTGTCAGCATTTTCTTCTGTGCTGTTTCAATTACGTCGTGTTACCTTTGGCGTTTGCGAGAGCGGTATCTTTGTTTGCACTGAACTAGTCAAGATCTAAGTTACGAATAATTCTCCTTAATAGTTAAATGTAACTCAGAAAGGCTTTCTTGTAGTTGTAGTAGGTATTTATAAATAGCTAAGATAAGTAGCATCCGCTAACTAAACCACAAACTGCTATTTTGTTTTGACTTGTTTGAAACCCGATATGGACACAATTAAAAATCGGCATATTTCTTCATACAAGAATACAGATCTAAAAATCGGTTGAATGTATGATGTAGTAGAAGACATTTTACTAGCTGGCCCTTGGCGCCTCTAGTCCTATCTGAGTGCGCACGTGCGGTTTGACAATGCGGCGTGTACCGGCCTTTAGTTGTACACTCATTTATAATTTACCGTTTTAGTTTGCTGTGACTTGAGTGTAAAGCGTAACGAATGTGGATGTGTTCGTCTGCTATGCTTGGTATAATATTGCTTGGTGTGATAGTTGCAAATCTTGCTTACGTTATAAGTAGTGTCACATAGTGAGTTAGAACTTAAAAGCTTGGTGCTTGTTGCTTGTCCAACTGGAATGAAGACATGCATTTCATACCTACCCGATCCATTTTTATTAGGACCGTGTTGTGTTGATATGACATATGAGGTGTTACGTTGGGAGCTATAAATATACATAATTTACATGCCTTTCTGTGTGACTTCAATCTTATTTCAGGTGTATCTCGGCTCATGGTTATCGTAGGGTGATAATTCTTTTTTCAACCGGTCATAAAAAGTCTCCTCTCCATTGGTTATAGGCTCGTTAGTATCGTAAATTGTTAATGTATTCTTAATTATTAATTTAGTCGGCCCGCACGCTCATTTTACCTGTATTTCTATATGCGCGGATCAGAGCAACTCACATAATTGACGTCACAGGTTCAAATTGTTTTGGCTGGATATCTCGGCGCGCGAATGAAATACAACTTTGCGGATTTCACTAAAGTGGTTTATACGATTAATGTAATAAAAGGATTTGCACGAGAAAAAAACTTTTTCTAAGGTCCCCTCATCCTTTAATGTTTGCATGTCCTGGTACTTTGGCGCTGGCCTGGTTCCATTCTACATAGGACCACTACATCACACAGCTCAATCAATAGTTAATCGATTCCTATACGTTTTATCCAATGTGATTACCACTCACATTCAAAATGAATTTGTATAATCCATACATATTGCAATTGAGTTATTACAATGTTCTCACTGAGTTGTACAATGTTAAAAACGTGATTAAGGACATATCAGGGCCTATGTCACAGCCAGGGGGCCTGGTGATAGAAGTGAGCCGTGAAGTAATTTTAGGAGAAGAGAAGTGCTATTGAGTGGGTTGTAGTTATTTCACTGAAGTTTCACTGGGTTTCAATGAAGTTTCAATGAATTTTCAATGATATGACTGTCTCAATTTTATTTATTTCCATCATATCCATTAAAGTCAATTCCTAGAAAGATGATCTTTATTTGCGAACTTTCCGAATGACCAGTGTCTCTGATACAATTCAGATGAACAACAGAAGTTTGTATGTGGCACTGGTGGCCCTATGTGGCACTATGTGGTACTGGTGGCCGTATCAGACAGTCCATTTTCCGGCCTAGTCTAGCGTGTTGTTGATTTAGTGACCTGTGTATTGAGGTGAGAAATAACTAGTACACTCGCTCGCAGCGGTCTTGTTTATTATTAGGGGAATACTATTACTATACTATTTGATTACATCATTTAGTTCAACAACTCTATATAATACCAATAATATACTTTTTCATGCTCTAATCTCGTCTACTGTTCGTTGTATCAACAGCTGAAGTTAAAAGCTATTTTCAGTTTTCGAGTGCAGCTGCGAGCGCAGATACAACAGTTCAAGTAACAACGCCAATTACGCTGATTCAAATCTGTGTCTTGATTTCGATAAATAATTTTAATTCGGTGAAAATAAATATAATATGATATATGTATACCTATGACCCTGCCGTCATAAAATAGTACCCAATGTACATATGTTCTAATCATGGAATATCATGTACACATTGCACAATCCCTTCGTATGCCGTTTATTGCCTCTGTATAATAGGTTACCTGGAGCGGAGTCATAATATCTTGTTTTATTTAATTTGTAGTTGTTTTTTTTTCCTTGTTCAAGTTTTGTATCACCAGTTATGAGTTGACCGCTTTGTCGGTCACGATTAGCTTGTTACAGAGCTTAGTAACAAAGAGGTTGTGTCTCGGCCAAGCCGGCAATTTGCCAGTTTTCGTTTTCGTTTCCTCTTAGTAATTCGATAATATCCTGAAACCCTATTATGTTCTCACCATTACAAAAGGTAAATTAAACAATTCCTCCAGAATGAGACATCCGGTTTGCACGAGTACGATACCAACCTCGCCCTGTGCTGACAACACGATAAACCCCATACGGGGACTGGTGGATAACCTGGTCATCAACCCTAATCCTGACAAACCCTTCCTCCGACTCAGTATAGGTGGGTTCCTCTATTAGTCTAGCTACTTTTTTGTAGAATAATATCTAGATTCTAGTCATTATATGTATGCGTCTAAGTAACTTTCTAATCTTAATTCTTGCGTGGGCGATAGGAAATCAGTTTGACCTGAAAACTGGGGTTGAAATTTGACCACACCCCTGACCCTAGGGGTCCTAGCAGGAACCCGTATAACCCTATAATGGTGTCAAGACTCAAGAGACTAAAATAATTATTACCTATTTAATTTGCGTTTTTGACACCACTTGGGGTACCAAATTTTGGGCTCTAAAACTCCTATTTCTTGGACAATTTTTTATTTTTTCATGCTGATTTGGAGGCCATTAAAGCATTTGACCCAGTCAAAAAAGTTTCAGTTGTATATCTTTTACGGTTTTTGCGGAAATTTGCGTTAAAATTGATGCCGTGGTGTCAGTAAAATGGCACGGATAAATATATATATATCGTCTCGCTTTATATATAGTAAGATTGCTAAACATTCGATTAGTAGACAGTTATGTTGGCGTCAAATTTTACAGTTTACACGTAAATTAATCATAGTTATTAGGCCGATTAGTGCCGAAACGTCGATTATTTTCATTTAGTTTTCACCAACTATTTACCGTGATGCTCCCTACTAAACAACTCAACACGTAGAGTTTTAACAATAATTAAGTCGTTTTGCAACTTCCTTGTATGAGCTGGCGCCTGGCATGAATGTTGAAGACAGACTGGGCAACTTATCACATTAAAACGTGAAACATAGCAAGTTTTACAATACTTACAATGAAAATTAAGCCTTTGGAATGTTCTCACATTCTTGGATAAGCTAGGTCTAGGAGTAATGTGCCAGTTATTTATTATCAACTTAATAACACCAGAATGTGTGTCTGTCTGTGTGTCTGTCTGTCTGTGTGTAATTTCCGAACGGTTATACAAAAAAAACGGTAATAGTTACGGGACTGGTTTTTTCGGTATAGTGCTGACAAAACTCTGACGAAGCCCATAAGCAAATTTTATAAAAATCGGCCGGTGGTAAGTGGTTTAATTGATGATTTTGTTCCAGAAATGTGACATAAATGGATGGGAGAGAGAACGAGGAGAATAACATGTACCGTAATTAGTTTAGCCCACGTAATACTATAAGCTTAGAGCTCACTCTTGAGTCTTGCGGCCGCTTTGTTTCAACTGTAGGGAGATTTCATACTTTCATAAGACAGCGTTATGCGTGATATCAAATATATAATGCGGTTGTATACTTTTACATTGCAACTGTGACAGTAAAGTCCCGGCCGAAGGCACGGGTTACACTAGTTATCAGTATAATTTCACAGGTATTGATCGGAATTACTTTTTCTTGAGAGTTTTTCACACTGAAAACAAAGATTCAGCCCTAAATAATTATTTGTCCCATGACTAAGAAATAAATAATCAAATAAGCGGTTTAACACAACCTCATAGTCATAATGTTTGGGTATGAGTGGTTTGTGACTTGTGAGCGTATAACTATAATGCGTCAACGGTCAATTATCATCGTCGATAAATATTTTACCGAATTTTTTCTGATTCCAGAATCGAACATTCCAGAGCTTACAATGTTATTTACTGGTCAAATGTTGTATCTGAATATTTAACATATCTAACTGTATCACGTGATTCATTGCGCACAGACTCATCACGTACTGATGTTTTGAAGTAGCTTAGAAATAATGATACAGTCTAGAATACATACTCATAGACTATTGAATTTACCATGACATTGTTTTTATAATTAACGTTTAAATGCGTTTAGTTAATCAATTAATGCCATGCAGCGTCACTATAATATAATCTAGCATATTCTAAATTGAACCTGATTATAGTGTAAACATTTAAACAGCGTTAAATCATGTGTTCTCTGCATATAACTAAATCAGCTAGCTTCCTCGTGCTATGCATCACACTCTCTACAAACGAATAACATGCTGCAGAGCTGCTAAATTTACTGATCTCTGTATATTAAAGAGTTAAAGATGCCAAGAAATGTAGGAACCTTCTAGAACATTCACTGCGTGTTACTCGGTTAGCTGGCGACTAGTGGTCAAGTTGCGTGCATTCAGCGCTTCTCTAAATGGTAAAATTACTGAGCTGGCAGCGATTTGGTTATTTAGCAACTTGAATGGTCGCCAGGTTAAATTGAAAGACGGTTACACGTCTTGTCAAATTGCAATTACATATGATTAACAATGATTTCATGGCTAGTTGTAAAGATGTCGAGTTAGCATGAATATATGCTTAAGATGATAAACAATCCAACATTTTATCAACTATATCCCAGTAACACAGTACATTGTACTTGACTTTTTGCTATTCCTTGTAGACAGCTATTTAAAACTCGATTAAGAACGTTAACTGATTTAATAATGTAGATTACGCGATGCCTCAGAAACTTTTATTGGATTGAATCTCGTAAGGCTCTAGATGGTACTGTATTATTAACTATAACCTAATGTAACTGTATTATAGGTCCTTTAATCGTATCCTGGCATATACAGTTGGCACTTGTAAACGTATATACAAGTCTGTAAGAACTAGGATATTGATCACCTGGGTTACTCAACCCAAACACATCAGCTGTACACTGTACACTGTCTACTAGTTGTTAACTAGCACACTTGTGTTGTACACACAAGTGCTCGTATTACAAAACATCACCAAACCATCACACGTGTCGTACTGTATCACTGGTATACTATAGCTCTACACTACACAGTACACACTACACAGCATGCACTACACAGTATTCACTATTCAGTCACGTACTATGTGCACAGTGCATGACCACAATATACGTTAATTATCCTCAAAATATGAATATATAATGAATATAACATGTTAATTATACTCACAATATTAACCCTTACTTAACACTATTACTCAGGTGACCCGTCAGTGTTCGGTAACTTCGACCCTCCCCCACAAGTAATAAAAGCAGTAGCTGACAACCTGACAACAAGTTGCTATGGTTACGTGCCCGCTCACGGTTTGGTCAGTACTAGATCAGCTATTGCAAAGTACTACAACACTGCTTCCAGCCCCCTCACCAGCAATGTAAGTGTGTGTTTCCTGTCTACACTAGAGTTAGCTGTTTAGTAGATATCTAGTTGAGTACTTGTACAGACAGGTCTTAGAGAGAGCAAAGTAAATGGGGCTGTTATTACCTGTTATATTACCTTGCTTTTATTTCAATTTAAGTCGTAATGTTTAATTCATTGTGTTCATCAATTAAAGAAACAATTGTGTATGTCTTGACTAGAATTTAAATTAGAGAGATAAAAATAGGCAGGCCCAAAGATTTGCCTTTAACGATGGGCTATAATTACGAAACTAAGGTGATTTGTATTGCAACTTCATGATAAATACCATGCTGTATGTGCGCTTTAAGCTATTAAGTCATTACAGATATATATAGATAGGAATATTGCATATATTCAACGGTTCAGCCGTAGACATAGAATTAAGGGTTTGTAAATGATCTGCACGTTTAACACGCACAGTAATTAATATAATAATATGAGAGAATGGAAAAGAATATTCAAACAATATACACATAATATAGCAATGGCCAATTGGCTGACTATAAGGTCATGGCCTGAACAAACAATTTTATTAAATAGTCAAGTGATGCTAAAGCAGAGCACAAATGTGTAATAAGTTAATAGATTAAAAAATATATATAAAAATATATATAATAATATAATAATATTCAACCCCTGACCTTTGAAAAATAATCTCTTTCATGACTGACGAAGTGTTTAAAATCGAAAATAAACCTTAAATAGTTCTAGAACTATCAAAGCTTGGCATCTAGTTAAAGCATATAAAACCCCGATTGACAATTATTGACACTTTGGAAATTCTGGAATCTAGTTTTTGAGAGAGAAGTGAGAACACTTCTTGTGTTTCTGATAATTATTCTATATTGTTATGTGAAAGTCTCTTTGAAATCGTCAACAAATTCTTTTCAACAAGAAATTCTTTTAACAAGAAATGCTCGATTCTCGATCTCACACAATAGAACAATCCAGTCGGGTCAGAGTGTTAGGTCTTCTGAAATTATTTACCGCACGCGCGGAATCGTTTTTGCTATCAAAGGGAAATTTGTGATGTTGTACCTTAACATTATTTACCGATTAATGGTTAGAGGTAAGAATCTAGTTATTATAATATTTAAAAGTGTGATCCTCGTTTAAGCGAAAGGATAACAACATTGTTTACATACTTGGGCTGATTAAATATTGAATCTTGAACCTTATGTTTCCCAGTATGCGCAACGGTAAGATTATTTCTGGCGACCTATAGGATAGGCCTATCCATAAGCGCGCGCTCAGTGCGCGCACTTGATCAGCAGCGCAGATAACATAAACACATAAAATCTGACTCACAAGTCGCAACACGACAAGACTGCGACGATCATACGATGGTAAGGTTGCTGGTCACCTGGGTTCCAAACTCCAAAGTGGTCAAATAATTAACGGGTGATACTCGTAAAATATTTGTCCAAAAGATTGTCGACGAGTCCAACTTAACTCGGCGCGCGTCCTGGTAGGTTATAACATACTATCAAATAAATACTCTATGTGTTCAGATCAATAATGTCTTATCTCCGATCATAATCCAGGATGTGTTTGTGACGAGTGGTTGCAGCGATGCTCTGCGAATTGCCATGGATTGTCTGGGTTCAGAAAAACGAAACATCTTGCTCCCAAAGCCGGGTTTCTCTCTTTATCAAACCATTGCAGGAAACCGGGGCATTCCCGTCAAGTTTTACGACCTTGATGTAGGTATTTACATCGTTTTAAAAGTTACCTTCGGTCTCGGTATGGCGTATATGTCTTCCAAATCGAAGTTTGATGATTTCCGATTTTGTCAGTTCGTGTGTTTAATACAGTTTTACGATTTCATCGTTTATAAAATTGTGTATGTACCCCCTCTTGTGCAATTCCTGTTAATGAACTATGAAGTTAAAGTGGAAAATTGTTTTTTTTATTGTAATTTCGTCCAGTTGTCCAACAAATTAAAAAATACCTTTGCAGCCAGAGAACAACTGGTCAATAGATCTAAACCAGTTAGAATCGCTGATAGATGAGAACACTGCTGCCATATTGGTAACAAACCCCAGCAATCCCTGTGGGAGTGCCTTCTCTGTCCAGCACCAGCGCGATATTCTGTCAGGTTTGTGAATGAAAATTTAAGCTCTATTCCAAAACTTTAAATCTTATCACACATTCAGATCAGATCAGATCGAACGTACCAGTTCGAAGGCACTATACTCTATAGTTTAAACTTCAAACGGGGCAATCGTGAGTTAAGAGATTGGTGTGTGTTCGAAAGGTTACTCCTCTAAAACATTCCAGTCGCCGAGAAACACGGTTTGCCGCTGATAGCAGATGAGATTTATCAAGACATGGTGTATGACGGGGAGAGCAAATCGTTTGGAGAGCTCAGTGAACATGTTCCTGTTTTGTCTTGCTGTGGTCTCGCTAAACGGTTTATTTTTGTGAACGTTGAAGATATGAAATTCTAGCTTTGTTGTTTATGAATTTTTCTGGCTTAGTACCGCATACCAAATCCTTGAATTTAAGGTCATTGTTATATTTTACAGGTGGCTGATTCCTGGATGGAGGGTAGGCTGGCTCATCGCACACGATCGACACAACAGACTGTCCAAGGTAGAATACAAATACACTCTCTTGTTTTTAGTTAAAGGTTACGATTAGGTCTTAAGATTTGAATTAGAGTCTGTTGTCAGCTACTAATGTTGAAACATTTCATTATCCCAGGTAAGAGATGGATTGACAAAACTGTGCCAAGTTATAATTGGAGCCAATGTATTGATCCAGGGTGCTGTCCCGCAAATTCTGGAGACTGTCCCACAATCTTTCTACGACGACACATTAAAGCGACTCAAGGTAATAATGGACCCTTTAAGATGGTGATTTCCGTCGATTTCTCGCCTTTTACTAGTGTAATAATGAGAAATCACAACTTATCTATCAAGGAAAAAATCTCTTAAAACTACTAGTTCAACAGATTCATTATCAATAACCTTTCAGAGTGCGTCGGAGGTTGTGTACTCTGAGTTAAAAGATTGTCCTCAGTTAAGGCCCTTCAAACCACAGGGGGCAATGTACATGATGGTCCAATTGAAAGTAAGCTTAGAATTTAACAACTGCTGTTGGTTGATTCTTGTGTTTTTTCAGCGCTAATATTTAAAGCTTGATATGATCGTTTCAACTCTCAAATCATCAAAAACTCCCTCAGATCGATCAGTTTGAAGACATTGGAGACGATATGGAATTTGTTGAGAAGCTGATAACCGAGCAAAGCGTCTTTCCCCTTCCAGCTAACGTATGAAAAATAATTATACATCTCACACTTCATATCGCCTTAAATATCTCGACTTGGGAGAGATTTTTATTTGTACCACTGTTATCAAAAAATTCCTCTAATATTTTCTCACTCCTATTTCTCCTCCAGATATTCGGTATCCCCAACTACGTACGCTTGGTGCTTACAGTTCCAGAGGACATCCTCAGAGAAGCCTGTCAGCGGATTGTTGAGTTCTGTGATCAGCACAAAGCAGCTGTTCCTCGCAAGATATCCAGGATTGAAGTAGCTCCCTGAGGTCACGTGAGATGAACTTACTGCTGTTATATGGCATTGTGGACAATGTGGACGGTCATGATTGTTGCTGAGAGATTTTAATATAGGACTGATTTAGATTGATGTAGAATTATTGAACAGCTTTATATTCCACAGAGACTTTACTAAATTGTCGGGCATCCTGATCATCATAATCGAACCTAATTTAAGAACAGAAAAACCCCGGAATTTTATGCTCATGGGAAATGCAGTAAACTGTGTAACGTGCAATTTTAATAGGAATTAGGAATGTGAAGTATTTTGACAGGCCAAGATAAATACATTTCGTGTTCAGATTTCAATGTAATGCCAGGAGAGGGGTATCATTGTTTCGGGTTTATTCTGTTCTTAAACTGTGTTCCTGAGAATTTAGAAAAACTTACTTTGGTATTTATTGAAGAAAAGTTATTTTAGTTGTACTTATAAAATGTTATGTTGACTGTTTTTATCTAGAGTTTACCAGACAAATGATTTTAAAGCCGACACTCTCGCTGCTGCTGATTGTTATCTATGGTGTTGTCAAACGAAAGTAAGCCCTGCGTTATAGTGCTGACAGATCCGTCTGAACAGAATCAGTATTCCGACACAACAAGCTTTCAAAGGATGTGGGACTCTAAAATGTTAAAAATCCTCTGAAAGCTCGTTGTGTACATAAATAATTTTTTCAGACGGGTCTGCACAATTACTGAAAATCCCACCAACATCTCATTTTTGATTGTACTAGCACTAAAAATATCTTCGAATCTCAAAGAAAAATTCTGTTTATATTTGACAACATTTGGTATGATAGTGTGATGTGGTCCGGAATGTGTTAAAATTCTGAGATTTCACTTGCTGAGATCTTATTGTGTCCTAATTTCTGAATAGGTAGATTAACTCGTTTGCGAAATATTTTTGTTTTTCATGCCTAGAATAAATCTTTATTCCGTCTAGGTACTGGATTCCATAGTTTTTAGCTAGTAAGCAAATATAGATAGTTAACTAAAATGTGTTATCGAAATAATGTTATTAAAGAAGACAAAATTCAAAATTATTTGAAACTTTGATCTTTTATACGGTCCAAGAAATACCATTATATGCTTGTTCCAATTATATTTTCCATTTCCAGCCATTCGTAACCGCCCACAAGATAAACTGTTCCTCAATTTCTCGCGATTACGTATTTACGTTTAAACGAGAATATAATGTTTTCTTGAAGTTGAGGTAATTATTTTATCCGTGCATCAAAGTTCAAGTTTAATGGAGATTGGAATTAGGTACAGTGTTTAAGTTTTCAAATTAAATAACGGTAAAAGATTCACTGAAAGTTAGCGCAACCACTTACGCATTGCTGATTTGTCTTCAAGTTGATTTAATGCTTTTGTGAAATTTCCGAGCTATTATACTGTGGGTAGGATCTTCTAGGATAGCATTACAACTTTACTTATTCACAATTTTTGATCAAACAGTCAAAAATACACCAAAAACAATGTAAATTATGTTTGAAGACAAATTTTTAATGCGTGTCTGAATTTAGGCAATCTACTATAGACCAAACCAACTGATGGGAGTAAAATCTTGAGATCACATCTTCTTAGTTTAATGCGAACAGAGAGGCAATGTTTGACCTGAATTTTTGAATTATCCCATACATTCGGTTTGGTCTACACCTCTGTTGAAATTATTATATATCCTAATAAGTAATATGAGTAGTAGTTTTCCATTTTATAGAATATTTGTTATTTCAGTAAATAGGTGGGTGAATTCGTGTTTAAGATCTTTGTAGCTTTCAAGACATACGTTAAAGTGATTTGTTTGTAGTGTTTTGTATGCTTTATGTTTATCAGAAGATTGGCTTTTAACTTTGATTCCAGGAAATTGATGTAACTATACGGTTATAAAGCGAACGAGAAGGGTAATATACATGTGCAGTTGTCACAGAATTCGATTCCCCGGAAAGAACTTTACTATAAAACTCAATTTCGACCCAAATATGATGTGTTAGAACAGGCCTACTTTTTGAAAATTGCGATTCGCGTACGTTAGTCGTGTATTAATCATGCTGAGAGAATCCTGGGATTATAGGAATGCAAGCACATGTCCTTCATTACTCTACTGTTATGTCTGCTTTCAGTTCAATATCTTAATTTCCATGCTACTGGCATCTGGCCGTTATATATCCTTGAACAACATTTAATATCAGCCACTTCAAGTACAGCGAGCAGTGCTTTAATAATATGCACCATTTTAGCTCGTATTTGTAGAGTTGCTCTGTATTGTAGACAAATCATAACAATGCCCACCATTACCTGTGTCCTCTTTAAAGCTTTTAGCATCGTATCTCCAGTTCGATTGACGTATCTCACATAATTACCCCGAAATGTTTCACTGTTGATCCAGTACAGGAATAGATTGAAGAGCTGAGAACAGCCTTATGCTCTTAGTATTACCCTCTCAGTTCCTGCCCATCTGTTTGTGTCTTTGTTTAACGATCTTACAATCTTAACTTAGAGTTAGATTACCGAATGATACGAATATTTAAATTTTATACCACTATAGGTCAATAAACTGTAATAGTTTGGTCAGTTCCGGACAATATGAGCCAATCACCGGCCGCGGCATTTCAAAGTAGAGGGCTAGTGAACAATTTTGTAAGCCTCTTAAAGGTCTATAGAACCAAAATACGTCAGAATTCTTGTTCACAATCATACCATTTTGTGTGATATTCTTATATATACATAGTTTTATTCCTATCGGCTGACGGCTTCTGAACATTGAAATTAATATTGAATGGGATAAAAATGATCAGAATGGCCATAAGTCAAAAATGCTTAATTTAGAAGCTGAGTCATTGGCTACAAACTGATTTTGGCTGAGCGCAGATCGATTTTGCTAATTTTTGAAAGAAGCATGCCATATTAGGGGCCATCTACTTAGGACGTCCGGCAAATAGGGAGGGAAGGAGGGGGTGGTTTTGGGATTTCGGACAAATCCGGACAGGGGGAGGGGGTGGTTTCTGAAAATCTGGACGTCCGGAAATTTTGGCAGAATTAACGAAAAAGTCCCATTTATTTCAACTCTTTGACACTAATTACTTTGTAAGTTTAGATTCCCGTATTTTGAACGAGAAGTCGATTCCCAGAGAAGCTCATGAGAGCCGAGACACAACTCGCATATTCTTCTACTGCGTTAAAACTTATTCGATTGGATGGCTACTTAAGTACTTAAATGTAACTGTGCTAAACTTGTTCGACATTAAATGTATTATTGTCTATTTTAAGTAACTACACATTTTATTAATAATGAATTTCAGTTGTATTGGTTCTATTTGTACTCTTAAAAGTAGCTGGAAATCCGGACGTCCGGGGGAGGGTGGTTTTGAAAATTCGGACACACCCGCCCACCCGGGCAGGGAGAGTGAGGGGGGGGGGTGGTCTGAAAAGTAGATGGCCCCTTATATTAGACACTTCTATATTCTGGATGTGTCTAATAGTTAACTAATAAGAATAAAACCACAACATTTTACTTGTTTAAAATCTTTCAAAATGTCTCCTTTTATTCTGATGAACTTCCGTTTGTCATACAGCTTTCTTCTTTAATCGTGTGCCACAGTGAACTCACTAATTGGTCGTGGAGGATAAATTTAGTCAAAACAGTGACGTTTGTGTCGAGGAAAGCTAAAGCTGATATTTGAAAATTTCCTAACCGGTAGGACATTTTCATGATTTTCCTTTTATCAGACTTTTAAAAAAAAGTCAGTACGATGTTCAGCTGAAGCCTATACAACTTGGACTATATAATTATATACTCGGAAAATCGCCCTTTTGGCCACACCATTTTGTGTGATATTCTTATAATTATATAAGATTTGGGGTGGCCAAACGGGCGATTTGGGGTGGCCAAACGGGCGATTTTTTTAGTCTGGATTTTTGGGCTCCAATTTTCCCCCCCAGTTTTATAGACCTTTGAGAGTCCCCAACAAAATTTCACCCCTCTACTATGAAATGCAGGTGATTGTCTTTAACTGACCAGACTATATAATAAGGTTCATGGTTTTATACTTTATGCATGAACAATGAACATCGACCCTAATTACCGACACAAATCTCACATTAATTCAGGATTCAGGTGACAGGTATATAGTTGCATGTTGGACAATTACACTAACAGATAACGAAGGAAATGATTATTCTGTAACCCGAATACCCAAACAGATAGGCTGACATGTCTGTGAAATAGTAGCTTGTGTTGCATATGAGCCGATGTCGACTGGTTGGGGCTGCACAATGACATCTGTATCGGTATCGCCTGCTTACCAATACCAATAGTTGTATTTGTATAATAATAATATTGCTATTGTGATGGTTCAGTATTGTTACGTGGAATATTGTTACGTGGAGTATTGTTACGTGGAATATTGCTTTGGGTGGAGCTGCACAGTGCACATGGCTTATACTATCCCCCTACATGTTATGGTAATTTTCTCATACTATTACTACTTTAGTATAACTATAAATATTTGACTATTTATATATTACTGTTACTGGGCCGTTCAATTAGTGCCTACAAATTCACAATTCAATATAATGGGGAATTCGGAGCTGGTATTCGGCTGCGTCTGCGTTAACTACGCCCTAATATTTGAATGGGTTAAATAATTTAACTGATATCTAACTAAATAGCTCCATGAAGGACACATGTTTAACGTTTAATAGTTAAGCTGATTGCTATGTAATATGCAAGCTATCTGATCAGAATTACGTGAATTGTTTCATTGCAAGGACAATAATTTAATGCCTTTTACTACTAAAAGTAGATACCGAATTCCATAATTTGGCTCGATAATTTTAGTTCTCACTTCTCATTCGTTGGAGTGTTCTTCAAAAGATCACTGTAACGGACCAATAGAAGAGCAATAGGAGTTTGTACTTTGCTCAGTTGAGACGATAGTGCTTGTAAAACGGCTTGTGAGAAGTTTATATGCTTAGTCCACAGTTCTAATATTCCCCGGCTTTTTTGGTATCGAACAACGGTAAATCAAGGCGAGGTTTGCTCCCATCATATCCAATCTGGCTTAATGATAACATCACATCGCCGGTTAGAATTTTCCGACTATTGTAGCCTAGCCATATTCAAAATGCAATAAAATCAGGGCGATCGGTCCTATTCTTAAGATGTAAGTTGTGCAATTTATCACGATGATAATAAAAAGGAGTTGTGACTGTGAACCGTAAAGCTTTCTGCACACCTACTAGATTCACGTCTAAAAGCTGTCATGATTTGATGAAACGATCACGTAATCTAGACCACTACCATTACCACAAGTGCGATTTACAGTTTTACTTAATTAACAGGTTTGTGTATGACCATGGTTAAATTCTCACATTCCACGTAATTCCAGAGCAAAATCATGTTCATTTCTAGCTTGACTTACAAGGTTTCTCGTATACCTGTAAGTTTGATATAAGTTGGGCACGATGGGCCAGCAGTATTTTGCAATTCATTTTTACTTCTTCAGTAGATTTGCAACTCGACTGCCCAAATATGATACATATTTTGCAATTTCATGACCCCATGACCATGCAGAAAGTGAAAATCAAATTATAGAGGACAAATATTTAAATATGAGCTGCTATTCTTGAGTGAAACTATTCATTTAAGTTGCATATTACTTTTTGCCTTCAATTTCATTCTTAGAGGTTACATTTAAAACAGTATGAGCACTGAGCAGAATGAAACGTTTTGTTTTTTTGCATGATCATTTCCTCAGAATTTAAATTCTATTTCATTAAAATTGGAGTCGCGGAGACCTTAGTGACAGATGGATCATTTTTATTATCATTCCAAACGCTTTTGCTGTTAGCATTCCATGATATTGATAGAAATTCCTGGTCTATTTAATTTTAATATAACTAAGTAAGACTGTAAATCTCACTTGTGGTACTGGAAATTTCAGATTATGTGATCGTTTCATCAAATCATGACAGCTTTTAGGGCGTGAATCTGGTAGGTGCAGACAGCTTTATGGCTTGCAATCATAACTCCTTTATTATATGAATTGACGTCCATTAGTGAGACGTCAGATCAAGAAATCAAGTACCTTTTTAAGATGTAAACCTTTTGCCACGACAGTGTCATTACCTGTCCGCGTTCGCTGTCAAACGTCAGAGGCCCACAAAAACTTTTAGCTCAATGCCACGCTTAATTCTGGCAAGGAAAATACTGCTAATTCGCGTTTTGCGTCACAGCCTCTAGTCCTGAGTTAGCTAGCAGTATCTCACACGACTCCAAACAGATTTTGAGTCTTATACCCGCGTTATACAGTTAACAGTAACAAGTTACAAATGTATTGAGCTAGTCAAATTTCCGCTCCACTGTAGGACATTGGTGGTGGTGTCATGCCACACAGCACTGCTCATTCTGAACATTAGAACATAACAATTAGTACGTGTATATCTCTCAGTTGAATGGGTGTTGTTGTTAAATGACTGCATGACTCAAACTGTAGTTGAGGTGAGGTTGTTACTTATTAGCTGTAATTTCAGGGGTGTCACTCTCACTGTAACCCGTCATCAGCCAGCGTGTCAGACTTTTAGTTGGAATTGTCCGTTACATTGTAAGTTACAACGTAAAACGTGAGCTGGTTTGTTCTATTACTATTAGAACGTGAGTCAATAGTTGTTCCGTTCAACTGGACAGTTTTGTAGTTGTAAAGCTCATTATAAGAGATAGTTTGAGAAAACTGCTAGTGTAAAGAGGCATGCTGTATATATTAGTTCTGGAGTTTAGCCAAGGTTGAAATTCGCAAGTCTCCATGGTATAACTACAACATTTTGCTAGCTTTAAAGTGCAAATCTCGCTCACTTAACGATCTGTCGATAAAGATAAAGATGTTAAACTTCCTCTGATTCTTGCCAACTGTTGATCTGTTCCTTGCTCTGGGTAGAAGTATCACCGACTCGAACTTGTCGACAACAGCTTTACTCGGTAATTGCTTTAAGAGTATGGCAAATTCTTGTGTTTGTTCACTCTCGCTAACTACAATTCTCTGCATATTTTAGAACCTCCGGACGGCCTGTAAAATATCTCACACAAATATCTTGACCCACATTCTCTTTCATTTTGGTAAAGGCTGCTCTTCCAGACTGCAGTACAGATAAAAATAGTTGTAGACAGTGATAGTTACAATAGTTATGTTTGTTGTTGAACACGTATCGAGCTGTGGATACCTTACAAGTTCCTCGTTAACCTTCTGCTGAGTGCAGTGCAGCAGCGCATGTGTGCGTTACACTTACATGTGCGTTACAGTTACATGTGCGTTACAGTTACATGTGCGTTACAGTTACATGTGCGTTACAGTTACATGTGCGTTACAGTTACATGTGCGTTACAGTTACATGTGCGTTACAGTTACATGTGTGCGTTACAGTTACATGTGTGCGTTACAGTTACATGTGCGTTACAGTTACATATGTGCGTTACAGTTACATGTGTGCGTTACAGTTACATGTGCGTTACACTTACAGTTACAGTCCGGCTAATATAAACTATTGAAATATGCTGCCAAATTCTCATAATTGATGAGTTTAATTATCTTTGGTTCGGTGTTAATTTTCAGCTCTGTATATATATATATAATATACTCAATCAATTTGCACTCATATGTTATGTTTCAGCACAGAGTAATTAATTTTTACACATCAAAGTGTTTGTCTTCTAGGATCAGGATTTTTTTTTTTGGGGTCGGTCATCGTACCATGTAAATTGTAAACACAGTTTTAATAGTCGCGGCCCTCTCAGTGTATTGTAACAACCGTAAAACATCAAAACAAATTGGAGTTCAATATTAATTAATATATTAATTAATATAATTAGTATATTAATTAAGAAGCTTGTAAACTTGTGGTATGTTTCCCGGTTACGTATTTGTGACGTGTTTTGCTGTCAGTCCTTATTATTGCCAGTAACCCGGCTTATTGCACTTTAATTTGCTCTCATACGAACAGAGTACACAGATGCTTTCTTCGTTTATTATCACATCTCCTACTTTTAGACGAAAGTTGTTTACTCCTTCAATCGGATTCTTGTTTGGTGTTTGATGCAGTTATCAAATCACCAAAGGGGTTTTCACCAATTACTTTATTTAGCGGCTAAATAAAGTAATTGGTGAAAACCCCCTTTGGCGATTTTACTGCATCAAACACTCAAACAATATTAGCCCGTTATTTTTCGTATTAATTGACAAGAAGAGCAAATAATTTGCTGAATTTTGCCAGTCTTCGTCAGGTCTAAAATCTGGAAGTTTCGGAATATTTGACGGTTAGCGATGACGCACCCCAGTTTTGTTCAAATAGTTGACGTTTAGTATTTCATAAACAACCACTTAGTCGTACAATTCATAAATCCTGCACATTATCGATTTAACATTAGGCACTCGATTCTCAGAATTACGACATATGTCAATAATCTTGAATAGAGCGCACTTTGGCACTGAGATCACATCGGCTGTGATCCGTAACCATTCGATTTCTAGCTTGTGAATGGTCTGTTGATGACACTAATATACTTGCATGTTAAAACATGATGCAATGAGTAATGACTGTGGTTTGATCAGTGCATTGCAAGAAAGCTGTTCGGGAAATAGGTTCTTTTATATGTCCACATGTCCGTGTCAATAGTGTAATTCTTAACTTGCATCTTTCGTGTTGCCACGTCGGTTAGTGAGATATTGATTAATAAGTATCATTCGTTGGTAGCATATTGTATTTCTACAAAAGAATGATTTCGTACTTCATCTGCTTACTTTCTCGCATAGTACGTACGCATGCGCAAGTCATTGATATGTATTCATGTTAACCAAAAGGTCCTACATGATATCCCAATGGGTAAAGGTGCTCGTTAATATTCTTATTTCTATAGTCTGCGGAATCTGGCACTATTAGTATTACTAGTTTATATCATGAATTATAATCGGAAGTCTACATAAAGCTTTGGTTCTGATCTCCTCGTGGATCTGATAACCTTTGATATTTTTATAGCAGAGAGAAGAACAGTTTATAATCCTCCTTTTTGCGACAAAGCTGCAAGCACTACAACTGCTGCAATTATCAAAAATTAGCAGCAATCTCAGCCATGGTCCATCAGTTAAGTAATCCATTCTCAGAGCTCACTCTTGCACCTTAGTGACAATATGAATTTCATTCGCAATTCTCGGCCTTAGAAAATGTTACTCTGGCTCTCTTGAACAGTATAACACATTTAGATCCTTTCATAAGAGAACTCATTTCCAACAAGAGCTACACTCCTGCAAACCAGTAATTCTAGACATTAGTGTTTCTCCACTATGGGATGGGAAAACAAATACATGCCTTCGTCTAGTTTCGATAGAGTCAGACATGAAAGATATCGCATTAGGTATTCATATGTGTATTCACTATTTATAAAGGTGCATATGTGTCTTCATCGGTAGATTGAGAAGTTAATACAATTAATAATTATGGACGATTGAGCATTACCAACTCTCATCTATAATACTAGCCACTACATCAAACACCTCCCTGCTACCAGAGCATAAGATGTTCATTTAAATATATGTATGATACATGTAATAGGTACAGCTAAGTGAATCCTCCAATAATATATCTTATTTTTAGCCGATTTTCAAACAACCTCTCAATCCACCTATCAATAAACATATAGTACATTACCCTCGAATGAAAAAACATAGCCATTATAAATCCCGCACCTATTCATTCAGACTCCAAATGAACCAATTACTGAATTACGCACAAGGAAATTAAAAGACCGATCATGTGAGCGAAATTCATGCTTGTGATTGGTCCCTTTTCGAGCTCCTTCATAATGTTGAATAATTCATCAATTTATGCTTACTATTCTTGTGAGAACTTTAAAATTAAGTGTCAAATCTAACATAGGATTATTTTAGGTATGCACTATGCATTCCATCTTTGACTCCTGGAGGGCCATGTGGTTTTAATAATATTTTTAAAAAACTATTGGCCAACATGACTATCCACAGGCTGTTAAACCTACCATAATTGTTCAACATAGTGGAATACATGCAATCATATTGAGTTTATCTTGGGACTGTTCGCCCTTTATCCAGTTTCAACTTTTCCAGTCCATGATCAGCTCTTGTTTGGCCGAATCTTTCAAATGACCAAAAACAAACAATTATCTTATATCACAAAAAGGAACTAAAGTATACCTGCAAGAAATAATGTATGAGTGTAATTAATTTTAATTGCTAAACACTACTATGCTACAAGAGTCAATAGGATGTGCGGAGAACTTTGGTATGTTGAGGCCGGTGGCTCTGCATGGCACAACTGAATTACGCTAATATAACGTTTTACATAGCATCACCATTATGATGCTTCTAACGTTTAATGTACTTAGCTTCTATTGGAATTGGTGGAACCGTGAGCGCCAAAAGGTTTCAATGGTGATTACCTGAATGAGAATTGTTTCACGATTTGTCCCCGAGATTTAATATAACGGCCTTTCCGTCGTATAACTTTACTGGTCCTTACTCAAATCTAGCGTGAAGACAAGTATTAAATAGTAGGATATACAACAGAAGCTCTTCTGATCTTATATACGTTACCAGTAGAAGGTGTGGGTGACGAAACACGAATATCGACGAGTTCAATTGGCGTATGGGCTAAAAGCAGACAAGTTCATCTCACCCTTCCAGAATCTAGTGGTTAATGTTATTGAGAGGGTTTGTCATGTCGCGGCACTGTCAACATCACGCATTGTCATAATGACCTTCGCCTTTTTTATTTCGTCTGTTTGAGATTTTTGTCAACCAATTCATATCGATCTGTCAGGTGAGGTTATTCGTAAGACTAAGACATGGAGTCTGATGAGAAATTATACCGCGTTTTGTTTCTAGAATAGCTTTTATCCGCAGCGACATTTTTGGTCGGCGACAACGAGTCCCCGAAAATGTCCCTACGGTGACGGTGTGAGGCGGTTTGTGATTGTTTTTAGGGACTGCCATGTGTTGAAGGGAAATTTTTCAGTCCTACTTTTTGTCTTTATTCGTATAAGTTGTGCTGAACTTAGGAGTTGGCCAGTGCCAGTCATTTTTATAAGTGAGTGGCTGGCAAGTCGGAAGTAGAAGATTACTTTCCATCATCATCAAATATCGGTCTTATATTATTTTCATTAGCTTTCACCAAAAGATAGCTCAATCGCAAACTTACTAACTGATTGTTATAATTATGGTATCTTTACTATCCTTTTAATAAATAATTTACAATCGTAGTGAATATTAACAATATTATTTATCGCGTGTGATGATGTACGCCTCAATTTTATGATTGGTTTGATCTGTGGTTTCTCCAATCCCTCATTTCATATATGGGCCTAGAAAAAAGTCTTAAGTTCAGTCGCAGCTCCAAACCGTCGAGTATTTCAGAAGAATAAACATACTTATTAACTTTGCTCCACTATTGCGTTATGTTTCAATGTTATTGTCGTTCTCATTGATGAAGTTTCGATTGAAAAGATACTACTCATAACTATGGAAGTAATCCAGTTGTTGGTACTCTTAATGTGTTTGTTTTGTTTTGAAACCCCACGGTGGAGGTTGGCGTGTGCCGCAAGTTATTAATAAATGGTTATTACATAATGTATTATATGAGTCACACTAAAATATAATTATGGAAAATAAACTATATTAAATAAATGCCCTACTAAAAGTGACTATATAAAACGGTCTGCAAAACTGGTGAAGTCGCAATTTGTAAACATGTAATTACTGTTTGTAATAATTAGATAAAAAAGTTTTGCGGCGCAGATGTAAATTCGGCAATATAAGTGGCAGTGAAATTAAAAGGATAGTTGTTGATAAAAAGATCATAAGTCATTTGTCGCGAGTGATCTTTCTTTACGCGTTGTCGTCTCTACTTATAACGGTGCTGTAGTCTATTTGCGAGCGCCCTTCTCTTTGGAGATTTCTTAGCCCAGGTATACTAATAAAGTAAGAAATTTGGCCAATTTTCATCGTCTCCTGAGCTTTTTGCAGCTTGAGGAGTTTCGCGCTTAGCTGGAATTTTTAAAGATTTCAATTGAAAAGTGAACTTGGAATAGTTATATCTAACTTTGTTTTGTATGAGAGCATGGGTCCTTTGAAGAAAAGAAGTATTTCTTAATGTTGGGCCTTTGGTAAGTTGTGAAACCAAGAAAGGTTATGTTGTATGTGGAATTATAGGTGGGAATATCGTGAGGGAAAAAGTTCTTTGAGGATTTAGGGAGAAGGCTTGGCATGTTCCTTACTTTGTGGAGTAGGAATAAGAAGCGTTTTTACAATGACGCTATGGACTGTTAGGATATTATGCATCTAAACGCACGTTTTGTGTGCTCCGGGGGATTGCCGTCTCTTTATATTCTAGAATTTAATTATCCGAATAACGCAGAGTTGAAAAAAATTACGTGAGATAATTTTTTAAATACGCCGTATTTTGCGTATTTTTGTTATAAATTAATACGTCAGAAAACTACGTTTAAAATACGTTTTTCCTTTGAAATTTCATTCAAAGACTAAAGTTATGTCATTCGTTTGAATTTTTCAGGACACATTTCTATTTACTTCAACGCTTTAATGCTCTTGGGTTTCATAGCACGTGCCTGTACTCTTAAAGTCAATATGCGAGGTGAAAACGGACAGAGCTACGCGAGTTTTGATTAAAATTGTAAATTTATATAAAAGCAATAGTTGCTTATTACGTTTATTGGGCTATCAATGGTTACAATAACCACTTATTACGTATTTTTATATTTACGAAAATAAAATACGCTATTTAAGTATTTTTGATATTTTATTTAAAATTCGTAAAATACGTATTTTTCAAAATGCAAAACAGCTCTTATTCCTGCTTTTGCTTGGTGAACTGAGATTCATGTGACATTTTTGAGGCATATACCACACTAGAACAGAAATTTAGATGGGATTAGGATTAGGCTTTGGAAAATGTTTAGGCTGGCTTTGATAGGTAGAAGGTGCTTAGCTTATACATAATGAGGTAGCGACCCATCTTTATTCTAACTGCCGTAAGGTGTTTTTTCCAAGTGAGCTTTTCGTCCTGGATCACTCCTAAAATCTTGCTTCAGTCTGACGTTCGATTACCGTGTTGTCAATGGACAAATTAAAGCCGCTGAAAGTCGATTTCTTTTTCTAGTGAAAATCATGTAACCACGTCTTTTTTACTTTTATAGATAGCCATTAGACTCTACCCAATCTACAAGGGACGCTGAAATTAGCTGATTAGCTTTAATTGTATTTTCTTTCGGGTGGTTCCCACTAATTAATGTGTTTGCCGTCGTCGCATATAACGGGATGAACTTTGCAAAATCACTAATTCCAGCTAGGTCGTTTATATAAATTATCAAATAAGAGAGGTCCTAGATTGCTACCCTGAGAACGCCGTAAAATCATGGCATGCTGAGGGCAAGTTCGTTTAAGGTAAGTATTGAGATCGATTTAAAGGTAAGATCTTATACCATTCGTGCGCGACTCCCCTTATCCCATAATGGTCAAGCTTCTGAAGCAAGGTCTCATGATCAGAGTCAAAGGCTTTACTGTAATCGAGCAGGAGCAGTAGGGGATTTGTTTCTTATTTAGAGAGTGTAGTATAGTATTTTGGGCATTGAGCAGTGCATGTTCGCACGATCTTCCGGGCCGAAAATCGTATTGATTTTCGAAAAGAGAATCGTTCTTATCTAAAAAATTCTAAAACACGAGCAAGCTAAGTTTCTCATAAATTTTCGAGAATGATCCCAAAAGAGAGATCGGACTATAAATAGCTACTTCCAATTTTGAAACCACCTTTGTGGATAGTGAACGACTTTCGCAGTTTTTAGAGCATTTGGGGAAGGTACCACTGGAGAACGAACAGTTAATGACATTAGCGAGTGCCCGGGTAAAGTTTTCGCAGCTGTTTGCAATTTTCAATGGCTCAATGTTACAAATCGAGTGTGGACTTGTTCTCTTATAGCCTGATATTAACTTTTGGACTTCACTCGGGATGTAGGCTTATGAAAACATCGAGTTACTACACGAAGCATTAAGAAAAATGTTTGAAACACCTGGGTCAAAGGTTCGACGGTATTACAATTCAGGACGTGTTTCAAATTATTAAACACCTCTTTACACGGAAGTGAGGTATTTACTCAAATATGAAATAAACGCGTAATACTTCACTGCTTAGATTGCTCGGTTGCGCTATTTAACTTCTCGAGTAAACGTTTTCTTATATCTGTATCAGTTATTGAGGAAGTCGCAGGTTATCAGATACTATTAAACTTTAATTGGCAAGCTGTGACAGCTATTTTAAACGAAAAATGCTCATTAAACTTGATGCTCTTGATAAATTGGAGACTTAGGGGGTATGGTAAAGCAACCATGATTTAGTAGTGAGGTTCTAGCTATGGCTGACAAACTTTCAAGAAAAACCAGTCTTTAAGGTTGTACTTCAAATAACTTGTCAGAATTGTTACTCCATATCGTCTCAAAATTGTTATTTCGGATGCTTAATATAAATTTATGGCCGCATTTTATACGGTTTTCGAAGCAATATATAGCGATAAACTCGCAATGCCTAGATATTAAAAAAGATTAAGCTCAGATGATCAATTTAATCAATATCATAATGAGATAGCAATCGAATTTGTCAAAACGCTTTTCTACAATCCAAAGATCTTGATATGATGAAGCTTTACTTGCCAAATAATGACTAAAATTTTAGATAGAAATGGTTATTGCTTGTGTCACTAGGACGGCTTTTACTGTAATCCAACCCAGACATTACTGAGTGCCCTCCAAATTTTCAATGCATACACGTTTGTAAATTAGTCTATGATAACAAGGCAGTGCACATGAACAGCAAACCACTAACTAACATTGAGAAACCACTCTGGTCACTGCATTCTAGCGGGATCCAACTTTAATAAGCAAAAAGTGCTCCTTTGACTTTGATACTGTTATATTCGCAATATGAATAATATGTATGTCTGCTTTTCCAAGTATCACGCATTGCAAATTCTGCATTCATCGAAGGTATATCAAAATTTAGGGTAAAATTAAGCAAGTCAGCAGCAGTCAGCACACCTAGCAAGTTCTAGTATATAAATTATATAGATGCTGTTAAAAATGCTGCTAAAAAATTCAAGGCATTTGTATGTGAAAAGATAAAATTAGCGTAACGGTAAATACTAAAATTTACATGCCAGAATAATAACTGAGTGATGCTAGCACGTACAGGTGTCAATTCTGGAGCTGTTAGTTAAACTTATAAATCTGCAGTACAGTCAGCAAATTCTGAAAACCCTTGACACGTCTACTGCTAGTAGAGTACTGGACTCAATTGTCAGTTGTATTTGTATTTTGTGGGGAACTCTGCTTTCGTTGTCCGCTCAGTTGGCTCCTGGGGGGGGGGGGGGGGGGGTTTTACCGGGCGTGTATGAGAGCTAGTAACTATAGTGCAGCATGTCGCTTCTCCATTAGATAGCAAATTGTATAGAGTAGACGCGAGGCAAGCTACAACCTACCGCTACGAGGTTTACGTTGTTATGAGTTGCAGCTAGTACTGATATTGCAGTAAATAATATAGTCCTCCTAGCCTTAGTCCTTACATAACGAATAAATTGTACTACCAATGTGTACGCAAAACTCCGATATATGGCGCAGTGAAGCACATAATTTGATTGTATGTATATTCGCTCTCCAGGAGCGCTTAGTTGGTAATATTTAGTTGTAGACGTGCCAGAATTATATCTGTGTCTTTGAACCGGAAGTTGCTGCGAATACCTTCCTGGTCGGCTTTAAGTTTTCTGGTTTTTGCGACTGGATTTGTTGTTTGTCCGGCAATGGTAATTTCGTGGGAGACTAAGTTAAATAGTTTTTTGTTGCTAGTTGCTTATCGTCTTGGATCTTCGAGATAAGCTTCATGCTGTAACACTGTCATGCAGGTGGATTCCCATCTGCCTAATTTAAATAATCGTGCTTAACTTTTATTTTCAGTATCGAACTGCTGGTGCTGAAACCTGCTTGTAGATCTTGTAAGGCCAAGTGTGAGTTTTTAATACTGTAGTGTTTTGTAGGGAGCATTACGGCTCTCAACAGACACTTTGTCTGTCGAGAGCTGTGATGCTCTCACTAAACACTACAACGAACCTTGCTTGAATCGTCATATATGATCCACACTAACCAACATATTTATGTTTTTGTGTCGCTTAAAAATAAAATGAAGACACAATTGTTGAGGGTGTCACTGATATGGATGGATATAGTGACAAATAGTTTAAGTGCTTTTTGACGATAACATATTATATCAGTCGCGTATTTTATTGTTCAAAAGTCAACTCTTTCTTATAGTATAAATCGTTAAAAAGTTTTTGTCTGTTTCTGATAAGCTTTCTTTCTTATACTGAGCTTTGGATAAGCTCTATATTCGAAGAGTATAAAGCTGTAGTTTTATTGCCCCATAAACCTTTCTTAGTAATTGTAAAGGGGACCGCAACTTTAATAATTGTGCGTTCATTTATTAGCGGCCCACTCTGAAGATTTTAATTAATTAACAGGATCATGCAGTACAGAATTTACCGTGGTAAAAACATCTTCAAACCGTAAACTGTGCAAACAACTACAAAAGGTTCCTCCAACAATGTCTACAGCGGGCAATATCCTTTATTTCATTCAATTATTCTAAAGTATTCACTATTCATAACCAAATTACGATCTGAAGAACAGATCGGAAAGGATTTCGAGAATTATAGGTATTTGCGGCTTGCTCAAGTTATGCAGGTGTTAATGGAACGAAACAATGCTAATAAACAGAGTTCTTTGTTACGACTGTTTTATTTCCGTGCAGTTAATGTCGCCTAATATGACTTTCTTTATACTTCCTTCGTTTCCAGGACTTAGTCTATCATATATGTATGTCTGAAGTTATAAGTTTTCAGTGCGTTCTTGATAACAGGAAAATATTTGTATCAACATTTTTATATCTCATTAGCACCTTTACCACTTGTCCATGCCGCAAAGAACTTTAAAATCATAAGTTATCTTATATTGTAGGCAAGTTCTGCGGAGGAGAGATATCTCTGACGATTAGAAACTCACAAAGTCTGGAGACTACTGACATGCCGTTTGAGTACAGAAAGAGACAGTGTGCTAACACCTTGGATCTGGATCACGGACATGGTCAGTACAGGATCCACACCCAGCCCACATGTAACGAGGAGATTTTCAGTGTATTCAAGGATAAGAGCAGGTGAGAAACTGTTTTTTAAAGATCTTGTGTTTCAGCAGATATTGGTTTACACTTTATAACTGGTAAATTGACCTAATCACGTGATTAGGTAAACCAATCACATGATCACACGTAATGAATAAACTCGTTATGCTTCATATCTCGGTCATCTGAGAAGCTACAGTTCTAATTTTGTCAGGACAAACACAATTCAAATTTAGCTCGATCCGACTATCCAAACTATCAAAAAAACTATCAAAATTTTGGATTACACGGTATCACGTTATGACAATTTCTACAGCATGCATCGTGTATGTATACTCATATATTTTTACTTGTTACTGTGTCACTGTTATGGACTATAACATACTAACAACTACTATATTATAATAATATAAATGTTAACATTTGGCAGTATTCCAGATAGCCCGACCTGTCGCCGAAACAATTGTTCGTGAAAAACTTATGGACATGATGGTTTACCAGGATCATATGGACTGCTAATAACAGTATACAGACTTGCTTGAGATGATGTGAACCCCTTGACACTGGAGGGGGATTATATAAAACATATAAGTGATACGAAAAGTTTGTTTTAGCAAGAGCTTTCAAAATACATGTGTAAATCGTCTTCAGCTTGACACTGAATCAAGCAGGGTTCGAGCATTCTCTAGGGAGGCCGTGGGTCCATTAATTTCGTCTAGTAGACAGAAGAGTACCGTGTCATGAATTGGAATAGTTGTTGTTGTTGTTGATGATGGGCAATGTAAGACTCTACAAAACGAACGAACTTATGTACACATTTAATATCGTAATCATTTTATTTTCATTGAGCAAATGAGCAATATACTTACCGCTACATTCAATTGTATTCATAACTAATTATATCCGAGAGGACACATATGAATCGTAATCAAACAGTTTGATCAGCAATTTACTTTCGCTACAATAAAATGACAAATTATGTAGTCGGAACTTATTGCATCCAAGATACCATACGTTCCATACCATACCATTCATTTCGTCTTGACTTCATGATTGAAAATATGCGGTCATATGATCCTGTAACCAATCAAATAGATATGAAGCGGTCAAGATTGCATATAGTGTTACAACTGTTCACGAACACTGTTCGTGAACAGGTCGGGCTATCTGGATACTGCCCTACATTTCTTAGCGAACACCCCGGCACCCGAGGTGTATGCAGGAATAACGCTCTCAATGTTATTAAATATCATCACATACTCCACCCGATAAAACCTTCAAAGTTTTGTGGTTGTGATTTGAAGTACTCCTTTTCAACACTCAATCACAGTAACCTTTTCAGGCTATCTGCATCCGACTTTAAGAACATTTGGCAACACTACGATCGAGACATGAACGGGTATATAGAGGCGGAGGAGCTGGAGGCTTTTCTCAGGGACTTGTTCGTAGCTCAGGTAAGAGAGTTGGACTTTTGTCATCGATTAGTAAGGATATTAAAGTATTAAGTCATATTAAAAACGATCACCAAAGATAGAATATGCCTTCATAAAATCTAGACAAAAATCTGTAGGTGGATTTCAAGAAAAAGACATATCAAAATAATTACAAAACAGACATGCCGACGTTTGTTATTAAGAAATTACACGTGAAGTGGCAGAATAGGGAATTAAACTCGATTGATGCCAGCCCACTGCAAATGAATCAAATCGTTGAGTCATTGTCTTAATAAAAACTGCATAACTTTTTAATTTACTGAACAGGAAACATATAATCAAATTAGATTTTTTACGTCAAAAATGTAAATGACAACATCTAAACCAAAGTTAAATGAATAAATAAGCCTACAAAATAGAATTGGCCAAAAAATCAGTAGTATAACACAGCTACTACTATTAGTACTTGACATGTATTGCCTGTATATCTTGTAGATATAGGATACCATGAAATTGAAAAGCTTGGCTGTTTTTCACTAAAGCAAACGTTTGATATCCTCCAATTTTCACTCCATTTACCTTTGTTACGTTGAAATTAACAATTTGTCTCTTAAACAATTCTAATTCTAAATGATATTTTAAAACACCACACTTTACAGGTTGAGTAGGGACTACTAGTACTTATGTCTTAAAATTGTGTAATAGCTAAAAATAAGTATATTTAAATACTGAAAAATCTAAGTTAAGTGTTGAAAGTATTGACCTATAAAAATGACCTTCCGTACTTATGAAAGCCCATAGACTCAGTAGTAACAACTGTGCTTGTGTTGCCGAACCAGCAGAGTTTACTTTATTTTCTGTGCATTCTAATCGGATTTTCCTAATTACCCATGAACTCAGGCAGTATGACGGCTATGTTTGCTACACATTAAGTGACAATTGTCAGACGGCTTATGTTTTCACTCCGATTATTCCATAGCATTCATCATGCCTCCTTGATTGGTTCATTAGTGTGACTGCCTGTAATCTGTGAGGTTTATTTTGTCAAATGACAAGTAAAGTACGCTGTGAGGCTATATTTCACAGTCTACCGTTCAGAGCTAATGCCAATCACTCCGTGTGTTTGCATGAATCGTGTGAATTACGTTTCCCCCGAATTTGCAGCAATATAAACAGTTGGTTTTTCATCCGTTATGCAGTTGCTGTCTAAAACACATTCCACAGTCTACATACTGTACAGGCACTTGTACGGCTACTCTCCGTACCACACGAACTATAAGAGCTACTCCGCATACACTCCACACTTGTGTACATCGTTTTAGTGTGAATAACGAGATTAGAGGTACTTGGTTGTTGCCAACAAGTTCCCTGCACGTGCCTGGTGGTCATGGTTCATTAATGCAGCTTCTAAAACATAGAGCTGACAACTTGTGAACTCCTGGCACTTTAATGTGAGCATCTTCACCACGGTTTCAGATGTGTGACAGTACAATGTATATAATATGTAGTGGTGTATTATTCCGGGTCCGTATAGAATTACGCCCATAGATTGCTAATGATAATGGTTCTCTTTGGTGATTTTATGTGCTTATGGAGGATTGTGGCCGTTTGTTCACAATTTTCGGCTGTACTGTTATTATTTGTTTATTTTTCCGTCGCAAGTAAAGACATCACCTAACACCCCAGTTCCAAGGCCGGATATTATGCCAAATTATTAGACGGAGATCGTCTACTGATATTTCTCCGGTTTGCAGTTCCACGACCGGAGACCATCTACGGTAATTTTGATGATTCTGTATGATTCTGTATGAATTAATCTCCGAGAAATTCCCGGAGAGCTTCATCTTAGTCTAATACAGTAGACGGAGCCGGAGAATCATCTCCGGAGATGATCTACGGGAAATGGACCTCCGTCTAATAATTTGGCATAATATCCGGCCATGGAACTGGGGTGTTAGCGAAAGTAGAACCGACATATTTGGAAAATAATCCACGATGAATTATCACCAATTATAAGAATTACTGATATTACTGTAGTAGTTAAACTGAAGAATTCGGTACATTTCTTTCTTTAGCAGTTAGCACTATCAGTGCTATCAGTTTGTTTTTGTTTCTCTGAGAGATTCTAAGAGTTCATATTCACTTAGAAATCAAACTTTACTACACATCCCCATGTTTTTCGGCTTACTGCAGTGCATTTTCCACGCACGGAGCTAAAATTGTAACTAAAGAACTAAAAAATTTATTCCCTGCTCTAGCATTTGCTTTGAGAGGATTTCAAAGCAAAAAGTACTAAAGTAACCTAAAGTAAGTAAGTTCTCCCATGATCTAACTATTCAATCATCGATGACATAATATCGCGTTATCACAATATAATCATCACCTTCTGAAAGTTCGTGGTTTGTTGCTGCAGAGGAAAATTACTGTGAACGTGGTTCGCTCGTGAACAGATGAATTAATATGACGTAAATATTTCGAGGAATATGGAGCAGGGACAAGCTTGGTGAGCTGTGATATTATTAAAGTAGGGCTTTATTTCAGAAATCATCATGCTCCCTTTCTGATCCGTCTTCTACTTTCACGACATTGTCCCAAATTGTCTGCTTATGACCTTAAATCAGCTCCCAAGAGTGTTATCCTATCTTTATCGTCACGGTAGCTTTACAGTAAATAGTATGTGGTTTGTTCATTTTAGGTAGAAATGACTAAGCTTTGCTTTTCGACGAAGTTAGTTGCTTCTCATCGGCCTTCCCATTCCTCAGGAACTTTAAACAGATACTTTCAACTGTTAAAATAAACTGAGTTTTCGATTTTAGCGCTATATTTAATGAAAATACCAACAACAGTTGGTCATTTTAACATCATATTCTAGTTATATTACTATTCCCCAAGGTTATAGTAGATTAAAACTAAATTAACTTGATATTCTAGTAAATTACCATGCCATAAGGCCTAAGGTTATAGTAGATTTTATCCTCTTATTATAATATTATTATTCCCGAAGCTTATGATATATCATAATAGATATTTAAAATTAATATTATAATAGTATTATTCCCAAGGGTCAGTACATGTGCAAGCAGGAACTAGAGACCCTCAGAGTATCAATAATCGAGTGCTACGACGAGAACAGAGACGGCAGGATCGAAGTTTTGGAGATGACGAAGTTTCTTCCTGTGGAGAACAACTTCCTTTTACATTTTAGGTAACTATTTACAATCGTTTCAGACTTTGTTAGTTTCAGTGAGCCCTGAGTATAGTAAGACAGTTCCCATATAGTCATAAAAAACTAGAAATAGGAAAGATGGTGTCATTCTTCACTGCTTATACATTCAGTACAGCCAAGTATTTTTCATTCCAGATTGTCAAACGATGCGTTTAAATAATTACGGTCGAGTCATTTAATATGGTTTAATCAATACCGAATTATGCTAAACCATGTATAAAATGTAAAAGACTTGAAAGCAAGGTACTTATGAAAAATTCGCATCATCAAAGTCTGCATTCAGATCAACATTCTTACATTAGTCACGGCAAGATGAAGAATGTAATAAGTGTTGCTACTTGCTCTGTCTTTTGTTTAACCGGATGAGCTGCGAAGTATTGTGTTGGTGTTTTCTGGGGATTCGGTCCGTTAAGGTTGAATTGGTGCGCGTTTGGTTACCGTTTTTTGGAGTAATGCAATATGATTTGTAAATTAACCACTGGTTTTAGCAATGTTTGTGAAATTTGAGAAAAACACTAATGTGATACTAATAGTGACGTCTGACATGCTGTGCTATTTGTTTATTGATCATGGCAAACTCATAACAGCCAAACTGTGACATGATTTTGATGTCTCATGATTCGGAAAGGACTTTCGTTAGTGAGACATTATTTTTTTCCTTGTTAGTATTACATTATCCGTAATATAAGTCTAAAATAGGGTACCTAGAGCTATTAAAAGTGGATCTGGAGCTTATCAAATACCTCATCAGGATGTCTTTATCTTGGGGCGGTGCCATGTGGGATTGGATATCATGCTTGCTCTGCCCGTGGTGTTGGCCCAAAAACTCCCTAAGATCATCGTTGAGGCTCAGCCGCCAAAATGGCGAAATTGTGTCACTGCAAAGTGTGTATGTCCGCTTGAACCCGATGCGTCCACTTTAAAATTAAACACACTCAGGCACCTTCCACTCATCATCTTTTGTTCTAGAACACTCGTATATAACATTTTATAACTTAGAGTTCAATTCTTAGTATAGTTCGGTATTGATTACTTGATTAAACCATATTAAATGACTCGGCCGTAATGATTTAGATTATAGAATTGACGAATGAACTCCGTCGTAGTGATAGTGTAGGTCTCTCTTCTACCTACACTACTATAGTACTAGTCACTGCAGTTAACGACGAGCCTATACAAAGCGGTCATGTTGTATTATGAGTTCGGTTAGGATACGTTTATCATCACCACAATAGCATCAATCGTCACATATTCACAATTGACATTGTTGTCCATAGCTTAAGCAGTGACGACACAATCAACTTACAACTTTTCCAATAGAAGCCTATTATTACGCTCATTCAATTAACATGATATCATCTGTTGCTCATTATCTTTCAAATTTCCTGATAACTTTTTGAGGGACATCTGCTGTAAAAATTCCCAATATTTTAGGATAAAAGGGAGTGGGAAGATGACTTGCGCGGAGTTTATTGAGATATGGAAGCATTACGACAAAGACAAAAGTGGTTATCTCGAGGAGAAAGAGATCGGACATTTCCTATTAGACCTTCTCAGAGTCAACAGGGTAGGTGGTGCAAAGAAGTCTAGTACCGAAATAGATTGAAGAATAGAGCAACCTTCAACCACAGCTTTATCGTTATCTTTTAAATCTTCATAGAGGACTATTCATACATTTTAAATATTTATTGTATATGAATGATCTATTATTACTCAATATTAAACTCAAGCCAGGCATCTATTAAAGAAATATTCCTCAGAATATAACAATATCGGAGGAAGAAATGAAGAAGATGGTGGAGGAAGTGATGAAGAACTTTGACGAGAACAACGATGGAATGATAGAGTTCAACGAGATGAAGAATCTGCTAAACGTAGAGGATAATGTGTTAACTGAGCTGAGTCTCACCAAGAACCTGTCTACACAGCAGTTTAACACTATATTCGATTACTACGACAACGACAGTAAGTTGAATAATAGGTCCAATCAATCTCGCTTGAACACGGTGACTGGCTCTGTGATTTGTGTTGCTTGGATCGAAAATAGCTGTTATTATTTTGAATATTGATTAATTAATTTGTATCTGGGGCGGAATGTTGTGATCAATTGTACTCGATCATCATCATGTAGACTTCCTTTACAGCTCTACATTTTAATTTATCCTTACAAATGGTTAAATATTTCAGGAAGCAACTTCTTAGAAGGAGAGGAGATAAAGAGGTTTGTTCTAGATCTGATGCAGAGAGCTGGACACCAGCTATCAGACGACAACATCGATTACTGCATAACGGTTAGTGGTTGTTCTGAAATCTGAGCATCAGTTTTATACCTAAAATATATATAGTTTAGGTCCCTCTATATTTAGAGTGATCTTCCTAATGTCTTAAATTAGATAACTCGTGATCTAGCTTTAATACCAACTATCTAGATCAATTAATAGTTAAGAAAGATACAAACTTTGGTACATTTGGGGGGGGGCCAACCATATTAAAGTATATTAAAATGTAGGATTTTTTCCAATTTTGACCCGGGGATATACTTTAATATACTTTAATATACTTTAATATACTTTAATATACTTTAATATACTTTAATATACTTTAATGTACTTTAATATACTTTAATATACCTACATTTTCTCCATTAAAATTTTGAATCCATGTTACTTACCATATACTTGACCAATTTATGAGCCAAAATATATGAATTATGAGTTCAGAGGACTAGCAACTGGCTTATCTTCTAATCTACTAATTGTAGGTATATTGGAGGGGATGCAACGACCATTAATGACCATTAATGACCATTAATGACCATTAATGACAATGTCAGTTTTGTCAAAATTTCATCTACTGACATTAATGGTCATGTTTTTTCCGGCACTTCTTAGAGCGAAAAGGACGGACGTCTGCATCACTTAGACCCTACCTTAAGTTAACTAACTACAAGTATATGTTATTATTTTACATTTACAATTAGAGATTTAATTTACAATTAGAGATTTAATTCGAAAGAGAAAACTTAGAATAGAATCTTCCGTGGTTAGGCAGACCTTCCAGAATATCACTTGAGTGGATTCCAGAGTGAGTTAGGGATTACATTTATTAAGTTCGAATGTAAAGAAGAACAAATTTTGCGGCCACGGGATTTAAACCAGATAACAGTTGGTGACTTATAGTTATCAATAATAATAATTCAAAGGGCAATTTAGGAGTATCAGATCGTATCAATAGTAAAATAACAATCAATAATAAAATAATAATAACACGGGTATTAAAATTAAATACTTCGTTCCCGTTCTTATATCATATCAAGATTTATATTTTAGCCAAATCATTATGCTAGTCGATTATATAGTAATTACACAGTAGATGAACTTATTCAACTTTAGCACTTCATGAAATACATCGTCATCAGTCTGAATCGGACAACAAAAAAGCTGATCTTTTCCCAGGATTAGATAGAACAATTCGTTTACAGTTCAATACTCTGCCTTCGGCAGTTTTGACCCAAAATCGAGCACTGTCATCATGATAGGGACAAATTGATGCGGCAGGAATTCGTCTAGATCTGCAGTTGTCCTTTTTTGAAGCAGAGACACTCATTGATAAGATGGTACCGAGGCAACGAAGGGGACGTTTAGCCTTTTTTGGAACAAAGGTAGCACTTAATGAGTCGCCCTTTCGAATTGTTCGACGTTGACAGGGCTTATAAGAATTTTTGCAGCCCGGTTGGTATGGCACAGAACAAGCATTTATACTAAGTCAACTGTAAACAAGCATTTATACTAAGTCAACTGCAAACAAGCATTTATACTAAGTCAAATGCAAACAAGCAAACAGACAAGACAAGTTACCAACGTATAACAGAATAGTGCTTGGCACTCATTCCGAAACCGAGGTCCGAGCCTCTATTAGGCGAATATTAATTCGTTTTCTCAAACAAAACTCTGGCAATCTATGTAGGGGGCTGTGAGAAACTTTATAGAAGTGATACAAAGTGATCATAAATGTAAATTTCTTGGACATGTTGCTTCCAAGATAGTTCAGAATTTCAATTATTTAATGACCATTAATGACAATTAATGACCATTAATGACCATTAATGACAATGTCAGTTTTGACAAAATTCCATCTACTGACATTAATGGTCGTTGCATCCCCCCCGGTATATTAAAGTATATTAAAATGTAGGTTTTTTTTCCAATTTTGACCCGGGATATACTTTAATATACTTTAATATACTTTAATATACCTACATTATAAAAAATTATGTGAAAAAATTTGTTTTATTTAATGTATAGATTAGATTTACCTTTCATGTAAGGTTAGTCTTGTTCAAAGATATTGATACTTGACTAATTTATGAGCCAAAATATATGAAGTATGAGTTCAGGGGACCAGTAATTGGCTTATCTTCTAATCTACTAATTGTAGGTATATTAAAGTATATTAAAATGTAGGATTTTTTCCGATTTTGACCCGGGGATATACTTTAATATACTTTAATATGGTTGGCCCCCCCCCACATTTTTCTCACATCCTAGTCTGTAATATTTCCTCTCCAGGCGGCTCTAAAGGTTGCAGATAAAGATAGCGACGGCCGGATAAGTAGGGAAGAACTGGCTTCGTTCCTCTACACAGACAACACTGACTACAAGCGGTCACCCAAGTTCAAAAAGAAGAGTCCACGACCAAAGAAGAAGAAAAAGTCACCCGCTTCACCCGGAACTAGTCAATGCTTGAAGGATCTTGTTGAGGAGTACGGTAACAAACACTTGGACCCGAATCAGGATTCGGAGGAGGGCTAGTGAGGTTCAGCAAGTGAAACTCAGAGAGATTTGTGTTTAAAGATCAGAATAACAGAAGATGAACGCTGAAGTGACAATTGAGCGTTATGAGCATCATCGAATAAACAACGACTGATAAACTTGATTATAGTTTCTGGTAAAGAATAAGAACGATGAGTTGCAGATCGAGAAGTTTTGTATATTTTAGCATGGTTTGACTTTCATGAGTAGTGTTTTGTACGTAATGTGAGTTAGAGAACAGTTGTCTGCTGATAATACAGTTGTAAATACTGTTTTTAATCTCAGCGATTTAATTTCTCAAGCTCAAGTAGAAGTTCGACTCAGAGCTTGTGACATTTTTTAGTATAAAGTTGAGTACTTGACTAATTTTATTAAAACATTTTACAGTTGACCATTGACAATGAAACGACGATGAAAAGATACGACACTTAAGTTAAAACTAGAAATGAAATGGACCATTATCGTTATGAAAATAAATGAATTGTTTCAAAGAAATGAATTGTGTTTGATAAGTATAATATTTGCTTTTAGAAATCTCAGAAGTGTCTTTTAATCTGATCTACGACTGTGAGTCATGCCTCGTATGATGCAATTGATGAATTGAATTCTTAATATCTCAATACACACATCACCTCGAGTCTTGCAACATTTCATTAAAGTTTTGTTAATGAAAACGCCGTATTTGTATGAAGTCAACTTGACAAGGACCCCCTGCAGAACACATTTCGTTTCTCTCTACCAGTTATCTCCAAGACAAAGATGAGCGTCGTTACGAGGCAGAGCTTTTACCTTCGTCATGACTCATGGTGTGAAATCAATTACACCCTTATAATAGCACGACCTCCCCAGAGTGCAGACCAATTTGATCACTCATTATTTTGTGTGATGCTCTCGAATTTGAACAAACTCTCTCGTTGTTAAGCATGACTTCAGCATTCTGGGGATTTTCTGACCATAAGTCAAGCATGGATCTGATTCGAGCATGGCCTAATAAAATCTATTTGTTTTTCGATTTCAAAGAATTTGTAATCATGACCTCGTCACCTATATATCAGAATCTAAATCCGTCTAAATTGTAGACATCCGTGACGATAAGAGCGTTTTTTAGACGTTTAAAGATTGTTGTGTTATGACCAGTGCCCAAGTCAAACAAGTTCAGTGACATCTGTACTGATTTCACTCATAAATAAATGAAGGAGTGGAGTCATGTAGGTAATACTTAGATAGCTTATCTTCATTCAAAAAGTAAGATTTGATTTTAAGTATTTTGCACGTCAATTTTATCAAATTTTAATTTAATTTAATTTAAATGTGCAAAAATCAAGTATCTTTGTGTACTTTCGTCTTCGCCGCCAAAATTTGTGCAAAAAGCTACTTTTTTGTCGTCAATACATAATAATTTTCTCTAAAACCGCATAATATAGCAGTCACATAACCTTTCGAACTTTTCTCAAAGATTGCAAATTTATTGTAGCGCCAAACTTGTTTAACAGCAAGGGAAATTTTGAGATTAGGTTTGGCCACGATACGGCCATTATACAGCCACTATGTCTATACAGCCACTATACAGCCACTATTGACTATACAGCCACGATACGGCCATTATACAGCCACTATACAGCCACTATACAGCCACTATACAGCCATTCTATGGGCATGGCCACAATTTCCCAACAATAATGTTTGCCTACATATTACAATACCATCACACTGTTAAACGTGTATTCGAGATTATTCTACGAGAGTTCCATGTTGACACAGTGCGTTTTATGTAATTATGCTGGTGGAGTGGTCCGTAACCATACTGATATCAAGCACTGTACTGCAACGCCATGGTGTTATTCAATCTGTACACTACTAGAAGTTACTTCGTATTCCGTTCAAATTGCTTGATCGATCTGACGTGGAACCAGAAAAAGTTAAAATTGAGGCTGATCGCCCTTATTTTGGGCCACTCATCGTTTGGTCCGGTCAAATTGAGGTAGATAAAAGTGCTTACGGTTATTTGTATTGCATTGTCCTGTCAGTTATTTGTATTGCATAGTGATAAATCCTGTAGGTTATTTGTACTGCATTAAGTCCTGTCAGTTATTTGTATTGCATTGTCCTGTCGGTTATTTGTATTGCATTGTCTTGACCGTAAGTCGTAAAGACGTGTAACGGTGTAACATAAGCGATGTTTTTAAAAACCGCATATTTTCATAACCAGTCGCTGAAATTGTATCATGTATATATATAATTCATTTTCATCCAGACATGGCCACAGCCCAGGGGAAAACTTTTGCTTGCAGTATTACTATTATTGATTAGCCGCATTGCTATTGTTGACACCGATAGGGGGTATCCTCCAGAAGTTGTTACTGCTAATTTCAGTGGTATCTTTAATCAACGACTGCATGGCAACAGCATCAAATAACACGTCAGTCTCTTTGTCTGGTCTGGTCAGTGTTATTATTACCAGTACCACTCATCATGGACAAGTTAGCTACATAAAACTATCTATGTGTCCTAATCTCAGATTGACTTCACTATTTCGATAGTGTAGGGTTGAGGGAGATGAGGTAGACGCTTATTATTGGCCAGCTAGACGTGCGTGGCTACTAAATGATAAGACGAATATAAGCTTATCTTCGTCTTATCATGTAATGGACACACACGTAGTACGGGCTGTTTATTTTATGTAACCTCGTGCTTCGATTGTAAACTTTCTGGAACTAAAAGTAACGCAAAAAACCAATTTGTGCAAGCCGCAGCGTGATATTGATTGAATTAAACAGAGTTGACATGTAACGTGCTAACTGAATCTGGCAACAAACAGCACTGCATCTCGGTGCAACGATCATCCTTAGGAACCGTGTCAATTAAACTTGAAGGATACATTTTTTATACAAACATTCATTATTCACGCAGTTCCAAACAAATGTTCTTGGCTTTTTTGTTGTTGTGAACGTCCTTGTTTCTTATCCAATTATATCATTAATTTGCTTATCTTGACCTAAATGTGTATCTTATCTTAGTCTCAGAAACCTATTTTTTTCGAACAGATGTACGAAGTCATATTCCTTGGACAACCTCCAGTCACGCAATGGTTCAACAGGAGAGCAGTTCAGAGTAGAAAAACATCGTAAGCTAAAATTTCGTCTGTCACTGTTTAAGTTTAACTTTAACTTTGCAATTTATCTAAATTTGATAGTTTTTCACAGCAGCTTATCATGATCTTCAACCAACAATTTATAAAATATTCCTTCAATCCTCATCATAATAATGACTCCGGCATGGAAAACAATCAAGTACAGGGTGGCGTATAATTAACACAACGTCGAGATGTGACCAGTCACCAGTGAATACCGCTCTGACCAAGTGGCCGTCTTGCTGGAGATCTCTGGTAGTAGGTGTTAATATCTGGACTAGCTCCTCAGTCCTCAGTTCCCATGCTGTGCTTATCATGGACCAAACACTTTAGCCCGCAGGATCCTGCCAGTACTAGCGGACGTGAACGAGGATCATCAGAACAGCACTGGTAAGAAGAACCCCATGAAGCGAGGCAGCTCTATGAACGCACTCCCCAAGTTGCCGCAGAAGAGGAGCAGTGTGATGAAACCACCCCCTCTCAGACGGGCTAGCACCAGATCCTCTATGTCGGAGGGAGGATCTCCGCTGCCCTCCAAGTGTCACGATATTGCAGTTAATGGGGAGACCATCATCGTGTCAGAGATAGAAAACAGGTCCTTTTTCAGATCCTTATACATTATACAGTTATAGACTGCACTCGTTTAATACGAATAATCATTTTATCTATGGATGTTATAGGCTATTGCTGAAGCTCTTTAAAACGGGATGTCCTGCAGATTAAAGCTGTACAGTGTTGAAGCAGGAGTCAGGCTGTTAGGTACGATAGCGAGGGACAGTGCTATGAGCTGCAGTGGGACACATCTGGCACACAGCAGCACCAGAGGAACCACCTTTTGTAGTCTTAGAGACAAACCTATTCTACTAACCCCGCTTACTGGGTAAAGTGCTGTCCAGTGCATATTATTGATATTGTGGGCTGTACCCCTTGCTCTGTGGTTTTTATTTTGACATAACATAGATAGACCGATTTATTGTTTCATGGATTAGAAAAGAAATTGGGTAGGTTATTACTTATTGTTATGTAGAAGGTTACTCATTTCAGAGTGATTGTGAGGCAAATAAGTGCAGGAAACGGGTACACGGTAATATGTACAAATGATGGAAAAGTCTTCAGCTGGGGTAAAGGAGACCGTGGCTGTTTGGGTAAGAATTCGCTAACAATTTTAAAGTGAAAGTCAGTCAGGTTGATTGCACAAATTCCAACTTTAAGATAAAGATACAATTGGTCGATATTTTCTGGTTGGTTTTTACAATTACATTAATGTTAGAAGAACAATTCCCTCCAAAACCTGAGAACCTCTTACTGATCCTGATTTCAGGACAAGGTGATACGGACGGAAGAAAAGAGCCCCAACAGATTCTAACCCTACCCTTCACGGAGATTGTGCACGTGAGCGCGGCGCACTGCCACACCTCTCTCGTCAGCAGTGACGGAGAGGTGTACATGTGTGGGTCCGGATCCAAGGGACAGCTCGGCACGGGGAACAACTCTGATGCTATTCAACCAGTTGCTCTCGATGTCTCTGATTCAGCAAAAATGGTGCGAAATCTCGTCACTCCTTTTATTTTTCGTATATTTCCGTATGTCTTACAGTTTGGAATGCCTTTGAGCAATTGGTATGAGTAAAAAATTGTCAAGCTCCTGAAACCATGAATTATTAGTTAAACTCAGTAACAGCATTTTTATCAACTATTATTTTCCAACAGGCATGTTGCGGAGGAGATGAGAACCACCCTTTCACATTGATATTAACGGTTGCAGGAACAGTACTCAGTTCAGGAGACGCAGAGAATGGTAAACTGGGTATCGGCAGCAAATGGAGTAAAAAGACATTCTCAGCTATCGGTAATTGCTCATTCGCCCATTTAAAGTTTGTATCAAAGTTATTCAGATGATGCGGCCACACTTGGCTCAGCTCAGGTACCGGGTGAAGGAGCCAAGGTGGCTAATTTTTTAAGGGGGTTGTCAGTTAATTTTTGATCCAACACAGCTTTAGTCGGCTCTCCACTCTCGGTGCATCGATTATCACCAATATTGAGACATGAGACGGAAAGGCGGACAGTGTTGAGTCTGCTAGATATCGCCTCGCATAATCATAGGGTGAGAGTCGGAATAAGCATGAACAGTATTTAGTACCTACATGCTCTGATGTGGTGGCATGATAATGCTCGATACCCATTACCCAATCAATTTGAACAAGCCCCATGGTATAGATCACGGATCAACAAGACGTGTGGTTTACAAAGTCAGTTCCACTCAATTTATCTTCAGGGAATAATAATTATGCCTATTTCTAAAATTTCTCAACTTTAAACCAAGGCTCTTGGGGGTGTATGCAATTGCACTTTGCACTCGATTTCCAGAGTATGCAATGTACTCCTCGCAATTGAACCTCGGCCCCTCCACCCGTGGCCTAGTAAGATTGGTCTTACACAGCATACTAGTCATTGGAAACTCATATTCTCATCAGATATTACCACTTAATTAATGTAACCACTTAATTCTCAATCAGGCAAGATTCACTTTGGGAACAATCGAGTAGATACGATATCAGCAGGAGTGGATCACTCGCTAGCCCTCACTTCTAACAAAGTAGTATTCCAATGGGGCCTTATTACAGGTACTTGTAGACTGGTAACAGGTAACAGTTAACTGTTAACAGGGCACAATTTAGCTCTACACCTTGACTTACCAAATTAGAGCCTTAAAGCCTCATCAACCACCACAATTGAGTAGCAATCTTGCTTGTCGAAACCAAAATTTGGACCTGCTTCATGATTAAAATACCACACAGGGGCAATCAGTTATAAATTATTCCTAAGTATCTGCTCTGAGGTTGTTACAAGCCTCAAATAACAAACATCTTAAATTATCGGTTTCCTGCTCTCACTGCACGGTCCACTAATCATGCAGAGCCAAACAAATCAACCGCAACGAGAATTAATAACAGGGTTAGAGTTACAGCCTTATTAGCGTACGGTCCCTACATGCCCATTTTAACCAACCAAGGGATTAGGGATACTGGGATAGGCTACCCGCTAGTTGCTACCCTGCTCCCTATAAGCCCGCTTAAAGAGATTATGTTGTGTGAAATTGACAGTATTTATGTGGTTTGTGACAGCATTTAACTCATGTGTTACAGTATTCAAGTGGTTTGTGACAGCATTTAACTCATGTGTTACAGTACCCCCTTCAGCTGAGGATAGACATGGAGTTGTGAGAACCAGAGTGGAGAACACACCCAAACAGTTGGAACACCCCTCCCTTCAGGAATTAGTACCGGAGAAGATATTCGCCGGTCACCAATACTCCGTCATATGTGGACAAAGCTCACGACCCCACTAGCCGTGGGGAGTGAATGCACCACCGATTATTCAGCGTTGATACCATCTGATGAGTTGCAGATAGGGTTGTCACTGAAGAATGCTGATATCACGTCACTAACGAAACTGTTAATATCCATGCCTTGACATATAAGACTAAAACACCGATCAAGCTTAGATTTTATCCTAAGCTGTATTTTTCACCAGTTGTGTGTAACATACTACACAGACCGAAATAAAGATAATGAACAACGCTTATCCATAATATAAACGCTCGCTGGATTCTTAGATACAGTTTTGGGAGTTTTTTTTTATTTTGCTCAGCAATATTTAAATGTAATGTAATTTGTTCTTTGTAAGAAACTTGATTTACGAATAGATAAATGTTTCGCTCATACAAAGCTGTGGTTTAACTGATGTTCATTTTAAACTGGAAATCCAAATAGACTCTTACTACGAAGCCCCGATCTAAATCACGCGTCAGGATCTAGGAGTGGCAAGCGTTTACAAACTCAGCTAACAATCGAGTAAGAGAGGCTGGAGGCGTCCAATCGCACGTCGTCTGCTTTGTCATGATCCCAAGATCACTGACTTCAGTACCTCTTATTAGCATTTGGGATAAACTGTAAAAGGAAGATTGAGTACACAACCTCCAACAGAGCCTGAGCAATACCGGGGGCCCTCGCACACATGTAAGGGTTATTTATAGATAATCACTGGCCCAAATAGCACTTTCCTAAATATTTATCACATAATTATGACAGCCCTAACAACATACAAGATGAGTCAATATTTGATAAACCAGCGCTGCCCATCATGACCATTACGTATTGTTGCTCGTTATATATGCGAATTATATATTGGTTGCCATTAAAGATGTCGAACGGGTAATGACTGGTGGGTAATTATTCTTATGATCGGACTGATCTAACGTCGCGGAGACTGAAGTGATTGCCTGGTCGGTGGGGAGACAACGCTCAATAGCCGGCAATAATAAAACGCTAATCACTCTCTAGAGACATTAAATCCATGGATACATGATGACCAGGTAGACCATATGACAAGCAGGTCTCCTCCGTGATTGGTTGCTAGGATACATGTGACCCTGAGCACTACACACCACGTGGGTTAATCAGCCGGCTATTGGTCGACCAAGGATTGCCTCAAAGCAGTTATCCTAGAGTCGACACCTCATTATCAAGCTCATTAAATTATATAAGGATTTTAATTGTTTGGTCATTTGATTGGTAGGAAGCCTCTAACAGTCAGCCGTATATCAGCTCACCAATATTCTGGACAAATTAAAAGAATCCTGTCACTCGGGTTAGACTAAATTGCCACTCTAATGACCAATCTGTGAGTAGAGATTCACACTGCAGGCTGGTCGCTTCCTCCTCCGTTTATCTATACTATATTGGAGGTTAAGTGCAAATAGCTCACGAAATAGCATTATACGAAGGGTGTAAAATAGCTCTTCTACTTGACTAAGAGCTTCACGTGCCCGAGGAAATAAATCTTTATTGCCAGATATCGAATATGTGTGAAAAGCTCTACTGACAAAATTTGTACAAATATTTTCTAATTGAATCCAATATATTTGATATTGTCTTATCGATGGATTAATACTCCCTAACTCTTTTCCGGTTGATCGAATTTACAGTGATGTAGGAAGCTTCATTTTCTAAGGGGTACGCTAGCCCCCCGGAGGGCAATTACTACTTACATATTATATGATATGAAGCTTGATAGTTGATACCCAATCAATTTAACTAACCACAAGGTCAATATCACAATAAGAATGGCAGGAAGGGGTTTTATGAAACATATGAGTTATACAGTAAGTTGTTTGTTTTAAAGTAGTACAAGAAGTATAGTTTACAATTCGTCAACAATATACGAACCATCAAAGTTTACCTCTATTTATAAGAATATAAATACTGTCAAATATAGTGGCTCAGAGAATACAATTGAATGATTAATCCGAACCGAAGATACAATTATCAGGGATGAATTAACCAACAAATGTAAATGTGTTGAGTAACTCTACCCAACTGCTCCTGATATCTCTTCCATTAGATACTCAAAAGTGTGAATAGTATTTGTTCATTCTAATCATGGAAATTAGGTTAGCTGGTTAGATTAATCTGAAATTAAGAAGGTCCATATCCCCAAACTTACTTGAAATGTACAACACTGACCATAGTCAGAATATTTTATAACAGAAAAGTTGAAATTGACAACATCTACAGTTATAGTTTTACTTAATTAATTTATGATTTCAATACTTCTAACAGATTAACCAGATGTTTCACTAGTACGAGGTAGAAACGGGCCTACAAAATTCCAGAAATCAACTATTGCCGTACTTATTTTAACATTTCGTTCTTGGTTCATTAAGTTTCCGAACATTTCCAATTTGCATAAAGCTAAACTGGTGTTGGAGAGTCAGTATAGGGCCAGGGATTTAATTGCCAGCTATAAAAACCGAAGAATTGTCAAAAAAGTAAGCGACAAATTTTGTGACTGTTTAAGAGCCCTGATCAACTTAATTTTTCATCCAATCAAGCAATTAACTAGCTTAGAGCAGGCTTCAATGGATGGGCTCCAGGTTTCAGGGTTTGATTGGGTCCAATCTGTCGACCAATAACATTTATAAGACGTTTTACGGTAGAGGTGAAGCATTTCTGCACGTGGTTGTGATTGCCCAATCATGCAGGAATCACCTCTGAGTCTTACTTCACCTCTGGCAAAACTGCGGATCGGAACAGCTCAAGCCTCAAAGAGTAAGTTGGATCATTGCGTACGTGGAAATAGTGAAAACTGGTGTGATTGATCTGCTCCAGAGGAGCTGAACAGAGGAGCTATGAATCTTTTAATCAAAAACGTTGGAAAATTCCTAAAATTCACGAACCGGAACCCGCTGCTTGTGCTACAGCCAGTGTCACTCACGTGCTGAAGATAAAGAAATTGAAATACAAAATTAAATGATGGACCACAATGGACAGTCCTTGTACCGTAGCCCCAACTTCGTGAGTAATCAACATTTCGGTAAGGATAGTCCAATTATTGCAGCTATTAGATAGGATGATTTATTGTTAATCAATCTTCACGTTTAGCTTATAATTATAAAACTACCTATTTTAAATCTGAACTTCTGCATCTCTTATACCAGTTCTCCTTCTATTATAGGTATTTCCACTCATGGGTGACCTTCAGGGCAGCAAACAGCATTTAATGGTTATGGTTAGACCGATAATCAACATGCCACTATCTCACCATGTTCGATAATTTAGAGTTTAAATCAAGACATCAAAGCTAAGAATTGCTTGATCAAGCAGGATTAACCCTGGCCCAATATACCAAGGGATCATCATGAATTGGTAATCATGTCACGTGACTATCTAATAACTAATAAGAACCTTTCGCTGTCTTCTTCTAACAACTTGCGGGTCTAATTGCGCGACAAGCGTGTTCATAATTGGCTGAGCATATGTCTTCAACTTCAGGAATGAGTAGTCACCTTTAGTCCCCCGGCAAGGTCAAAGACTTGAATCAACTTCTCCGATTTTAATGTTATTGATAGGCGCCATTTTGTTGCCATTATACTAGACATCTCATCGGCACAGATTGAATCTAGCCGTGAGATGATTATTGCTAAATCATTAAGAGGAGTCAGAGAAGCTTCTGACCTCCGCACCACCCTGTCATTAAGCACTCAAATCTGTCAGCTTTACATGGTATAATCCTTTTGTTTGAGGTTGAGTATAATTTTCAGCATTTAAGTGATTCTAGAAATTGAATTAATGATTAACGTGTGATTAGCAAGGCTGGATGCCCCATCCGGATCTATTTATCGGTCCTGGCTCTATCCGTAGGAGCAATTATAGCCGTTTCAAACCAGATTTCTTCCTTGTAGACCTCGATCAGTAGTGCGATTAATCGCTGCGCACGTGCCCTGTTTGGCGTAACACGTGTTATTGCGGAGGTAGCACGTGTTCAAGTATTACCAATGTAGCAAACAATCATTAACGGTATGTAAACGCGTCATGTGGTAACGTGACCACCTGCGTGAGATCATGATCTACGACAAGCAGATGACCGAGACCTGATTCTACTCACTTTCTCGATTTGCATTTCAGTCGTGCACCCCAAATATTCTGTGTTCAGTTTACAGACACTTTTTTGTTCTTCGTTTCCAGTCTTGAACTTTTAATTTGGTATCAGATCTTTCTGTTAACACAATCGAACAAACAAGTAAGTAAGAATTCTTCATGATTTTTAATATTGCCATTTATTTGGGTGCTGCCCATTTTATAATGCAAGATTACCCATTTTTTTCTGGTTGGATTTATCCCATGGTTGGATTTATACCATGTAAGCATCGTATTATTCCGTCTGGCTTGTTTCCAAAACCATCTTTAAACCCAATAATCTAGAAAACTGAAAATATTTTCAACAAAACCCCAACCCCGCAGTGATGGACAGCAGCAATACCTGCCGAATCACAAAGGAGGAAGCTGTGCCTTATCAGAAACTATCCAACATCATGATGGGACTAGACACCCAGCCTAAACCGCAGGTTACATTTTTACCTTTTAGATCCTGTTTTTGGTTAATACCAACAAATTCCGAAAAGTTTTTGTACCTGCATTATGTAATAACTATTTTTAAACCTTACTGGCAGAGCGTGCTTAATGGTAAGTCAATCTACCTTAGCTGCAATGAAATTAGGGTTAAAGTTCTTATCTTAGATAACGAATTAAGACTGGCTCGTTCATTACATGGCATGCCCCGTTACATTTATGTCAAAAACTTTTGAAGGATAAATGACAATTTTTGGTAATTTCGAAAATTTTTATCGTATGGCATATATTCGAGTGAAAATCTGCATGCCTTATTTGCAGATGCATTTACTTCTTGAAGTACTCAATATTTTATCAAATAAGAGACAGCTGCGATAAACGTTATCAGTCTAAATTTCATAAGGAGCACCCTAAAACATTCCAAGGCAATTCGGTAGTGTGGCATAACACAAGAAGCACATACAGTTCTATATAAGAGCACTTATATTACTGAATTTTTATCGTGCCTATAAAATTGTTCCGTTTAGAATACATCCAAAACCAGATCTGCAGTCGGTGCCCATCCTTTAATCGAGTGAAACTCAATCGGATTATGGGATATTAATCATTAGACATGGCTAGTGCCGAATTTTGTGTTAGGTTTGGGTAGAAAATATAAGGCTTAATGGCGTATGTCGTTTAATCCTCCGACATTTAAAATCCCAGCATTTCATCCTCTACTTTCTTAAGTTGTACTATATAAATATTATATATTATATATTATATACAATAAATATCGAAAACAAAGTCTCTCCCAGCACAAGGGGATTTAATACAGTCAAACAAAGGTTTCACCTTACGGACATACATATGTATATTAGATTTAGAGTAGAGAAGTAACTTAACAAAAATTGGAATTAAAGTTGAAGATTGTGTCTGAATTGGAAATGAATTTGAAGATGGAATGTCCGGGTACCAGAGATAAGACCGAATTTGGTGCGTGACGAATTCCATAAAATCTGGGTCACGTACTTCTGCGTCAGTCTAGTTGAAATTGATATTTGCAAATCAAGCTTCAAGTTTTGTTCTGATTTAAGGATGACCTTTGAATGTTTTCCTGGTTTATTTAGATATTTTATTATGATCACTCATAAGCCTGAACAGTTCCATACCATATCTTGATTCTTGAGACAATGTCCGGACATAATTAAGAGTTCCAAAAACTAGAGATTATTTTTGGCTACAACTTCTTGTTAACAACTGAATTATTTATTATAGATCTTGTACACAATTTTTCCTAGTCTGATCATCAGTGTGACCAACAGTCCTTTTTAGGAGTTTCATCAATTCCTCTCAACGGTCAACTGCTATAAATTCACACCAAATATCTGATTCTCCTGAAAATCGTAGATAAATCAATACCAATTGGGATTGGAGTGTTGCCCAATCTGAGTCAGAGACAGGTCACCAACACAACCTCTTATAGTTATACCTATCTGTGATTGGTAGAATCTAACACTGTGACAGAGGTGTCACTCAGGATTTTGTCAAAACCCTCAACATTCCTCGGAACATTATTTTGGAGCTGCAGGGCTGACAAATGCATTACAGATGTTTCACGCTAGAACCCAATAATTGGAATCATAATATACTGGAACTCTTGCAGACTATACCACCAAATCAGCTGGCCCCTAGAGGTGTAAAGTAACCCTGTATGCCACCAAACGATGAGGCTAGTCCAGCCTGCGTTGTTCAAACTTGAGACACAATGGTAACACTTATTTAGCTCTTGTACACTGTCTCACAGGTCAAAATGAGGGATAAGTCGTTGGTTCGTTTCCACGTGGCTCCTTCACTCGTCCACATGCTCCTAATGGGACTCAAGACAGAAAATCACCAGATAATTGGTTTATTAAATTTATTTCCAGTTCATGCTTACCTATCGTTTTTAAATGATCAAGGGTTAGAGCACATGGACACTGCTAGTTATTATCGGCCCGCTTAACAACATTTTCTGCGAATTCAGCTCTTCAACAAGTAATTCTATTACTGCACTTGATTGTGAAAGGCATGGTGCACGGCCCTTAATCTATCGATTGCAATGAGGTGCATGATTCTTCAAAGTTTTCAAGGCTCCACCTCCAGATATGAGACGTGATCAGTTCTCAATCCCGATAATCAGAAAATCGCTTAATTCCACACGTGAACACACCATGGTGCACCGAAAAAGAAATCTCCTTAGCGCGCCTATAATAGCACGTGTTAATTAGAATACATTAGCATGATAGAAGTTTTGCACGTGCTCGACGAACTAGGGTTCATCGATAATTAAATTGCAATCAATCGAGCGGCTTCATGTAGTAGATTAAATTTGAAGAACAAAAGTTTTTTTCTGCGATACAATGGAATCATGCTGATCTGGTTGAAGCTTGAAAGTGATACCTTTATAAAAGGATAACTTACAACTGCAGTTTGTGGCGATGTGATTGAATGAATGAGGTCCTCAGGTCAACCAAAAAAAGAAACATGCCTGCTGACCTGCCAGCTGGCCAGGCTTTTTTATGGCGGAGCTCATTGGCCGGCTAAGTTTAACGGAGAGTTGTATACCTAGGCTACAAAAAGCACCGACTGTATCAGAATTCAGAATATTATCATATAATATGTGTTCGTCTACCATTATTAGCAAGAAATAACCAGAAAAACGGGTTCTTGTCTATTGAATTAAGATAACAAATTGAGGACTAGGCATTACGGGAAGAGAAGAAGTAGCGCCCAAAATCTGACCCCTGTTATGTTTTACAGATGATAACGCCCTACCGCTGCGACACCTGCGGAAAGTACTTCACCCAAAAACCTGGACTGAAGAAGCACATCAGAATTCACACCGGAGAACGACCCTACAAGTGCCCTATCTGCAACAGAGGCTTCACGCAATCTTCTTCCTGCAAAATTCACCTCCGGACTCATACCGGTACGATTTTATAATTATACCAAAATATTTGGCAAAATGTTTCTTGGAGGGGACTTGTTAAAATTCAGGCCAGTTAAAATATATTATTTTGGTAAGTCACGTTCAATTTTGAAATTAAGCAGCCATGCAGTTATACGCAAGTACCTGAGTTTTTAGAGTTCTGTTGAATATCTAGCGATTAAAATAAAAGGTCCATAAGACTTTCAAGATTCCAGAAATCGCCAATGTTGCCACTCATACCTAAGTAGCCATCAGTCCTTTTGTGAAGTGTGAAACACTGATAGTGCCATTGGATCCGTTGTCGGCATTTATTGGCGTCAAAAGTACGGCTAATAATTTGGGTAAAAATTTGCTAAAGATCTTAGCTTCATAAGTTTTCAATTTATATGGCAAATATTGCATGATGCATCCCGACTCAGTGGCGAATCCATTTCTAATAGATAGCCACCGAAACGCACCAATGGCTCCACTGAAAGCGCACTAATGGCGATATCCGGCATTGATGACGCCAAGGACACTACTGAATAGCGATTACTGGGATCTCTTATGACAACTTTGCCGAAAATAACTTGTGTTATTTACTTTTACTGACATGATTACTGGCTTTATTTACACATATCCGCCCTAAATACTGCAAACTGTAGGTCATTAGTCTTACTAACAAAATTCTTTTATTTCTATCTTAACACCTAATACAAATCATGATTAATTTTGGAATAATCTGAAAGACCTGAATATTTCCAGGTCTAAATTTCTTAATTAATCCTGCTAGTAATATCCCCTGCCACATTTGAGGGCCCATTATATTGTACAAATAGTAGTGAACTATTGAGCACCGGGGCTAAGTAAGGTATAATGGTGAGGGTTCTATGAGGGATATGGGAGGGGGAGGAAGGAGCACCAGCCGACATACAGTCTCCTCACAGCTGGGTTTAAGAGGGAGACAAGGTTTCATGTGCCCACGTGCATCGCCCGTCAGCACTAAGAACTTAAAGAGGGATCTCACCAAATTATCAGCATAATGCTCAACTATTCCGGCCCACTGTGATTTGAGTGGCATGGTAATAACGGTATTTCGTCTGATAATTACCGGTTAGCTCTTTTAACTGACATTTTGATTGCAGCACCTCTATCATTCCCCGTCAAATATAATGTATTTAATTGTCCATTATAGAGAATTTTAACCCTTGAATACTACAATCGGACACCAAGAATGGGTACAAGAGTATTATAATTACTAGGAAATCTCTATTTAAGCACACATTTTCTTTGAAACTTAGCCTAAATCCCACTTAAAAAACTTTAATACTTATCGGTGGTAGATGGTATAGTGCATGCAACTGAAGGCTGGCAAGTTATTGACTCAAGATCACTATTCCCCAAAATGTTGATGACATACTTTGATTAGAAATTAAGGATTATTATTACCGAAGCCAAATTATTTTCTAGACAAAATTTGACAGAGTTTTCAAACCTTAGGAGAACAGAAAAGAACCAGAAAATTACTTAAAGTAGCTGAGTTCTGACAGCTTTTTAGGAATTATCAAGCCCTTACGGCAGTAGTTGGTAAGTATGAAATAAATGCCTCAAATCAACTCGAAAAGTGCAATATACCGGAGGTCACCAACATCATGACTAATCACCTAAAATTTTCAGGAGAGAAGCCCCACAAGTGTCACATCTGTGGGAGATGTTTCCCGCATTCCAGCACGCTCGTAAACCACATAAGAGGGCACACGGGCGAGAAGTGCTACAAGTGCCAGTGGTGCGGCAGGGCCTTCACTTGCAGGAACTATCTCAGAACTCACATCAGGGTTCACACAGGTAAATACCGTCTGATAAGAATTAAATCTAGCTTTAATTAGCGATTGCATAACTTTATCTTCAAGTGACCTAGATTTCAGACGAATTAACTTTTCTAATCCTTATCAATATTTTCGTTATCGTGATATGAAGATTAGTAGGATACATTTGGCATCTATGTCATCGAAGTTTCTAAAAATGTCCAAATTCCAGGTGAAAGACCGTACAAATGTGTAGACTGCGGCAAAGCTTTCTCTCAGCTCAGCAACTTAATGCAACATAACAGAGATATTCACACTAAAGAAAAGCGATTTAAATGCGAGGTAAGAACACAAACATATAGCTGCAACAATTCGATTTAAGCAGTTAATAAACCAGGACTTCGGATGAAATTCATCGTGCCCTTTATCTTCAAAAACCAATCATTACACAAAACCAAAAGCCAAGGTTGTAATTTTATCCTAATTGCAGATTTGTGATCGAGCCTTTGGAAGATTAGAAACACTTCAATGTCATCTGAGAACCCACATGGGAGAACACAGATACAAATGTGGGATCTGTCAGAACACTTTCTCGCAGGTTTGAATAAGTTATATTTTATTTGTAGTAGGCTGAGTGATCAGGTGGGATACATCCCTCCTTCCTGTACTGCACTTTTAAGGAGAAATATTATACTTTTTACAACTAATGATTGATGCGGAATAGTTTTATTACTAACAAAGTAAACCTTCAGAAACCATTATTGAAGATGCATTTCAAGACACATTTTGGAGATCTTCTCACTGCAGAACAAGAAAAGATTCTACTGGAAACATCAGAACTTTTCAATGAGAACATCATGAATATGAGGTTAGAATTAGACGCAAAATGTAACCGTAATATTTGGTTGTTATTTTTAATTTTCTCGCATAAGCCATGATCGAATGTGAAAAGGCCTTAATATACGGTAAAAAAAGATAATTTACTTTTAACTCATATCACCTCCCAACAAAACCAAATTAATCAAAATCTTTCTCAGTAACACTTCAATGGACGGCACTGAGGGCGTTGGAACTTCTCAAGACCAGACTGTGCTGATGCCGAAAATAACCTCAACCTCCAGTTTCTCAACAATCCTCCCTGAACAGATGCAGATAACCTCCATAGAGTCTCCACCAGCATCTCTCGTCGGGTCCCCTCAGATCGCCAGTTCTCCTATGAACTGCTCCCCACCAAACACCATGTCACAAGGACCACCTCTCTACACGCCCTCCAGTAGTAACTCCCCCCAGTTCGGCTCCCCCGCTGCAGTCATGAGAAACTACATGCCTAGGAAGCTTGTCTCCCCTGGAGAAGAAACCCAGACCAGGAAGTCCGGACTGAGCTCCCTTCTGAACCCCAGAGACCTGGAGGAGACCTTGTCTAGTGTCTACGTGGTTGGTGGGGCGGCTATCACTTGCAACCTCCTCCTTTGGACAATACTCGCCGTCAATGCAGTCAAGTACGTGATTATATACAGGGTGTTACAAGACTCGTGTCCAAATTTGAAATTATAGATTATGCTGGAATTTGCTTGATAGAAAATCAGGCACCAGGCGGTAGGAAGGGTTCGTTACCTTTATCCTCGCACGCCCAACCAACTAGTTCAAAATTCAAATAAATTCAATTATAAACCGCGGGACAGCTTATCTGTACATTCTAAGAGCCATAATAAAGGTTACCAAAGGTTCGAATAAGATTTTGCACAAAAATCTTTCAGGATTTATCAACCAATATCCGGGCTAGCCAGTACGTGTTACATGTTCTCGGAAAATGGTTTTGGGTTTCTTACATCCAATTGGTGATAAATTGGACGGAAATGTGGTTAATGGCAGTGTGATTAACTCTCATCCGTTTCAGGAACTACCAGACAGCTGTTGAGGACCACCTTGAGCAGTTTGGAGGCCTCAAGTGACCGTCAAGCGTCAAGCGACAGAGTGGGGCTAACGCGATAATTCCAACATCCTACTGCAGCTAGACAGTGTCTTCCGGCAGTCACCCCCTGATTGGACGCACACTGAATATAAAAAACACTCCGCAGCCGGTCTAAAACATTTCACTTTGTGTATCAGTGGTGTGCGAGAATGTTTATTTTGAAGACATGTACTTATTTCTGTTGTTGTTATGAGTTTGCAGTTGTTTCCTGGGTGTCAGAATAAACACACGCACTGTAGACGTAGTAGTTCGAGCTGCAGTCATCCATAGACTCTGTTTTGAACACGATTTTTAGATTATTTATTGGGCTAATCAATATCTATCTGTATAAATATAATTGTATGTAATCTTCAAATGATGTTGTAACTAGAAATCGCGTGTATTCATTCGAGAATTGTTCCGCTACGTACCTTATCTGTTATCGGCCAGTCATGGAAGGCCCTTATTTAAACAGTTTTCCCTCTACTAGTAACAATTCAGTCTGTTCACAATTTTGAATTTGGTCAGTTCACAACTTGGTCAGTTTGAAATTGATCTCTTCACAATTTGGTCTCTTCACAATTTCTCAATTTGGTCTCTTCACAATTTCTCAATTTGCTCTGCTCTCATTTTGGGCTCTTCACAATTTGGTCCGTCCATAATAGGGCCGATAAAATAAGATAAACTTTGTTAGTATTTAGGAATGCAAGTTTAAAGAAAAAATTGGCTCATAAATTCTGTTTAGTAAGTTACGGTTCCAATCTTATAAAATCAATTATGACATTGGTCCGGTCCAAAGGCAGATAAGAACTTATTTCTAGACGGTGACTTGCGTACCTACGGTGGAAGCAGCATGGTTTACGTTCACGACCTTGATTCTAACTAGAGTTCAATCCACCTTCACGTTAAAACTTATCTGAAATTAGACCCTTATCAGGCGTGCCAGTGACGCCGCGTAAAATTAACCTAATTAAGAAAAAGGGGTATGCGGCCACGTGACAAGACACGCGTACCAGCTCGTGATCGTGTACACCCTCTCCGGACAGTTTTAAAATTCAGCTGCGTTTGTTTAAACGGCTCTTGTTGGTTACATGACTGACGGCTGACCACTGAACGAGTCTCATAACCGTTTCATTGCAGGAATTTTGATTTTCGTGTGGCGCATCATGGTGTTACATTTATGTTCTTTTATTTTTGAAACAAGTTCTTACAGACCGATCTCGTCTGACTTATAGTTATAGGGGAATTCTGCAAATTTCGATAAATCTCTTATCGTATTATTAATTATTGATGTGACAGTGTCCGGGGCTCGGGCACAAGACTGGATATGTAAAACTAAAATAAAAGAACAGATATATGAAGGCAGTTTCGAGGCGGTATTTATTATAGTAAATTGGTTAAATGGAATATTCCCTCAATTTTCCTATACCCTGTAATATAACACATGTTAATTTATCAGGGTGCAGCTTCAGCGTCTTTTGTTGGCGAGCAGAATTACAACTTACTGAAATTCAACTCCCGTTATGACAAAGCTCATGTTGAACTTGCCTTGAACAGTATTCTTATATCGATAATAAGTTTAAGTTAATTAAGATGGCCGATGGGAGGGGTGTTAAACGTGTTTGATTGGTTGCAAACCCTTATCAAGTTTCCTTATCAGCTAGTTTTATGACGCATCTCATACAACATTGTAAATTCGACCCGGCTCAACTCATTATCCTGTGTTTAGTTATAATACCCACCCTTGTCCTTTCTCTTGTATAAGTTTGTGATTCACATTCTAAGAAACATCGGCTTAGCTTTTAGTCATTGAGCCATTCAGTTTGTTACAACTTGCAAGTACGATAATTAACGATACCTTTTTCTAGGCTCACTTGTAACTACTCAGATTTGGTATACATCCGAATCCTGATGGCACTCTCGCGGCACTCTCGCGGCACTCTCGTGGCCGCCCGCCGCGACAGTGCCGCCATGGTGCCATCGGGATCCGGATGTATGACCCTCAGATTGTCCTATTTTTACATCTCCATCATCAAATTGATCGTAAAGTTTGTACCTTTACGATAACTGTGGGGAAGGGGGCTTAGTCTTATTATGACGCTAACACACCGGAAAATTAGCTACAATGAATAATGGCAAATATCAAAACCTTTTTCTTCAGCTCTCTGCTCATCTTGAATTGCACTTATTATGTAAATGTGCGTTAGTTAACTATGAGGATTTTAATGACCCAAAAAGGAAAAAGGTTAACCAGACTTAACCTTCAAATAAAGACTGCAGAGATTTTTTATTTAAGGCCAAGCCGACGCTGAGATAAAATAAAAACCAGTTTGGTTGCTTTTTATTCTACTGTCCACACCCGCAGGTAGTTTTCCACAATTTTTATCGGCGGCAAGCAGCAAAATGAAAAAGCACATTTTTGACATAACGAAATTAACTATGCTACTAATAAATATTTTCGGTCGTCAATTATGCTTTAAACTGAAATATTAGTTACGCCGAATAGTATCAAGAATCCTCGTTTAATTTTGTATTCCTTTACTAATAGATGTGGATTCTCGTGGGGAGGTGAGGTGCATTTGTTTACTTTAATAGTAATTACCTGCTCAGCAGAGGAGAGAGGTGATGCACATTTTGTGATATGGAACGCTTGTGACGCTTGTACCTCCTTCTTGTTACCCCCCTTTGAAGGTCCCGAATTATTTTCTGAACGAAAGCAAAGGTCGTTTTGATGACTGTTCTACTTCTTGACTTAAAAAATAACGTATTTTTTTTTTTCAAAAATTTACTTTTACCTTAACAAAAAAGGTACGGAACCGGTGACCCGTAAAAGCAAAAACAAAAAAAATTAAAAACCAAAAAATGAAAATAATTCGGGACCTTCAAAGGGGGTAACAAGAAGGAGTTACAACTTACAAGCGTTCCATATCACAAAATGTGCATCACCTCACTCCTCTGCTGAGCAGGTACTTACTATTAAAGTAAACAAATGTACCTCACCTCCCCACGAGAATCCACATCTATAAATGCTGCATAAACTTTAAAAGCGACACCACTCGTCTCTGATTCTTGTTTTTAATTTTGAAATCAACTAACTTAACCTAAAATTATCTCTTGCCATTAGATGAAAGTGTTATTGGTAGCCGCCTGCCTCCTGGCTGTTGCGTTGGCACAAGAAGAACCAGAATTTGTGCCTAACTTTGAGATTGCCCCGGGGGTGAGCACTTTTCGTTGATTTATTTGAAGACTCAATAGGTTTTAAGTTTTTTCATTATGCCGTTTCTAGGAGCACAATCAGAAAAGAAAAGAGTGATACTATTATTAGTAGGGTCAAAGTCACTAATTTTCTAACTTATTTCTACCATTACTACAACTAGTAGGGTCAAAGTCACTAATTTTCTAACTTATTTCTACCATTACTAATATTTCAGGCAAAAAAGACCTCGTTCCTCTACCAAATTCAAAAAGGTTTAATTGAGGGCTACGCAACGATATTCCCGGATGGTGTCAGAATACAGAACACCGCCCAGCTTGGTATCATGACTGCCAAAAATGATCTGTGTAAAATCAACAAACCTGATTATCAAAGTCAAGGCAGTGTCATCCTAGGAAAAACTTGCAAGAAGGCTTTCGTCAAGGTAATTTTAAATATTTCAATGGCCACGTTCTTCGCCATTCTTCACCGTATTTTTCTGTGACATTCACGCGGATTTAATTTTCGGAAATCATTAGTCAAATTGGGACAATAAATTAAGATAGTCTTTGGAAGTGGACTCTGAAACGTGACAATGGAATTTAAAACACTCAATAATCAATAACTAGGTGTTCAATGCTGATGAAGATCAATGCAGTGGCGTATTCTGTGATGTTCTCGAGGTTGCTGAGGTGTTCCTCAACGACACTATGAGAGCCATGATTGCGGCTGAGTTCGACAAAGATTTCTTCAAAATCATAGAAACTGAAATCCTCAACCCAGTAATGGAGTACAACTGCCGATGCTCTGGTAAAATGATGGACGCTTGGATGGGCTGCAAGCACAAGTTTGTTTTTTAAAACATTCATTTAAGTTGTAACCTTCCAATTGCATGGAATGAACTTTTCACAAATGCCAGCAAGTTACTCAGGGAATATGATAGTTAAGCATTGAGTTTAGATCAACCAACTATTGACTAATGATGCATTCTGATCAGGATTGGAGAGGCTGATATCTGGTACACTGTGATGAACTTCGGTGGCTTTGTAAGTATAGTCTTTCCCTTAAAAATGTATCAATTATTTCAATGAGGATGATGGAATATTTTGCTAACGTGGCAAAATGTAAAAACTTTCTGGAATTAATTAAGTCTATTAACTTTCTAGAACACATCCGCCGCCTACCTCGAGGGTGAAGACTGGTTGGACTTCTGGGTTGATGTCGTTAAAGACAGATTACCTTGGGATGACGTAAGACAATATCATATATTAATACTGATAAGAATGTGACTTGAAATAAAGAAGAACGATCAACTATTGACTGATTATATTGAATTACAATTTTTGTAACGGACATGGAATTAAAATTTATCCAAATCAGATGTCACTTATGCTTGAACGAACCATGGCTAACTTGTGCCAGACCAACCAGGACGATGAAGGCAAATGCTATACTTACTTCTACAAAGGTGAATATATCAATATTTAATACAAATAGATCCGTAAACATTTCAACTAGGCATTAGTTACAATTTACAAATGTCTCGATCAATGAATAATAATCTCTTTCACTATACTATTTAACTATTTGCTGCGTATAAATTTTAAATGATCAATGTTACATGACGCATGCGGCATGTGCTGCAAAGGACCGACTATAAACCTCGCATTTCATTTCAATCTCAATGACGACCACTTTTTCCAGCTTTCAACACCCTTTACCAGTGGTTCCTTAAGTCTACTGGAGGGGTCCCAGCTGTGAATAAACGCGGCGGCAACAACAGAAACAACGATGTAGCAGTTCCCGAACAATGTTCCACGTGAGCCTCCTTCATATTTATTAAAACGTTTTAAAATTGTACAGTAAAGCAAATATTCAATATTGCATAGAACATGAAGTTATTGAACAGATCATAGATAATGGGCGCTACTACATAAGAATTATAACAAAGTCTGAACTAAGTGGCTCGGTTGCCTAAGGTTACTGTCTGGTCCCAGTGTGCTGTAAAGTGTAAAGAGGGTGCAAGTTCGAATTCACTTAGTACAGCCGTTATATTATAACTGTTGTATCTCCGATTTACACGTAACCCGTTACAACTTACTATCTATTGTTGAGCTCAGCAAGCTTACAGTTTTATGTATGAATGTAATATTTTCTACCATAGCAATAACCTAATTATTCCCCAGGTACGATTTATCAGCATATGCTGATATGGAAGCTGAAGACATCTCGTTCGGAGACATCAAAGAGGCTGTAATCGAGAAGTTCTGCGTGGAAGAGTGTGAGGATGTCTATCAGGATACTTTCTTGGATGCTGCACAGCTTCAATGATTCAAGATGAAGGTGAGTTCCAATTTGTGCAACCACTTATAGTTAAATTATGATAAGACAAACAAATACATGTATTATGCAACAAAATTTCACAGCCAAAAGAATGCACGTTTAAATATGTATAATATGGATTCAGTCAAGATCATTTAATCAATCGTATGATATGACACAGCTCATTAAGACGATTCATAATACTAATAGAGCTTGTTCTCTTCAGTTTTGGAGACTTCAGTCAAGAATACCGCAACGGGAATGGGAGATATCTACAAACGCCTCTACCCAGAGAATGAGGATGCTGCAAATTCTGGAATATCCGAATACTTCGGATACTACGAGGTGAGTGCCGCAAAATGATTTATACCCATATCACTGTAGTTGTAAAAAAGCTTTTTTAGTAGCTACAGAAAACTCGGGATTTGAGGGTGGCCTTAATCATTTTACGGTAAATTTTCAGACCCGATTTAGCTGAATTGCACTTTCTAAAGAACAGTTTGTTTTTTACAAGAGATCAAGAATTTGGAAATGATAGCTCATTTAATAATAAATTCATAACGCGAGATAGTAATAGTGTGTCCGCAGAACGCTATGGCGATGCTGAGGAACCCTACTTGCACAGAGACTAGCGTGGAATACGATGTGACCCCCTGTGGTGGTGCAGGAGGAGAAGAAGAACTCGGAGAGGTGTCTTCATGTGAGGGTCTCAGTTCTAAGAAAGCTAAAATCTGCAAAAAGAAGGCAAAGAAGGCAGCCAAGGCAGCAGGAGACGAGGAAGAAGAAGGAGGCAATAATAAGAAGAATAAGAAGAATAAGAATAAGAAGAATAAGGGAGGCAAGAAGGGAGGCAAAGGCAAGAAGAATAAGAACAAAGAATCAGCCTAAGCGTTGTCTACGTCATTTGAACTTTTGAACTGGCAAGCCCGGTGATGGTAAATTGACATATTCCCGTAGAACGGACTTCGTTAACTGTTAACTTACTAACAGTACATCTGTACATGTAGCCATGCACTGGGTAGAACATTTTTATGTTTAGCAAAATAATATTTTCTTATCATAGCTTTCTGTATAATCTTTTATAGTTTTTATTAGTAAATCCTTTATATGAAAAAGAGAACGATTGTTTTACTACCTTACGAGACATATTTAAATGATACGAAAGTGGGTGGTTTTCGGGAAAAAAACACCATATTTTCGGACTACCAAAATTTAGGTCACCATCATTATTTTCCCCAATTATTTTTCACGTATTTTCCTTAATTATGACTTTATCGATTTACTATCAACTTATCAATATACTAGAAAACCCGTGGTTACAGGGCCAGGGAGGAAGCTAATAGTATTTTTTGATAGTAAGTTTAAATCGAGTCAAAAAATATCCTACTACTCAACCGAAGATACAGCCGATTAAAATGTTGCTCGCACTATACACAACGTAATATCTTGAACAAAACCGATAAAAATACCGTTTTAACAATCTTTGCACGTGCACGTGCGTGTAACAACCCTCGTTACCATAGTTACTTTCCAACCTTTTGCTTTTTACCTAATTTGCACGTGGGCGGTCGTACAGTGTACGTACATTGTACAAAGGGAATCCTCTGAATTATAATATAGACTAGAAAACCCGTGGTCACAGGGAGAAACCTAATAGAGTAATAGTATTCTTTGGCAGTCAGTTTTAATCGTGTCAAAAAGTATTCATGATCCCCACCGAAGATACAGCCGATTAAAATAGTAAAATGTTGCTCGCACAAACTGAAGCAAAACGCAATATCAACAAAACCGATAAAAATGCCGTTTGCCAATCTTTGCACGTGCACGTGCGTGTAATAACCGTCGTTACCATGGTTACTTTGCAACCTTCTGCTTTTTACCTAATTTGCACGTGGGCGGTCGTACAGTGTACAGTGTACAAAAAGAATTCTCTGAATTATAAGTAAGACTAGAAAACCCGTGGTCACAGGGAGGAAACTAAAAGCGTTCTTTGAAAGTAAGTTTTTATCGCATGAAAAAACATCCATCCCAACCGAAAATACAGTCGATCTAAATTTAAAACACTTTTTCAAAGTTTCAACACAACGTAATTACGTTTTCACCATTAAGTGAGAACGCTTTCAGTTAGGAACTTCAAAGTTTCTAGACACATTTGGCTTGATAATTGAAGTGCTTTCCCAAAATTTCAAGTTGGTTGTTTACAATTTAACCGAGTTATGACCCTTTTAAGATCTTGCAGATACGTGATCCAGCACTTATAGGACAGCAACCGAAGCGCTATAACGCAAATTTCTTCGGTTTTAAGGAACGTCACTATCAGTATTCACTCAAAGTGATCAGATCATCATCCACAAACATGCTCGGGGGGGGGGGGGGGGGGGGGGGGTGTGTGCACTACACTTTTTTTACACTATTTTACACTACACTTTTGCCTTTTTTGGTGTATGGTGTAGTAAAAATTATATTAAAAAAGATACCATTTTTTCACACTATTTTACACTATTTCACACTATTTTACACTATTTTACACTATTTTACACTATTTTACACTATTTTACACTATTTTACAATTTTTTACACTTTTAATTACGCTTAACAAAATCATCCTCTAAAAATCTTCTTTTTTCCTATTATTTTCTAATCAGTTCAACCACTCAATTACGGTCGATTAGTAATTTGAACATTAGAGGCTTTGTAATTCACACAAACATCATAGCTCTACAAGATTGCCAACATCAGAGACTACAATCGGATCAATGTATCTGACCCAGTCAACTAACAATAAACAAACCAGAATCTAGTATTGTTCTTTTGTATCTTAATAAGTACTTGCAATATCATTAGATCTCAGCCATTATGTGGACGTAGCCTTTTTACTTAAGTATTGAGGTAGAGTGGGGTAACCCACAAACAAACAAAGAATATCTGAGAACAAGCACTTGACAATAATGTGTTAAATAATTATGCTAATTTAACTTTAAATGGACCAGTACAGGTCCAAATGGCAATGTCTGTATCTGTGTATGCTGCTGCGCTCAAATTTAGTTTCTGTGTACATACTATACAGTGTAGGCTAGCTTAGTTGTGCTTGAGTTTGACATCTAATAAGCAATTATTATCATTCAGGTCAGCATTTCATACTTCATAGGTGCTTTTTAACAGGTTGTCACGGTGTAAACATAAACAAACAGTATAAATGAAATACATTAGCAGCTAAAATAATCGAATGGTGCAAGAGTAATTGTTTTATGGTCACATTCGCTTGATTGCAGTTGTTACGACGATATATTTGTTGTCGTTGGAGAAATATGGCAAAGTCAAACCCGGTGAGTTTTAGGAAATATAAGTATAAAGACAGTTTTTTTTCTTTAAATTTTTAAAATAGTGCTATTTTTATCCCTCTCTCGATATTACTTTTGATAATAATGTTTAAGTTATTAACCTACTCAATCATCACGATGATAACTTAAAATATACTACAGCTAAACAGAAGAGGGACCGTTAAAAACTTGGCTAGTCTGTACGATGGATTGGCTGCCAAGGAAGAAAAAGTAAGAGATTATTCCTGCTTATTGCGTTCCGGTTAGAGTATCAGTAATATCGTGTTATTACTGATACAGACACGAGAACATGACTTTTCCTGGGTCTTTATCGAAGCGCTGTTTCTTTAAAAAAATCGTTTCGCACTGTCAGTAATACAAGACTGATATGGCCCGTTACATTTTATGTTCATCGTGGTATGGCTGTCAAATTTCACGAACTTGTCAGAGTCTTCAAATAATCAGAGACAGGCCCTTTATAATTGTAATTATATAACTTACACGCCTCGATAAGAGAACGACTACGTTATTTAGACGGCTTCTCCTTTACTTCTTTTGTTCATATTTGCTGACTTCAATGTGCCATAATTTCGAATAAAATTAAACAATTTTACGCAGGATATTGTGCTGCAGCGTACAAGGAGCATATCAGGTCGATCCCTCGGTTCACCATCACCAACTTCACCAATGACTCAAGATTTCGTTCAAATTGATGAAGGAGTAAAACAAGAGAACACACCTTTAGATGAAGAGCGGACAATTGAGCCAGCAGATGATGAACAGAAGAAAACTACTGAACAAGAACAGCTAGCCACTACTGAACCAGAACCAGCAGCCACTATAACTGAGACAGAACCTGAATTAGCATCTACCACTGAGGCAGAACCTGAACCAGAACTGGCAGCAACTACTGAGCCAGAATCGGCAGCCACTAGCGAACCAGACATGGTATCGACCACTGAAACAGAACTTGCATCTTCCACTGAACCAGAAGTAGCAGTAACTACTGAAGCAGAACCGAAAACCATTGACGAACCCGAACCAGTAGCTGCTATTGAATCAGAATCGGCACCCATCGCTGAAGCAGAACCGGAAACCATTGCCGAACCTGAACCAGTAGCTGTTATTGAATCAGAATCGGTACCCACCACTGAAGCAGAGCCAAAAACCACTGCCGAACCCGAACCAGTAGCTGCTATTGAATCAGAATCGGCACCCACCGCTGAAGCAGAATCGGAAACCATTGCCGAACCCGAACCAGTAGCTGCTATTGAATCAGAATCGGCACCCACCACTGAAGCAGAACCGGAAACCACTGCCGAACCCGAACCAGTAGCTGCTATTGAATCAGAATCGGTACCCACCACTGAAGCAGAACCGGAAACCATTGCCGAACCCGAACCAGTAGCTGCTATTGAATCAGAATCGGCACCCACCGCTGAAGCAGAGCCGGAAACCACTGCCGAACCCGAACCAGTAGCTGCTATTGAATCAGAATCGGCACCCACCGCTGAAACAGAACCGGAAACTATTGCCGAACCCGAACCAGTAGCTGCTATTGAATCAGAATCGGCACCCACCACTGGAGCAGAACCGGAAACCACTGCCGAACCCGAACCAGTAGCTGCTATTGAATCAGAATTGGGACCCACCGCTGAAGCAGAACCGAAAACCACTGCCGAACCCGAACCAGTAGCTGCTATTGAATCAGAATCGGCACCCACCGCTGAAGCAGAGCCGGAAACCACTGCCGAACCCGAACCAGTAACTGCTATTGAACCAGAAACGACACCCACCACCGAAGCAGAACTGGAAACCACTGCCGAACCCGAACCAGAATCAACAATCGCTGCTGATATCGAGGCTGCTGCAGCACATGCGGAAGCAGAACAATTATCCTCAGATGCACCAACTGTTATCGAAAATGGAGCGAGTGTTAACGGAGTGACAGTTGTTCCATTGAATGTGGGAATGGAGGCGACACAAAGGAAGATAGGAGAAGATGAAGCAATGACGGAGGAGTTGATACAGCGGGTTGAGAAACAAGAGAGAGAGAAAAAGGTACGTATTTGTTTTGTATTACAGTATATAGTGCAGTTAAACGTTTGAAATTGTGATATGAAAAAGTCATTTTTTGTACGTAAATTACGATAGTTTCCCACATTAGATCAAGATACACAAATGATAATCCAATCCCACACTCAGAAATCTAAAAAGGATAAGAAAAACAGAGACGAAAAAAAGGAAAGGAAACATAAAGATAAAGGGGAGAAAACTACTGAAGATAAAGATGGGCATGCGAAAAAATCTAAAAAATCTAAGAAGAGCAAGTCATAATATTAATTTAAAACCGATAGGATTGAGTGATTGATTTGGCTTCTTGGAAAGCTGCAAATCATATGATCAGCTGTTCTAGCTCGGGATTATATTGCTTTCCAGATTTTCAAAATATATATCTATTCGAATTTGCTTTCTTTTATTCAGGGACCATTTGCTGTAATTCATGAATTTCATGCTTTAAATCACCATGAATTTTAACGCTGGCATTCTGAATTTTTGGATATCGCCATTGCAATAACGGCATATGGATTAGGGAGGTGCGGGCTTGATTAGCCTTCAAAGTTTCGGAGCCACCACAAATACAATACATTATTTTAAAATTGATTGTATTGCCATTAAAATTCAACAATTGATTGTGTTGTTTCTGTTTTTAAGCGTATCAATTTGAGCATTTCCAACACAACCTTATTCACAGAAAGTAAGTTTCCCTCGAAACCTAACAGCTCAAACGGAACCCGGTAATCGGATAGAGAAGATCATTAGAAAATTAAAATACTTTTTTAGTGATAGCTCCTACAAGTTATCCGAATCTGCCAAAACTAGACGTTGACAGGTTACTCAATATGAAGAGTAAATACACGAACATTTTACCACTCAACTATCCTGTCCTTTTGAAATATTTTATCAATCTTTATCGAGTATCTTAAAGAAAACTCACCAAATGAGGGGCCGGGCGTTAAAAACTCGGTACTGCTCACTACAACTGTTTCTCTTTCCTCCACCACAGCTCCTTTGTTTGCATTGGTAGCTATCCCTTTAGTCTTCCTATCAGTGCCTGGCCCTAGGCAGTACATTGAGTATTAATTTTAACCGCGAAAAGATTTCACTTAATTTTGAGCTTTTAGTGTAATGACTAATGATGCGATTTCGAGCTTGTAACAGCCAGCTTTTCGCGACCATGCTATAACAATATATAATTTTTTAGATATCGTTGAGCATAAGCAGTGATACAACGTATCTCGGGATGATCCGCAGAGTCTCGACTAATTTCGGCTTACCGCCATCAACAGGATCGATGAATCATCTAGCGGGAAATTTGAAATCAATTATCAATAAACAACATTCCGAAAGTATAAAAGTAAAATTCAAAAGAAAAAGTCAGTAGGAATATCTCAGTTCAGTCTTACTCTGCACGTTTTGTAGTTGTTTTGGCCCACTCCATGCTTTCACAGTAGTTACCTTATTTACATTACCTACTTCGTACTTTTTCCTACTGACTTTTTCTTTTGAATTTTACTTTTATACTTTCGGAATGTTGTTTATTGATAATTGATTTCAAATTTCCCGCTAGATGATTCATCGATCCTGTTGATGGCGGTAAGCCGAAACTAGTCGAGACTCTGCGGATCATCCCGAGATACGTTGTATCACTGCTTATGCTCAATGATATCTAAAAAATCTTAAGATCCTAACGTATTTTATCTTGGGAGGATTGCGGCTAATTAACACCCTTGCTGGACAATCTCTACTTTCCTTAACGTCAGCGAAAGCTTTAACAATATATAATAAAATAGAAATACAAAATAATATAAGTCTACAAATTGATACGTTTTATACATTTGTCATAGTTTTAGTAACCTGGTAGAGATAGATAACAGAGACCAGACTTGAACCAGAGCTGAGAGTAAAGATTATCCGAAGACATTAAAACTCATTTCGTAGAAAACGAGAAAAGTTATGACGGTTTATGTACTTGCACTGTGCAAATATATAAACCAATCTGTAAAATTTAGAAGCCGAACATGTATATAGTACAGTCATTTAGGGCATTTATGGAAATGAAAGAAACCCAGTACTGCTGAGAACCGTGCTAAGTACTCGCGGATTAACGGCCTTGTTAGGCAGAACTGTAAAAGAGATGATAATGCTTGGGCTGTTAGAGTAGCTGAGGAATTAGAAGATGCTGCCAAGCAGGGCCAACAAAGAGATGTTTGGCAGAAAATAAAATCCTTAACAAACAAGAGAGTAAGCAGATCTGCGGCAGTGCGGGATAAGAATGGGACACTTATATCAGATCCCGAAGCTCAGTCACATCGCTGGGCCGAATATTTTGAAGAACTCTTGACGCCAGCAGCAAATGCGGTGGATTTCTCTATATTGGATCAGGATGAAAAGTTACTTTCTTTTGAATACCTTAGTAATGATGATGAACCACCGTCCTTGTTTGAAATTGAGGAAGCTATCAAGAAGTTGAAGAACTACAAGAGTGCTGGAATTGATGAAATTTCAAATGAGCAGTTAAAGTACGGTTCTTCTGGACTTCTGCCTTGGTTAAAGGATCTTTTTGAAACTGTGTGGAAAAGTGAGGATATTCCTAATGATTGGAGAAAAGGAATAATCACCATCATCCCAAAGTAAGGGGACCTCACATATTGCAACAATAACAGAGGTATAACGTTACGTTCAACTGTATCAAAGTTATTCCAAATTGTGTTGTTAAAAAGACTGAGTAATGGGCTTGAAAAATTGCTCAGAGAGAATCAGTGTGGTTTCAGGAGAAACCGTTCTTGTATAGATCAGCTGTACTCACTTCATTGTATAATACACAATTGTATAGAATTCAACGTCCCTTTGTACATAAACTTTATTGATTTTAAAGCTGCTTTTGATTCAATCAATCGTGACTTTATTTGGAAAGCTTTTGAACATTATGGTCTTCCGACAAAATATATCAATGTTTTCAAAGCGTTCTTTAGAGCAACTGAAAGTGCAGTTCGTGTCAATGGAGAATTGACAAGATGGTTTGATGTCGATTCGGGGACTGGACAAGGTGATGTGCAAGGGCCCCCCATTTTTAATCTTGTACTTAACTGGGGATTAGAACTTGCAGAGAAGTTTAAAAATATATCCCGTGGTTTTACTCTTCAGTACAGACAAAGTTCCAGACAACCGGAAAAATGTGTCATTGATCTGGACTATGCTGATGACATCGCAGGAATGGATGACACTGTTGAAGGACTGCAAGAAACTACGGACAATATTGCGAAATACTGTGGGCTCGGGGGTCTTAAGATGAACGCAAAGAAAACAGAGATCATGGTCATTGGGAAAGATACATCGCAGCACCCACTCCCAGAGAATAGGACCATAGATATAACTGTCGATGGAAACTCTGCAAAGCAGGTCACTCAATTCACTTATTTGGGTGCCACAATTACATCAGATGGCAAGATTGATAAAGAAATAAGTGTCAGGATTGGAAAAGCAACTGGAGCTTTTAACCAACTCAACAACATTTGGAAGAATAAGAACATAAGCATTAACAACAAAGTGCGAATCTACATCGCAGCTGTTCTTACCATTCTGACCTATGGATGTGAGATATGGAACACGACTCAAGTGCAGACAAGAAGATTGGAGTCTTTCCATCAGTACTGCTTAAGAAGAATCCTGAGAGTGAGGTGGTTCCATCGAGTAAGTAATGAGGATGTTTTAAGAAGGGCATCAATAACTGCTCTTGCTGACATAATAACAACAAAACGGCTGCGTTGGTTTGGACATGTCAGTAGAATGCCTGAAGATCGGTTACCCAACTATTTACTTGAATGGAAACCCAAGCATGGGAAGAGATCAAGAGGCAGGCCTAGGAAGAGCTTAAATGATGTATTTATTGAGGATGCTGAGCAGAGATTGGATCGGAATGGACTCACGATTGATTGTATGAGAAGATTAGCTGCAGACCGAAAGGGATGGAGAAATGTTACCCGCCGAAGTTGTATAATACAAAGTAATGACGCAGTCGACGCAGACTAATCCTTTTGGATGGAGATCTCGCCATGTAACATGTATGTATGGAAATGAACCCGCAAATTTTCAGATACTCACGAAACTTTGCACAGACCTTCCCAAAGGTATGAATAAACGATTTTCGGTTGGAGACATTTTTTTACCGTGGGGAAAACCCAGGAGGGCCACGCCCATATTGACCCAATAATGTAACTGACCCTTTGCTTCTGAAGGTCGTAGGGACTTCAAAAAAAATCCTTACTTTTCGAGAAATTCGCCATAAACCATTTTGGGGGTGGCGCTGAGCCCATTTTACTAACTTTTGATATGATCGTGATAGAGTCTTCGGATGAAGTGCGAAAGAACCGCAATTGGCATGAAGAAACATATGCCTTAAAGTGCTTACTTTTTCAGTTATTGGCGAAAACTGATTTTCGGTACTAGAAATCATGCAAAAATATTGGTATCTGGTAAATTGGGCTATGAAGGCCCTAGAGATTTTTGAATGAGTACAAATTGTGCAGAATGGCCATGTTTATATACAACTTATGAAGCAACATGTACCCTAAAATGATCACTTTTTGAGTTATTAACATAGAACGGGAGGCAAAAATGGCTGATATAACCTATTTTGCTCTATATCGTGCAAATTTTCTCTGGTTTCCCCCCGAATAACTCGAAAAGTAAGCAAAGTATCAAAAGTTAGTAAAATGGGCTCAGCGCCACGCCCAAAATGGTTTTTGGCGAATTTCCCGAAAGTAAGGATTTTCGGCCATGTGTTGATCAATAACTTCTATATAAACATGCTTATGCGGCTTCGTTTAAGCCTATTTTGAAGTCTCTACGATCTTCAGAAGCAAAGGGTCAGTTACATTATTAGGTCAATATGGGCGTGGCCCTCCTGGGTTTTCCCCACTGTAAAAAAATGTCTCCAACCGAAAAACGTTTATTCATACCTTTGGGAAGGTCTGTGCAAAGTTTCGTGAGTATCTGAAGATTTGCAGGTTCATTTCCATAAATGACTGGACTAATACAGGACACTGGGAATGTTTACCAAAACAGAACTACCAAACAACTCCAAGAACTACACTGGGAATAGGATCACTTCGTTCTGAAGTCCTTGTCCCTGTAGTTATGATACTGTCCACTGATTGGTCTTCTACGACAAGTCACGTGACACTAAAAGACCAATCGAATGCGGTCATTGCGGATTTAAGGAGACGGCACGCCGCGCGGTGATTGGCGCCCTGAGGTAAGTCACGTGATATTAGACTACCCAATCAGGCGCGAGTGTTTCAAACATGGTGTAGCGACATTGATGTAACTAAAACACCCGCCCAAGTTGTTTGCCATATCGAATATGTTGTGAGTTCTTTTATCTCTTACACAGAGATAAGTTACAGATGCAATATCATTAATTGATTCTCAAAAGAACGAGAAATTAAAAAGTGTCTGGTTCAGGCTCAGAACAACCGTTATTAACATGTTGCTGGCATTTATAAAGTTCATACTTAACAACAGACTTCCGAACATAAAGAGAAAGATTATCACGTGACAAAGATATACAAAGTAAGGTAGCTCAGGGTTAGACCACGGGATTGAAAACATTAGGATAACCATCGATATGTATATCACAATATATCACATGTGTATATCACAAATCTGATCAGAATCTGCAAATTTTCTGAACGCAAATTTGACAGATTAGATGAAATTTTTGCCCAGAAACCAATTAGTCAGTTAATTGATGATGGTATGAAACTAAATCGGGGTACTGGAAGCCAAAATCCCGAATAAAATTGTAAAATCATATTGTCCCAATCTCTGTCCCATTTTCAGTTTTTGAAGATGAAATTTCCAGGTAATTCCAGACCGAAATTTTACAGTTTTTACTGAATTTCTCACCCGCAACCAGTTAGTCAACTATTATATAGGTGGCATATGACACGATTGAGGTGCTGGAAGTTTGATTTCGGTCAGAGGAATCCCACAGCAGAAAGCTTAACAAAACGAAAAGTTGTATTTTCAAAAGTCTGTCCCATTTTCAAATATGAAATTTTCTTAACACAAATTTGACAGATTAGATGAAATTTTTGCCCAGAAACCAATTTGTCAGTTAATTGATGATGGTATGAAATCAAATCGGGGTACTGGAAGCCAAAATCGCGAATAAAATTGTAAAATCATATTGTCCCAATTTCTGTCCCATTTTCAGTTTTTGAGATGAAATTTGCAGGACCGAAATTTTACAGTTTTGACTGAATTTCTCACCCGTAACCAATTAGTAAGCCAACTATAGGTGGCATATGACCCAATTGAGGTGCTTGAAGTTTGATTTCGGTCGGAGGAAGCCCACAGCAGAAAGCTTAACAAAACGAAATGTTTTATTTTCAAAAGTCTGTCCCATTTTCAAATATGAAAGTTTCTGAACACAAATTTGACAGATTAGATGAAATTTTTGCCCAGAAACCAATTAGTCAGTTAATTGATGATGGTATGAAACCAAATCGGGGTACTGGAAGCCAAAATTGCGAATAAAATTGTAAAATCATATTGTCCCAATCTCTGTCCCATTTTCAGTTTTTGAAGATGAAATTTCCAGTTTTGACTGAATTTCTCACCCGCAACCATTTAGTAAGTCAACTATAGGTGGCATATGACACGATTGAGGTGCTGGAAGTTTGATTTCGGTCGGAGGAAGCCCACAGCAGAAAGCTTAACAAAAAGAAAGGTGTATTTTCAAAAGTCGGTCCCATTTTCAAATATGAAATTTTCTGAACACAAATTTGACAGATTAGATGAAATCTTTGCCCAGAAACCAATTAATCAGTTAATTGATGATGGTATGAATTATGAAACCAAATTGGGGTACTGAGTTACTGTGAAGAACGATCTGGTGACCGTCTGGGAGTATGCTGGTTTTGGAGACGTCCTCATGGCACCCAGCAACATAATGAAAAGGATGATCCAGCCTCTCCACCAGAAATATAAATCCCGAAAAGTGGCATGCAACGTATGTCAATAAATCCCTTGCATCGACCCCGATTTCCCAAAGATCTGGTGCCGCCTTCCAGAAGAAGAGAGTCCATAAAGATGACAGACAGTTTCTACTCCATCACTCGGATGCGCAGATTTCTTCAACTCGGGACTTCAAAACTAAGGCTGTGGTCGAGAAGGAGCTTGCTCAGGAAGCCAAGTACGAGAATACGCCAACTCCCAGTCTATAACTGAACCTCCTTCTATCCCTACTCCTTCCATCCCTTCTACACCCCCAGCCTCCAGCCTTAACTCCTCCGAAGAGTACCTACCCAAGAAGAATACCCTATACAAGGCACATTTTAGGAAAATGAAATTCAGTAACGAAGATATACTTGATCTGTTCTTGGAATTTGTATCTGGAACAAGACCAATTAAAACAATGTTAATAAAATATGTTAAAAACTTAAAATTTCAATAAATCGCAGAAGTTTTCACGTAAATCATCGACAATCATCAATAAGGTAGTCAATAAATGTTAATAAAATATGTAAAAATTTCAATAAAGAAAGAAACACTTTAATCGCAGAAGTTTTCACGTAAACCATCGACAAGGTAGTCCCGCAATTGGTTGTAAATCTAAAGTTCAACTCGGCCCCGGAGTGTTCGGGTGCGTTCCTAAAATCTTCAATTAGTCAGTCAATTGGGAAGTGGTTGGGGTCGGCAGGCTTGATGTTCATCTGGTGAGAAGTGGTGGGGGTCGGCAGGCCTGATGTTCATCTGGTGAGAAGTGGTGGGGGTCGGCAGGCCTGATGTTCATCTGGTGAGAAGTGGTGGGGGTTGGCAGGCCTGATGTTCATCTGGTGAGAAGTGGTGGGGGTCGGCAGGCCTGATGTTCATCTGGTGAGAAGTGGTGGGGGTCGGCAGGCCTGATGTTCATTTAGCGAGACTCTCTGTTACTGTAACTGAGGAAAGACTGTGTAAATACTAAATACATGAAAAACTTATTGATACTACGAAACTTATACAGTTATAGCCAGGACACATGAATTAGAATGACAATTTAATCATATCTCTACTATAATTCAAAGAATTCTGTACGTACGACCGCCCACGTGCAAATTAGATGAAAAATAGGAATTTAGGTAACAACCAAAAGGTTCCATAGCAACGGTGTTTTAATGCACACATGCACGTGCAATGATTGTTTTAACGTCATTTTGATCGGTTTTGTGGTAATTACGTTGTGTTTAAAGTGTTTTATATTTAAATCGGCTGTATCTTCGGTTGAGATGGATATTTTTTGATGCGATTAAAACTTTATTGAAAGAATACTACTAGCTTCGTCCCTTTTACCACGGGCTTTCTAGTATAATATAAAGTAGTGTTGAAAGTATGAAAATCATATTTTAGCTTATAAATTACTAAAACTTACCTCAAGGGGGGCTTCGAATCTTTACCGTTTAATTCCAATAACCAAGACAGTAAGTTGCTGAAAACAAAGAACTGTTCTCCAGCACTACCTGGAACAGCAAAGTAGGTCCTGAAACAGCCAGCCATCAGGAGGGTTAATTGATGATAATCTAAATATACTTGACTAGAATGGACAATTTCATTTTCATAAGAAATAATCCCCGAAAAAAGTAATAATAAATTGTCACAGATGGCCAGTATAAAGATAAGCCTGTATTGATAAATCTAAACCCTCTCTATCTCTTATCATTGTAATGATACGAATTATGCGGCTGATAAAATGAGCCATATTCACAACGAAATTTACCGAATGATAACAAAATGTTAAATGGAAGGACAGAATTATAATATCTATTAATCACTGTTTGATTCATCTGACGATGATTTTAGTTCTATCCGTCTCCATTTTTATTCTTGGAGTAATTTCGGTGTAATAGGTTTGCCGGCGGTTTACAATCTTATAAATATTATATTCTGATGATAGTTGGTGAGAGAAGTGAGAGTCTCCAAATATAAATATTTTTAAAAAAAATGGAGCTCAGCGTATTATGTCCGCTTTTAACTCGTAAAAGCTGCAATGCTATAATTAGAAATTAACACATTAAAGTTTAAACACTAAGTTACGCTTCTTATCACAACTATTTTCTAATTTATATTGAGGTTGAGAATTGAGAAAATTCTCGCTCTAAAGAGCAAGGAAAAGTGGTTACATCTATAAAATATTTTTTCGTCTTATCAAGCTTACGATTTTGTAAAAATTATTTCAAAAAAACTGATACTTTTTGAGTTATAGGCATTTTAAGCCTTAAATCTGCCATTTTGGCCCTTTTTTACTAAGTCGTTTGATGCCACATTTAATAGCTTAAAACTCAAATCTGAGAGGAATCCTACTCCAAAAAGTTTGATATGATCATCAGCTACACCCACAAGAATTTTTGAAGCGATATCTGCTGACCCGGGTGATTGGTGAAATGTACAACTTTAGAAGTAGGCATAAATTTCAATTTTTTTTCGACCCTGTTCGGTCTGTAACTTCGTCATTTATTGTTTAATTATATAATCCTTTCAGGGGTTTCTTTAACGAATCGTAAGTAATGTTCAGTAAAAAATCAGCCAAAAGACCTTCAAAATAACCGAAATATCGGTATTACAGTGCCAGACTTCTCAAAATTTCCAAAACTTTCGAAAAAGAAAATATTTATTTCTTTATTTTTTCGAAAGTGAGTGCTCTCAAAAATAATTTTTAATGTATAAATCTTATTGTTTTGATGTATACTTTCTTAATATGGAGTTAACTACCGGGTCCCGGCATAAAAGGTTTTTGTGTATGTCCCCTTAAAGCTAGAATGATACTACATACTAAAAAACTGTCGCACTCAGCTATATTGAGGAAGGAGTGTTGAGACTCTATTGATACTTCATACTTTAGCTAAGAACTTTAGTGGTATAAACCAGCACTATCTGCGATTAATGAAATTTCAGCTATTGGGGATTATATGATGTTCACTGTTCATTGTTACAGCCACCGTTCCGATTTAATATTTTGCGACTTCCACCAGTAGCATTATTCCAACATCTTTCCACTCTTTTGCTCTTTTTTATTGATACTATTTCGTTGAAAATTTCATCAATATTGCTGTTATATTATATCAATATGTAGTATGCATAACTCATAACCTCTATCTTAATTCCAAACTAACGTTGTTTTAAAAAATCTGCTCCCGAATTCAAGAGAATCCCGACGAGGTTTTTCCAAATGCTTTAATAGTCAGTGACATCTGCAATCGTACTTAAGGGGGCCGGGGGGGGGTCTTCATCGAAATTCTCTCGAAATTGATTTTATAGTTGTTTCTGATAGAGGGGAGTTATATCTATCCGCTGCTTTTGGTCCAATGGAAATATATTATTCCTAGCCGAAATTATCGCTGGTCAAAGGTCAGCGCTTATGTGTTATTGTATTGCGCGAGCCCTGAAAATCGAGTCTAAAAATCTATCTTCTCCTACGTTTTTGAGCAATCACCCTGAAACTTTCAGGATATGTTCTAGGGATCATTTAGAAGAGATGTATTTAGCCGAATTTTGAGATAGGCCTTAGAACATTTTTTATTCGATTTTGAAAATCTTGGATCTCATTTTTTTACGATTTTTCCAGGTCCAAGATTTTCAAAATCAAATAAAAAAGTTTCTGAGGCCTATCTCAAAATTCGATTTTCAGGGCACGCGTTTGAAAATCGCTCGCGCAATACAATTACACTTAAGCGCTGACCTTTGACCAGCGATAATTTCGGCTAGGAACAATATTTTTTCATGGGACCAAAAGCAGCTGATAGATATTACTCCCCTCTATCAGAAACAACTATAAAATCAATTTCAAGATAATTTCGATCAAGATAATTTTGATGGTATGAAACCAAATCGGGATGGCTCTTTCTAAATCGCTCGCCCAAACCGTAATAACAATTTCAACTTTTGCGCGTCTCCTAAATGCGCGTTAGTTATCTGTGATAATTTAGCACCGGCGAACCACATGTTCTGCCTACTAGCAAAGTTCACTCAAAACGTTCCGCGCCCGCGGATAAGTCAATATTTGTGGTTTTCAGAGACCAGATATTGCCATATCTGGATCATTAAAAAGGCCACCTGATAAGTCTATACAGACATCAAAACTCTTTTTGTCAGTAGTCAGAGTGGTTCGTTGTCATTTAAGTAGTAGCACTTCCTTATTGCTAATATATAATTGGGAAAGCAAAATAATAGACTTCAAATATGCTTTCCACATTGGAAAATACAATTCACTTTATATCTCCAATATTATTGGAAAATACAGTACACTTATCTCCAGTATTAATGGAAAATACAGTACACTTATCCCCAGTATTAATGGAAAATACAGTACACTTATCTCCAGTATTATTGGGAAATACAGTACACTTATCTCCAGTATTATTGGAAATACAGTACACTTATCTCCAGTATTATTTGAAAATACAGTACATTTATCTCCAGTATTATTGGAAAATACAGTACACTTATCCCCAGTATTATTGGAAAATACAGTACACTTATCTCTAGTATTATTGAAAAATACAGTACACTTATCCCCAGTATTATTGGAAAATACAGTACACTTATCTCTAGTATTAATGGAAAATACAGTACACTTATCTCCAGTTTTATTGGAAAATACAGTACACTTATCTCCAGTATTATTGGAAATACAGTACACTTATCTCCAGTATTATTTGAAAATACAGTACACTAACCTACAATATAATTAATGGAAAATACAGTACAGTTATCTCCAGTATTATTTGAAAATACAGTACACCTATCTCCAGTATTATTGGAAAATACAGAACACCTATCTCTAGTATTATTGGAAAATACAGTACACTTATCTCTAGTATTATTGGAAAATACAGTACACTTATCTCTAGTATTATTGGAAAATACAGTACACTTATCCCCAGTAATATTGGAAAATACAGTACACTTATCTCCAGTATTAATGGAAAATACAGTACACTTATCCCCAGTATTAATGGAAAATACAGTACACTTATCTCCAGTATTAATGGAAAATACAGTACACTTATCTCCAGTATTATTTGAAAATACAGTACACCTATCTCCAGTATTATTGGAAAATACAGAACACCTATCTCTAGTATTATTGGAAAATACAGTACACTTATCTCTAGTATTATTGGAAAATACAGTACACTTATCCCCAGTAATATTGGAAAATACAGTACACTTATCTCTAGTATTATTGGAAAATACAGTACACTTATCTCTAGTATTATTGGAAAATACAGTACACTTATCTCCAGTATTAATGGAAAATACAGTACACTTATCCCCAGTATTAATGGAAAATACAGTACACTTATCTCCAGTATTATTGGAATTACAGTACACTTATCTCCAGTATTATTGGAAAATACAGTACACTTATCTCCAGTATTATTGGAAATACAGTACACTTATCTCCAGTATTATTGGAAAATACAGTACACTTATCTCTAGTATTATTGGAAAATACAGTACATTTATCTCCAGTGTTATTGGAAAATACAGTACACTTATCCCCAGTATTATAGGAAAATACAGTACACTTATCTCCAGTATTATTAGGAAATACAGTACACTTATCTCCAGTATTATTGGAAAATACAGTACACTTATCTCTAGTATTATTGGAAAATACAGTACACTTATCCCCAGTAATATTGGAAAATACAGTACACTTATCTCTAGTATTATTGGAAAATACAGTACACTTATCTCTAGTATTATTGGAAAATACAGTACACTTATCTCCAGTATTAATGGAAAATACAGTACACTTATCCCCAGTATTAATGGAAAATACAGTACACTTATCTCCAGTATTATTTGAAAATACAGTACACCTATCTCCAGTATTATTGGAAAATACAGAACACCTATCTCTAGTATTATTGGAAAATACAGTACACTTATCTCTAGTATTATTGGAAAATACAGTACACTTATCCCCAGTAATATTGGAAAATACAGTACACTTATCTCTAGTATTATTGTAAAATACAGTACACTTATCTCTAGTATTATTGGAAAATACAGTACACTTATCTCCAGTATTAATGGAAAATACAGTACACTTATCCCCAGTATTAATGGAAAATACAGTACACTTATCTCCAGTATTATTGGAATTACAGTACACTTATCTCCAGTATTATTGGAAAATACAGTACACTTATCTCCAGTATTATTGGAAATACAGTACACTTATCTCCAGTATTATTGGAAAATACAGTACACTTATCTCTAGTATTATTGGAAAATACAGTACATTTATCTCCCGTATTATTGGAAAATACAGTACACTTATCCCCAGTATTATAGGAAAATACAGTACACTTATCTCCAGTATTATTAGGAAATACAGTACACTTATCTCCAGTATTATTGGAAAATACAGTACACTTATCTCCAGTATTATTGGAAATACAGTACACTTATCTCCAGTATTATTGGAAAATACAGTACATTTATCTCCAGTATTATTGGAAAATACAGTAC